GACAGAAATCATTCTTTTATTAAGTGGATAGTTGTTGTCAGGAGTAGGAGGGGATGTCATTCAATGCTGTATATTCTCCTATTTTATTGGCCATGAGGCATTGGACGGTAAACACCATACGTTATGAACAACTATTATGAATACATACAAAATGTTGTGCCTCAAGGCAGCACAGGGATTTTTTTTTTAATTCCCTTTCATCTCGACGTAATTATACATTTTTCAAGCAAAAAACAATTCACAAGTGAATTAAAAATTTTAGAAAAGAGAATCAATCCGAAAATAGAAGCTGCTTGGCCAAAAAGATAAATGTTATGTTGTAGATTTTTAAACGGCTTGGCAAGCTTTAAATATGTACAATTGTTGATGTGCTCAAGTGTTGATTTTTTAGGTCACAGGCAAGACATTTGAGAAACAATACATACCTTTGGCACAAGAAATAGAAAACTTTAAATGCTGTCAGCAACAGTGAAATATTCTAATGTTTTGTGTTTATAATGAAAAGTTTTGTGTTTCTTGTACTAGCATGGACAGGTAGCAGGCTTACCTGAAGAGATAAGCCTGCTATCTACTCAAAAAATCCTAAAAACCTAGGCTCCTGTGCTCTATGTTACACCCTTAACTTCAATGTGTACCTTTGTTTATGTTCAACAAGATCCACCCCACATACTATCCAGTGGCGCACCCAGGGAGAGGGGTAATTTTGGAGGCTTAAGACCTTTGGGGTTAGCTCTTTACGGGGGTCAGCCGTATTCATACATTTTTCACTAATTATTAAAATATCAAACTTTCAATCAATCAATCTATCAATTAATTTTCTTTATTGAGATTTCTTTAAGAAATACAATAGTGTAATATACATAAATCTATTGTTACAACAGGTGTAAGGGTTATTTTTACCTAACAGTTGATTTTGTTTATAAGAGATATTTATTTTGTGAAGGAATAAACGTTTTATTTTGTTTCTTGTCTTTAATTATTCCTAGGGCCATAAACCCAATTGTTTAGTTAGAAATAGGATTATTATTTATTCAAATAATTCTAGTATTATTGGTACATTTCATTGGAAGTTTAGTTGAATTTTTTGAATGACAATAGTATCAGTCTTAGGGGGTGAGAGAGAGAGAGAGAGAGAGAGAGAGCAAGAGAGAGAGAAATATAGAGTTAGAAGTGAACAGTGAGGTAGCGGCCGAGCTTATCAGCTGTTAGGGCAAAGGTCGTGTGGCAACAAAACTGTGCTGCCGAGCCTACCTAACCTGCCTCACCCCTACACCCCCTGCCACTGGAAGGTCCTATATAAGCAGGTGCATTTGAGGCACTAGAGAGTGGATGTTTGGACTAGTGATGTGACGAGTCGGGTACTTTCCTGACTCGAGTGACTCGACTCGCCAACTGCCGTGAATTCGAGTTACGAGTCGAGTCAGACTCAACTCGAAACTCGACCCGAAACCAATGCATCATGTGAGTCTGCAACGACTCGGAGTCGACCAATAGGGTTATAGTTTTGTGAGTCGGCCGACTCGGTAGCGGCCAATAGCGTATCAGCTTTACGAGACGTTTCGAGTTTGTGTAAGTTCGGCATTCTCCGTACGAGTTCGTTTTGTGGATCGTGAAGGGTTATACTCGCACTCGGCCAATAGGGTTTCAGTTATACGAGTCAACTCAACTCGCGTTCCGCCAATAGCGTTGAATCTATGCTAGTTGACTCGTAAAGCTGTGACGCTATTGGCCGAAAGCGAGTAAACTCGAGTCAACTCGTTACGTCCCGAGTTCGTTAAGGTTCGGCTTTCTCCTTATGAGTTCGGTTTCTTGACTCGGCTTTTGCGATTCGGACTCGTAACGTTACGTGTTCGTGTAGCTTCGGCAATCTCCGTACGAGTTCGTACCAACTCGAGTTGTGGATGATATGACTCGAGTTGACTCGACTCGGGTCTTGACTCGAGTCAACTCGACTCGCCAACTCAACTCGTCATATCACTAGTTTGGACGTCGGACAGCTCACAAGGTAAAAGGTAATTACCGTCATAGTTGAATATACCGCGACTTAGCCATAAGCGTGACTTAATAAGTTGTGCTTATAGTAAGTAAGTCATAGGCCCGAAGTGGATCGTGTCGGTAAGTAGAAGCTCGAGGTTGTTAGGCATACTAAGCAGCCCCATATTAGTATAGTAAGTTCTTCTCAAACGTTATAACTTGGGCAGAACATTCGACGGGACGGCATAAAAGGTAGGTACCGTGAGGGAATACCTTGCGGCGAAACTCGGCTGCATCAAGGGGACATACCCTGCCACAGCAAAGAGAAGGTAGGTACCGTGAGGGAATACCTCGCGGCGGAGTTAAGCTTATTGGAGGGGCTACACCCTGCCACAGCGAAATGTGTTCAACAGGATTTGGACTAGGGGACGAGGTAAGTACCATCTCGTGTACTTGGTGGCCGCAGACTGAGCTTAAACTTCGAGATATATAGATCAGGAAAATCTAGATTTAGGCTAACTTTAGACCCCTGGATAGTTAGACACCCATACCCTGAACTATCTGTGAATTTTGTTATAAATCAAAATGTATCGTTAAGGGTAACCATCCCTCACACAGAATATGAATTGAATACAGCAAGGTATTCCAGGTGAAAAAACCACCAGGATATATCAGGTGTTTTTTAACGAGTATTTAAAGGCAAATGCGGTAGATTCTACAATATTTATTCTCGATCACCCTTTATAACAACATAAAAGTTGATGAAGATTTGTATCTTTGCAATATTTTACTTTATACGATTATTTATATTCTTGTAGTATTAAACCTTGCAATTGATTGCTCTGCTTTTCCTACACCTTTGCTGCAATCAACATTATTACAATTCATGGCATATATTATAAAATCGAATAAAGTTACCCTCCTGTGTGATCTAATGTGTTTATCTTATGTATCTGTTGATTTTAAACAATTTTCCAAAAAATGTAGTAAAATTATGAGGTCGCTCTCCGGTGTGAACCAATGTATGATACTTCATGTTGTCCTTGGTTTTAAAGGATTTTCCACATATAGTACATTTATGAAGTCACTCTTCAGTGTGTACTAATTTATGTCTCTCCACATGGTTAATGGTCCGGAATGATTTTCCACATACAGTACAATGAGGTTGCTCTCCGGTGTGAAGAATGTATGAATCTTCAAATATTTTAGGCTTTTAAATGACTTTCCACATGTAGTACACTTATAACTAGTTTAAGGTCGCTTTTTGGTGTGAACCAATGTATGCCTCTTAATATCTCTGATCCTTTTAAAGGATTTTCCACATGTAGTACACTTATGAGGTCGCTCTCCGGTGTGAACCAATGTATGAAACTTCATGGTATCCTTGGTTTTAAAGGACTTTCCACATATAGTGCACTTATAAGGTCGCTCTTCTGTGTGAACCAATGTATGTATCTTCATTTTAGTAATGGTTTTGAAGGATTTTCCACATGTAGTGCACTTAAAAGGGCGCTCTTCTGTGTGAACGAATGCATGAGCCTTCATATTGCTACTAAATGTAAAGCATTTTCCACATGTAGTGCACTTATGAAATCGCTCTCCTGTGTGAACTAATGTATGACTCTTCATACAGTCCTTGGTTTTAAAGGATTTTCCACATATATTGCACTTATAAGGACACTTCCCAGAATGTGTCAACAAATGATACTTTACTTGAATTAGTTGAATAAATGTTTTATCACATGACAAACATCTAAAGGGACGCTCGCCCGTGTGTAAAAATATATGATACTTCATTGACAATAGAGTTGTAAAAATCTTTCTACATACTGGACACTCAAGGGAAGGCTTTTTAGTGATCTTTAACATGGTTATTTTTCAATTTCTGTCTTCTAACTTTTTAGAATTGCTAGAAACTAATTTGAATTAGTCGGTTGGTCTTGTATGTCTATTTCTGTTGTTCAACTATGTCTATTTCTGTTCTTCAACTTTTATGTAAGTGTATCAATCGACGTGCTCTTGCTCAAACATTGTGATGTTTATTAAATAACTTACCACACAGCCTAATCAAGGAAATTTCATTGTTTTGCTTGACTTTCATGTTCCATTATATTAAATTAGCCTACTTATTTAAAAGGAAAAGATTCTTCTAGGTTAAATTTTTTCCCAAACAATATTGCATCAGTCATATTAAAGTCATGTATAATTTAAATTGTTATGATCTTTCTTGCGTTATGAATTGAAATTCCTTTTCCTCTTCAAATATATTGCCCTTTCTGAAAAAGTCCATAACTTATTAATACATTTGTTGTAATAATTTAGGTATTTTTTTGTTAATTTAGTTTGAACAATGATTTCAAAACATTACATGGCATTTTGTTTTAAAATTCTTTTTGAACGTACATTTACATAGTCATAGTAATATATTCTTTACTCGAGAGTACAACATGTTGGATATGAATGGCGTTATACAAATTAAATGACATGTTTAAAACTTCTATATCTGAAGAAAGTTAAATAAAAATGCAAATCTATTAACCTACAAATTTACAACATTCAACCATCAAATTCATCTAGGGAATTGACAGGCTTGGATAACACAAATGTGTTTAGTTGTTTTTAAAATGTTTAATTGTCTGTTATTTGTAAAAAGAGTATCAGCCAGTAAAATGTTAAGCTTGACTGTCTATTTTATACAAGAAGCATATTGTCCTTTAAATTCTTGTGTAATAGTAACTTACTTAACCAGCACATTTTAATATAACTCAAGTATTAACAGTTAGGCCTATATTAAAACCTGTCATAGAAACTGTGGCATTGAAACATAAAAACCCGTATGGAATAGCTCTATCTGAAATTACAAAAATGTGGGCTGGTGAAAGTGTTAAATACAAAATTTAACACTTTTGTGTTTGTACTATTTGAGACATGTAATTACATGTCTTTGTTGGGCTGGTCGCTGGTGAATGGTGTGTGGTTAAGAAGAGGGATTATCACTAGGTAGATTAAGTCAAACACTCAAGCAGTTAATTAATAAACTTTTAATTTTTACTAGTAAGTTGTACATAAATTAATAAAACATACTTTAATTGTAGGTTTATCCCAATTTTAGATATAATGTGGATTCATTCAATACATTATTTAACCTCTAATTTTCATTAAAAATATAATATAGTACAAAGATTTGATAAATCTACACTAAATACATTTTTTTTACCTGTACAGATAATGAGTTTTACTGAAATAGTGTTAAAGCCAGTCTAAGTAGCCTAGGTACTAAGAGTGTGGACAATTTCAAACCCAAAAATGAAATAATATGTTTATGAACATGTACATTAAATGAAAAAATTAACAAAAGCTGAACATTACTACAGTACGGTCCACGAAAGTCTGCAGTTTACCGAGGAACCTAGAAACCACGTGACTTCGAAGGAGCCACACAAGAAGACTGAGGACAACGCATTGTTGCCAAATCTAATAATACCAGCTTATTTAAAAAATATTGTTTAGTATATTTTAATATTAGTGTCGAACATTGGTGAACGGGCGATTTTGCAACGTCGCGCTAGTCAATTCTTGCTATTGGCTGCCGCCAACTGCAGACTCTCGTGGCTCCTTAGTGTAGGTTTTATGGATCAAGGCAATACACAATAATAAGATAAAAGCTCTTAGAAGGCTCCTGACATTACACAGGGTGTTTTTTAATGCAACTCAATTTGCAAGGACCATAAGACAGTTTAACAACAAAAACAGCTCACATTTTGATATTCCTGTATTCTTTATTTTAACTGCCAATCAGCTGATGATATGCATTGTTGCATAGTTATCTGTGAGCTTTACTTTAGTGTTAATGGGAATTTATTGTGAATAAGTCTCAACTGGGCATTTTCACATACTCACGCAAAACCCCTTATTACGTCTTATTTACAATAAATTATCAATAACGCTAAAACTCATATAGATAACGTGTAGGATTAATATTATCTGATCGGCAATGGAGTAAAGAATGCAGCCGGGATACCATTGTACGAGCTGGTTTTGTTGTTAAAAAGTGTCTCACTGTAGTTGTAATTATTTGATTGGGGTTTGAAAAAAACACCCTGTATTTAAGTTGTCAGATATCATTTTATGTATGTAAAAAAACTATAGAATGTTTATTTATCGAATTAAATAAACAGTCCTAGACACAAATAAGCGTTGAGTAGGGTGACCGAGGAATCAGAAGATTTTAAGCGGATAGTTATTGTCACGAGTAGAGAATTGAACACCTTACGTTTACCCATTATGAATATCTGCGAAATGTCATGTCTACAACAGCGCAGCAAGTATTATACGCTATGATATAGTTTCCAGCCATATTACAATTCTCAAGTAGGTTAACAATTTGAGGAAAAGAAGATCTATTCGAAAAAAAGCAGCTTGGCCAAAAAATAACCGTTACGACGTTTTAAATTTTGAAACGGCTTGGCAAGCTTTAAATAAGTGATGGATGATAATGATGTGTGTGTAAATGATGTGCCCAAGTAGGCCTCTCTTTTAGGTCACAGGTGAAATGTTAAACAAACAATAAATAAATTTGTTTATTTTAACAAGATTCACCGTACATGCTACCATTGGTCATTGATACTACTCACTCAGGTTTCAGAGGCCGAAGTGTGTATTAGCATTGACTTTATATCTTCTTATAAAGTCAATGGTATTAGGTTCCTAGGAAGGGTTATTTGACGTTTCCGTGATAGTATTCTGTTGCGCAAACGTCACGAGATTTGTGCGGTGAACCTTTGTTAAGGTGTTCCCCTTAAGGAACCCCAAACTCTAATGGATCTTAGAGGACGACATTAAACAGGAAGAATAGCGAAACAATTTTTGGCAGCCATGAAATACTGAAACGTCTAATGGAGGAATTTAAGAAAATGATTCAAACCTGCTAGAATTAAAGAGAACTCTATATTTGATATTTACTACAAGTAAATGATATCTTACAAGTGTAGCATAAAAAGTTTTATAAATAGTTAATTTCTTAGATGGCATGAGTTTAAAAACATCAAAGTTGTAATTGACACAAAATTTAATAAGTAAATGCTTACTTTAAAAACGTCCCATTTAATTTCAATCACCCTATATAACAACATGAAATTTGAAGAATATATTGCACCAATAGTTTTTCGAATATAGGCTTTTGGTTATGGAAGACTTTCCGCTTGTATCTAACTTTTGGGTCGCTCTCTGCTATCAATGAATTTTTCATTACACACCATTGTGTTAGAAGGATGTTTTGCATGTATTACACTTATGAGGTCACTCTCCTGTGTGAACAAATGTATGTTGCTTCACATTTGTGTTACTTTTAAAAGATTTACCACATGGAGTAGACTTATAAGGTCACTATTCTGTGTGTACTAATTTATATCTATTTACATGGCCCCTGGTTTGGAATGATTTTCCACATACAGTACTAACAGTAGTACATTAATGAGGTTGCACTAATTTTGGTCTCGTTACGTGGCCACTGGTTTTGAATGATTTCTCCACATATAGTAATTGTACACTTATAAGGTCGCTATCTTGTGTGTACTAATTGATGTCTCTTCACATGTTTACTCGTTTGGAATGATTTACCACATACAGTACATTTATAAGGTCGCTCTCCGGTGTGAACCAATGTATGTTGCTTCATAACCTTAATAGTTCTGAAGGGTTTTCCACATGTAGTGCACTTATAAGGTCGCTCTCCTGTGTGAACTAGTATATGAATCTTCATATTGTCCTTGGTGGTGAAGGATGTTCCACATATGGTACACGTATAAGGTCGCTCTCCGGTGTGAATAAAAGTATGAGTCTTCATTTTATATTTGGTAGAGAAGGATTTTCCACATATAGTACACTTATGAGGTCGCTCTCTTGTGTGAACTAATGTATGTATCTTCATATATCTGTTGCTTTTAAAGGATTTTCCACATGTAGTACACTTATGAGGTCGCTCTCCGGTGTGATCAAATGTATGCATCTTCAAATCTCTGTTGCTAGTAAAGGATTTTCCACATGTTGTACACTTATGAGGTCGCTCTACAGTATGAACAAATGTATGATACTTCAAGGTGTCCTTGGTTTTAAAGGATTTTTCACATGTAGTACACTTATAAGGTCGCTTTTTGGTGTGAACCAATGTGTGTAGTTTCAAACCTTGGTTGCTTTTAAAGGATTTCCCACATATAGTACATTTATAAGGTCGCTCTCCTGTGTGAACCAATATTGTATGATTCTTCAAGATGTACTTCTTTTTAAAAGATTTTCCACATGTAGTACATTTATAAGGTCGCTCTCCTGAGTGAACCAATTTATGAATCTTCATATTGCTAATGGTTTTGAAAGATTTTCCACATGTAGTACACTTATGAGGTCGCTCTCCGGTGTGAACTAATGAATGAATCTTTATACTGTCCTTGGTTTTGAAGGATTTTCCACATGTAGTGCACTTATAAAGACACTTCCCAGAATGTGTCATCAAATGAGTCTTTACTATACATAATTTAATAAATGTTTTCCCACATGTCAAACATCTAAAGGGACGCTCGCCAGTGTGTAAATATATATGACACTTCATTGCCATTAGAGTTGAAAACATTTTTCTACATATTGGACACTCAATGGGAGCTTTTGTTGCGATCTTAAACATGTTTTATTTTTAATTTCTAACTTCTAACTTTTTAAACATGCTAGTAACTAGTTGGCTTTGTATGATATGTTAATTTTTGTATGATTTAATATTTAACAGTGTAAAACATCTCTTGTTCAAATATTATTATGCATATTAAATACTACACAACACACTCAAGGCATTTTTCCTAAATTGCAAGTATCTTTATATTAAATTAGTCCACATATAAAAACAAGTTTGTTCTAAAATTCATGTTGTTTTCAAACAAAAATGCATCAGCAAAAAAATTAATTATCAATACAGTAGAACTCCAATTATCCGAACTCCAATTAACCGAATCTCCAATTATCCGAATCGCTTACTTCAACAATTTTAAAAACGTAAAGCTACAGTAATTAGTTTTGCAAAATATCAAAGAATTGTTATTAAACACATTTAGCCAGTGTGTAATTTTTTCACTTCTGATGGAACGCCAAAGTTACACACTGGCTAAACTATTAACTTAATAACATGTATAGAACACTTGTACTAAGAGCATTGTAAACTGTAAAAATGTTCTGATTTCATTTATTATTAATTAAAAGTTCACTTAGTACCGAAAATTAGGATTTATCTTTAAAATTCCCGAAATTCCGGTAAAACTCCGATTATCCGAATATTTGATTATCCGAATGGGGTCTGGTCCCTATTGATTCGGATAATCGGAGTTCTACTGTAATAGATTAAATTCAAGTTTTACATATTGAATAACTTACTTTCATTTGTACTTTTAGTGTAGTAAAAACTTAATCTTTTTAGCTGCTGTTTTAAGTATTACATCAGATTATTGATAATATCTTTCTTGCGACATGAATTGAAGTTCTTTTCCTCTTCAAATCTATTGCCTTTTCTGAAAAAGACCATATTTGATTAAATATATACATTTGTTGTAATAATTTAGGTAATATTTTGTTTATTTAGTTTAAACAATGATTTCAAAACATTACAAACATTTATAGGTACTAGATCCAGATCATCATATTAATGCAAAATCAGAATCATCAATGCAATTAAAATTTGTGTAATCTAAGTAAGTATAATGTCAATTAAATAATAATCAGGTTTTTAAATATTTTTTGAACTTACGGATAGGCCTACATGGATGCTTCTACAAATTGCATGGATTGAAAGTGAAAGCTCTCAAGTTTGGTTTGATAAATTTGCTTAATATGCTGCCTGTTTGTAGGAAAACATGTTTACAATCTATGTTGCAACACTGCACAAACGTTGCTTAGCATATCACAGCCTGCTGTTGACACTACAACATGAATACTTTCTCACAGCTAGGAGGGGTTTGAGCTAATGACGGGATGTCCTTTGTATGTCCTTGTCCTTCACATAGCGACAGAGAAAGAAATCCCAGTAAAGGTCTGAGAACAGGGTGACCACCTTAGGTCATCCTCAGCACAGAGGCCAATCCAACTATCAGGGAGTCTCTCATTTAAATAACTTCGGACATTGCAGTGCCAATGAGTTGGAGCCCCGCCCTGCCCTAATGTGTTGAATGAACATGTCTTCCATGTCCTCCACAAGTGGAAACAACCATTGCTCCAACATGTCGAGAAATGCAACATCAGTTACAGTATTTTCTGCAAAGACAAACGGGACATTCACTTTGGTCTTTGACACCGCAAAGAATACATTCAGTTTCTGCGAATCCCTCTCAAGTTGAATGCGGAGCCTCAGATGACCAAATCCGCAAATTATACTTGTTAACCTTTTCACTAAAGTGGAAGTTTGCGACTTCATCCCTAAATACCAAATGAGCAGAAAAATTTTCATCTTCTAAGTAGTTTTGAAGTTTTTGCATATCTCTTTACGTTTTAGAAATCATTCTGCTGTAATTCCTGAAGCAGCTGTAGTCAATAAGGCTTAATGTGCAGATTTTTTCGTAAACCTTCCAAACGGTAGACTTAGGTCAGCCAAGTTCACAGCTAGCATTTCTTACAGACTGTTGAGACTCTGTTTCGTAGCACTGCCTGACCCTTTTTATTTTGTCGACAGATAAACTTGGTCAACTAGGATTCTTACGTTTCAGCAGGCTTTCTTTAGTTTTTAATTGTCGATAACATTGCAAATTGCTCTTGTTAATTCGAGCAGATCTTCTTAAATGTCTAATGACCTCATGATGGATGGTTATTAAGGAAAAACTGTTGTCATATCTTAGGAAACAGAAATTGTTGGTTCAATTGTAGGCATTTTAAAAACAACTAATGAAAGTAAACAAAAGGGTAACAATGAACCCCACAAATAACCTAAAAACTATAGCCTATTATATTAAAATATTTCATAGAAACTGTGTGGCAATGAAACATAAAGAACCGTGTGGAATAGCTCTATCTGAAATTACAAAAATTTGGGCTAATGAAATGTGTTAAATACAACATTTAATCCAATTTAGTCTAAATATCTTAAATGTTCATTAAGAAATATTACACTTAAGGTGATGATGTAAAATGTTCAACAACTATTACTACAGCCAAGACCACTCCATACATTACTGATAAAAAACAATTTTTAATCAATGTGAATAATGGGCCTATTTCTATTTCACATTCAAACAGCCCTACAAAAGAGTAATACAAACCCCGCCAAATCACTGTATGAAGACTTTTATCCCCAGATTCTCATGTAGGAGATAAATTTAAAAAAAAATGTAAATGAAAACCTTCATCTGGCAATGTAACCCATTAAAAATTACAATCAATTGTTACTTGAAGATCAAAGAGAGCTAAAGTGTGCTAAAAATACTGTACACATTATTTAGCACCCGTATTTAAACTGTGCTAACAATAAATCACCCTGCATAGCCACTGTAACAACACCCAGCTATTCTCATGTTAGGACTAACACAGAAAATGTTATGTTTTAATGCAGTTTTCTCAAACGACACATTCAATAATGAGTGATCTATTTATAATAACTAGTTGTTAAGCCTGTGCCTCGCCAAAGGGAGAGAACACATAAGAAGATATGACGATTCTTCACCACCTTGTCCAATGCAAACCTCTGGAAGAATATGTGCTTGTCCTTGATGTAAATGAATTTTATCAATGTACATGTCACAAGAAAAAATACTCTATAGATGTGTTTTTAGAAGCAAAATACAAATTCTCCTGAGGTAGTGGCCATCACCAATCACATTTTTAGGACTAAAAGTCCCAAATTCTAAAATTAAGTAAAAGTCCTTACGCTGGGATTTCAAGGTATATATTTCAGACAGACGAACAGACTTATCTTGTATTATAGTTTAGAATATAGATATACCAGAGTCATCAAAATAACATAAATATTAAGTAGAGTCGCAACCAGAAATCTAAAATAAGAGGTATTACTGTCAGTCCTGAAAACAACATACAAATGTTGCAAAAAATATTGACAAACAGTCATTGTGAAAAGAAAATACAAAGTGTCTCAAAGTCTACCAGTTGATCAAAATATATTTCAGTGACTTTAGGGGGGGGGGGAAGACTACATTGAAACACATTACTTTGGGTAACAATAAGACAATACTTTTCATTGTCTTCAACATCAGATTGTTAGATACTGAGTGTAGGAATGCTCTGATTCTAAGACAGTGGTGTAAGCAACGTCCCAAGCAGCAACAATGCTTAATGATTGCTACTTTCTGGACAGCCCTCCTATCCTAAATAATTATTTAATTTGTCTTATTTTTGTAAAATGTAACCTTCATCTGTATTTTTACCAAAATACAAGTTGTATTGTTAAAGTCTGCTATTGAACAACAGTGCAATACAATAAAACACAACTCATGTTTTATTTGCATTATTTCACAACTTTGTTGAGCTAAGCATACATTTTTATAGAATAAAAATTAAGTGAATTATGTGAGGTTAAGAAGAAGGATTATCACTAGGTAGGTAGATAATTCAATACATGAATGAATTCAAACACTCAAACAGTTAATACCTTTTAATTTTTGCTAGTGATACAAAAATTAACAAACATACTTAAACTAATATATTAGATTGTGTACTACATATGTGAGACATGTTATGAATAATGTAGGTTATCCCAATCAAAGATTTAATGTAGATCCAATACATTAATTGATCAACCTCTTATTTTCATTAAAAATATAATAAATTACAAACATTTTGATAAATCTACAGAAAATATGTTATTTTTTACCAATACAGATAATGAATTTTACTGAAATACTGTTAAAGCCAGTTAAGGTACTAAGAGTGTGGACAATTTGACAAGCTAAAATAATAAAATATTTATCGAAATATACATAAAATCAAATGTTAAAGCTAACAAATGCTTAACATTTGTGGGTTCCCTGGTTAAAGGTAATACATAGTAATCAGATAATAGCTCTGGAAAGCCTGACCCCAGGCTACTAAAATAACAGATCAGGTCATTTTATAAAGGGTGTTAGTTTAAAACACAACCCAAATTACAAGGACTATAAGACGACAAAAAACTTACATTTTGGTATATCTTTCTATATTTTATTGCCAATCAGCTGATATGGATATTTGCATGGTTATCTATGAATTTTAGTGTTACTGTATTGGGAATTTATTGTGAATACGTCTCAACTCGGCATTTTCACAAGCTCTGTTTGAGCATGTGAAAAAATTATGATTCTGTAATCTTATTTCCAATAAATTATCAATAGCCACAGAAATCTATAGATAAAGTAAACCATGCAAATTAGCTAATCAATGAAGCAATGAAGTTGAGAAGACAGAGATACCATCATATAAGCAGATTCTGTTGTAAAAAGGTGTCTCACGATACTGTAGTTGTAAAAACACTGTATTTAAGTTGTGAGATGTCACGTGTATGTAAAAAACCCCTATAGAATATTAATTCATATAAATTAATAAACACTTCTAGATACAAATCGTTGTACAGGGTGACGGACAGAAATCATTCTTTTATTAAGTGGATAGTTGTTGTCAGGAGTAGGGTGGGGGGGGGGGGGGGTCATTCAATGCTGTATATTCTTCCATTTTATTGGCCAATTCACAAGTCAATTAGAAATTTGAGAAAAAATAGAATTAATCAGAAAATGGAAGCTGCTTGGCCAAAAAGATAACTGTTACATTGTAGATTTTGAAACGGCTTGCCAAGCTTTGAATACGTTAGTGTTTATAAAATGTGCTCAAGCCATTTTTTAGGTCACAGGTCAGACATTTGGTTTTGGGCTTAAATCCCCTAGCACAAAGAAATACCTAGGATTAGCTCTTTACGGGGTTTAGCTGTATACATTTTCTACTAATTTAGTAAGTTTTGAAATATCATTGTAGCTGTATTGTTCAACTTGAATTAAATACAGCAAGGAACAGGTGTTTTTTTAGAGTTGCAAAGAGACAGCACAGCTCCATGTTCAACCTCTTGTGTAAGAAATTGCATCATAAATTGTTACCAATAGCAACCAGCATTTAGGAGTACAATGTATGTTATGGTGTTGTCAAGGTGCTTCTGTAGTCTGAAAAGCTAGACTAGTAGTGACGGATGATAAAAGAGGCTTTAAATATTAACAGAGAAATTGAAGTCACTAGTATGCTGATGTAATATCCAGTTCTGCAGTACAATATAGTAATACTAGATTTATAACAGCCATATAATGGACACAGTTGATACTTAGGAAGCCCCTCCCAACCAAAAACCCTGGGTCCGCCCCTCATACTTAACCATTGATACTACTAAGGATTCAATGGCCTTGGTGTGTATTAAGTTTCTATGAAGGGTTATTTTAAATTTCTGTGATATTCTGTAGCCACAACATCAAGAGATTTGTGCGGATGTGAATTTTTTATTGATATGTTCTTCTCAACGAACCCCAAACTCTGATGGATCTTAAAAGGACGCCATTGACCAAGAAGTGGCAGAAACATTGTTGATGGCTGTGAAATGCTAGGACGTGTAATGGAAGAATTGAAGAAAAAATTCAAACCTCCATGAGTGAAAGTAAGCTCCACCTGATATTTTTTCTAAAAGTTAAGGATATGCGACAAGTGTAACCTACTAGTGCATTTCTTAGATGGCAAGAGTTTACAAATATAAAAGTTATAATTATTTACAGTACATCTAATGAGTAGTAATGTTTATTTTTAAAAGGTCCGGTTTATTCTCGATCAACCTTTATAACAACACGAAATTTGATGAACAATGAAGATTTGAACAACACGAAATTTGATGAACAATGAAGATTTGTATCTTTGCAACATTTTATTTTATGACAATTATTTAAATTCATGTAGTGTATTAAACTGACGGTTTTTCGAATCATTTCTTATTTCTTATCAATTATGTCTTACAGTTTGTTGTGCTGGGCAAATTCACCTTCTAGCAAATATATATTTAAACAGCAAAAAAAGGCCATCAGAGTCATTGCCGGCATCAGCTCAAGAAAATCATGTAGATCCAGTTTTAAGAAATTCAAACTTTTGACCCTTCCTGCTCTTTATATTTTACACTTGGCACTTTTCATTAAAAATAGGGATGGTCAAGTCTCGAAATTTCGGGAAATTTTCAATCTCGTTACACGAGACGAGATTACTTTTTGGCCGAGATTTTTATCGAGACGAGAATAAAAAAAAAAATTAAATAAAAAAAAATTAAAAACGCCTGCAGAAAGTCAATGCAATACCCGCAATACAGGAGCGTGTTGTAGTTGCGTTTTCTTTTCGAAGGCGTTCTTATTTAATTAATTCTTTTAATGTAAATATTACTTTAATTCTTTTAATGTAAATATTACTTTCATTATTTTAATAATATTACTTTAATAACATTTGAGAAGTTTTGTTAAGAGTAAGCAGTGTGAGGAATGTTTTATTACTATAAAAAAAGTCAAAACAAGTAATTATTTTATAAAAATTAATATTGCTTTTATTTTATGATTTATTTTATTTTAGGATAAGTTGAACTCTATCCTAACTGATATCACCATGTTTCCTAATTGTAGGCATTTTTAATAAGTTAGGCGTGATTAATAAAAAAATGTTATGCTGATGTTATTTAATGAAAGATTGTAAATATTCTTGCCTATTATCATTATTTTAGTATTTAAACAGTCATCTAACAATGTTACAAAATCAGGTAAAAATTTTGAACGTGCATTTCTCGTTGTGTATGAGAAGAGAAATCTCGTCTCGTCTCGTCTCGAACTAAAAATCCAATCTCGTCCATCCCTAATTAAAAACAACCTTTATTTATTTGAAAACTGTAAAAAAAACTCATAATTATGAAACTAGACACAAACAACTTTTGGAAATTCAAAGCCACAGATTAGCTTTGTTTCACAATGGGCCCTATTATCAATGCATACAAGTCTACAACAAATTGTCCTTTTATTTCACAGACCAGTCTTTGACCTTTAATAATTTTAAGAAGAAACTTTCAGAAAAATTGATTGCACTTCGTCCTTATGACATGAATTCATTTTTATCCTGTCAACTATAATTTTAATATTTGTATATATTTATTATGTGTAAACTATTTATAATACATGATTTGTACTGACATGTCACATATTCATTGCTAATATTCAGCCTCTGTAATGTGAATTTTTGTGATGAATAAATTTGATTGATTGATTTATTGAATATTTGTTGATGGTTTTGAAGGATTTACCGCATGTAATCCAACTATGTGGTCTCTATTTGGTATGAAGTAATGAATGTTAATTCATTTCAAAAACTGATTTTGGGGTTTTTCCTATGTAGTACATTTATGATGTCACACTCCGGTGTGAACCAATGAATGATGATTCTTCATTTTGTCCTTTCTTTTAAAGGATTTGTCACATATAGCGCATTCATGAGGTCGCTCTCCTGAGTGAACCAATTTATGAGTCTTCATATTGCTATTGGTTGTGAAGGATTTCCCACATATAATACACTTAAAAGGTCGCTCTCCTGTGTGAAGCAATGTGTGTCTCTTCATTTCAGCAATGGTATTAAAGGATTTTTCACACATAGTACACTTATGAGGTTTCCCTCCTGTGTGAACTAATGTATGTATCTTCATATATCTGTTAGTTTTAAAGGATTTTCCACATGTAGTACACTTATGAGGTCGCTCTCCGGTGTGAACCAATATATGCATCTTCATATCTTTGTTGCTACGAAAGGATCTTCCACATGTTGCACACTTATGAGGTCGCTCTCCTGTGTGAACCAATGTATGATACTTCATGTTGTCTTTGGTTTTGAAGGATTTTCCACATTTAGTACATTTATGAGGTCGCTCTTCTGTGTGTACTAATTTATGTCTCTCCACATGGTTAGTGGTTCGGAATGATTTTCCACATACAGTACAATGAGGTTGCTCTCCGGTGTGAAACAATGTATGAATCTTCAATGTATGAATCTTCATATCTTTGATGCATTTAAAGGATTTTCCACATGTAGTACACTTAAAAGGTCGCTTTTTGGTGTGAACTAATGTGTGTTGTTTCAAACCTTTGTTGCATTTAAAGGATTTCCCACATGTAGTACATTTATAAGGTCGCTCTCCTGTATGAACCAATGTATGCATCTTCAGATCTCTGGTGCTTTTAAAGGATTTTCCACATGTGGTACACTTGTATGGTCTCTCTACGGTGTGAACCAATGCATGAAAATTCAAGGTGTCCTTGGTTTTGAAAGATTTTCCACATGTAGTGCACTTATAAGGTCGCTCTTCTGTGTGAACTAATATATGATTCTTCATTTTGTCCTTATTTTTAAAGGATTTTCCACATACGGCACATTTATAAGGTCGCTCTCCTGAGTGAACCAATTTATGAATCTTCATATTTCTATTGGTTGTGAAGGATTTTCCACATGTAGTACACTTATGAGGACGCTCTTCTGTGTGAACCCAAGTATGTTGCTTCATTTTAGTAATGGTATTAAATGATTTTCCGCATATAGTGCACTTGTGAGGTCGCTCTCCTGTGTGAACTAATGTATGAATCTTTATATTGTCCTTGGTTGTGAAGGATTTCCCACATGTAGTGCACTTATAAAGACACTTCCCAGAATGTGTCATCAAATGAGTCTTTACTTGACATAATTTAATAAATGTTTTCTTACATGTCAAGCATCCAAAGGGACGCTCGCCAGTGTGTAAATATATATGACACTTCAGTGTCATTTTAGTTGAAAATATTTTTCTACATATTGGACACTGAAGGGGAGGTTTTTTAGGGATCTTAAACATGTTTTAGTTTTCAATTTCTGACTTCCAACTTTTTAAACATGCTAGTAACTAGATGACTTTGTATGTATTTTTAAATATGTCTATTTTTTGTAGGATTTGTTAAATATTTAACAGTTTAAAACATCTCTTGCTTAAATATTATTATACCTACCTTACTTTTCAATGAAATGGCGACCATTTAATTTAATTATGTGTATCATACAACATATAATAAGCATACTCAAGGCAGTTTGCATAAATTTTACCTCTTTACCTCTAAAAGTACCTCTTTATTAAATTAGTCCACTTATGAAAAAAAGTATCTTCTATTTTCACGTTGTTTTCAAACAATAATGCACCAACCAATAAAAATTATCTACAGTTTAAATTCAAGTTTTACATAGTGAATAACTTACTTTCATTTGTACTTTTAGTGTAGTAAAAACTTAATCTTTTTAGCTGCTGTTTGAAGTATAATATCAGATTATTGATAATATCTTTCTTGCGACATGAATTGAAGTTCCTTTTCCTCTTCAAATCTATTGCCTCTTCTGAAAAAGACCATATATGATAAAATATGTACATTTGTTGTAATAATTTAGGTAATATTTTGTTTAAACAATGATTTCATAATACTACAAACATTTATCGGAATTAGATCCAGATCATTATAATAATGCAAAATCACAATCATTAATGAAATTAAAATTTGTGTAATCAAAGTATCTCTTGATACTGGCTGCATTTCTTGATATAGAAGGAGCTTTTGACAACACTAGTACTCGCTCTATTGTATCAAGGCTGGTGTCAAGAAATGTGGAAAGCACTGTAGTGAGGTGGATAGGCAACATGCTCGAAAGTAGGAGAGCGCAAGCTTCTCTGTGTGAGACGGTGAGAGAGATCAAGGCCGAAAGAGGGTGTCCACAGGGTGGCGTCTTGTCACCAAATCTGTGGAACCTGGTGGTCGACGATCTCCTGTCCGAGCTCAATACACAGGGCATGTACGCTAAAGATATTGTTGTACTAATAAGAGGAAAATTTATGAGCACTTGCCTGTAACTCATGCAGAGGGCATTATCCATAGTGGAGAGGTGGTGTAACCAGGAAGTTCTGAGGGTCAATCCAATGAAGACTGTAATGGTACCATTACATATCACTAGAATACCAACTCTCTTCGGTAATCAGATCCAGGTTCTGTTCAAGTACCTAGGAATAATGCTGGACGACAAGCTCACCTGGAACAGCCATTTGGCACATATAACGCAACGCTGTCAGACCACACTTATGATGATGAGATGATGATGAGGGATCAAAATCTTAAAATCAAAAATTTTACACTTACTGCCTTCTTTCTTTGAAGGGCAGTAAAAATAGGCCTACTATTATATTACACAAATATTTCAATAGCCAATGTTACCATCAAATGTTATATTACAAAACAAATTGTCTATTTGTATAGAAATGTTCTATTTAAGGAGGTTTTTCACTTTGAAATTTCCTAAGAATGAGACATTTTATTCTGAGACTGAGGATGGTTAGCCTAATGTTACATGACCCAATAACAGTTTGAATTTTTAAATCATAATTTTAATGTGATCAATGTGATTTACTCATTTCTACATACGATCGATCCAAAATTTATTAAAACTACGCACAGAGTCTCATTGGTAACCTTTTTTGAGTCGTCATAAGAGTTTTGTGTCTTCAAAAATTAAATAATATGTCTATAGGCCTAACTTAAGTGGGAATAAATTTGATTTTTCCCTCAAAATTCAGAGTTTATGTTAATTAACACAAACTCTAACCCATCAGTAAGTTAACACTGTTACCTAAGATAAGTATAGGCCTATGTGATGTTAACCTAACTTGTATTTCCTTGTTATTAAAAAATGTGTGGGAATTGGAAAGCTCATTAAACATGCTTTTGTTTGCAGAACATTTATTTTTTTGCAATAGGTTCGTATCAAAATAATTTTGGCGGGATAGACTTCCTATTGAGATATCGATTATTTGATATATCGTTTGTTTGGTTAGGTAAAGTAAGGTTAACCTAACCTAACTCACCATACAATATATCGAATTAAACAATCAAATGATCGATATTTTCATTCGGTTTGTGCTAACAGATACGGAAGTCTACCCATTTTGCAGTTGTAGGTAGGCGTATGTCCAAGCAGTATAGGCCAGAGAGCACAGAATAGAAATAGAAAGGGCATCGGGCGAGTGAAGTGAAGCCACCTGAAAATCGGCGTTGCCCGTACAAGTGGTGGGGAGAGCGATGAGTCATCCTAGTTCCGCGCGTCGCTGCGAGTTGCTACTATGCAACATTCATAGACTGATGCATGTGGAGTCAGGAACAGTACAAACCAACATTTGTATAATGTTAACAAGTGTCGGAGACCAAGCATGTGGTTTATTTTCCAAATTATTTATGTGAACGTGTTTATGTTGTAAAAATACTTGTAAAATATCCAATTTACTGTGGGTAATGGGTTTTCTTAATGTTTAATGGTTTCATTGGCATTTTAATACGATTATTAATAGATATAGATTGAGTAGGTACTTTACAGAAAAAAAAAACATTCAAAAGCATGCAGTTCATTTATATTCGTACATGTGTTTATATTTTAAATATAGGCTAACACAATAATGTAAAAAACCCCATTATTGTAGTTGTTTATTTTATAATACTAGCCTATATGGGACCAAGCTTTAGAGAAAATTGTGATAAGTTATTATAGAAAGTTCATTGATGGTTATATTTTAAAACATATAGAACTAAGCTCATATAGGTACGCAAGCAACAATGATAACTTAGTGAACTTTCTGATTTGGATTTTGTGGTTGATAGTCATTAAGTACACGAAACAATAACACGGATAAAATAGCTTTTCTATGGAATAAATATATTATTCAAATCCTGTGTTTTTGTCATGTGAAATAGCCTACTATTGCCATTTAGGCCTACACTTGATTTGTTGTTGTTTGAGCAAAGTAAAACAAACACAAAACGATATTTTTGTTTTTAAGTTAGCCTACATGAAAGTCGATTTAGGCACCATCTAACAAAGGTTGTACCATTTTTTAAAAGTATTTTTGAACAGATTTATGAACAGCATTTTGTTGTCGAATGTTCTATGTTCAAAATATTATTGATAAAACATGTAATTTACCTTGCAAAATTATCATGTATTATTGTTATATGTAATTGGTTTATTGCCATTTATAAATGATTTGTAGTTGTTTGAGCAAAGTTAAACGTACCCAACAAAATAAATGTGTTTTAATAACCTTATTACCTTAACAGTTTGTAAACAGGCATTAATGTAGGCCTATTGTTAAATATAGGACTGATTTAGTCATCATTTAGTTATTAATGACACAAAATAATAATTAAATTAACGTGAATAGCAATTGTATATATACAAATGTTACCGTGCTTATATTATAAATGCATAAATTAGAATCAATATTGAATGCATCAATCACTGTGTGCGTAGTAGAATCATTGACTTTGATATCTACACAGTGTAGATATAAAGTCAATGGTAGAATCTAGCCTATAGTAGGGTAGTAGTCAGAGACGTATAGTCGCAAGGCAGAGCCCGAGCGTCGGTGGGTCCCAAATTTTGCTTCCTCTTCTAAGTACCTGATTTATTTCCAAAACTACCGGTAGGTACTCAACATTTTAAAAGTTAATTTTTCAAAAAAATATAGCCTATGTTATGATTCAACTCAAGCTCTCAAACTTTGCCGCTAACGAAACTTTCCTGACCAAAAAAATAAAAAAAACTAACTTAGATTACTTACTTTTTCATGTTCTAATTCATAATTTAATAATTTCTTTGGGTTTTAACAGCTGTTAAAATGACAATAAAATTATTTTTCCTATTCCAAATTTACTGTCAGTGAGAAGCACTAATTTAGGCCTATAGTAGCTGTGCCAAATTTAGTAATTTTAGGTCTACTCTAGGTGTGTCTAATCATTGTACATTTGGAAAAGGTGATCTACCGCTTTATGCAGCAGTTGCCGCCACTTGCCCGTATAAGTGGTGGGGGATTGGCTACACTGCCCACAATGCTTGCTGGATATACGTAGGCCTAGCCCCTCTATTTCTATTCTGTGCTCTCTGGTATAGGCCTACAGGCATGTCATCATATTTTAAACAGTTTTCAATTAGGCCTAGGTGATTAATTAAAACATTTTAGACTAGGGAACTAGTGATACAAAACATGGGCTAGGAGCATGCACCGCATAGTAAGTTACCATCGTTAAAACATAACTTAGGCCTACTCCCTTGTGTTGCTTTGCCTATGACAGCCCAGTACACTCTGCACCACAACAGCACCTCACTGACTTGTGGTGAGGGGAACCGAGTAGGCCTAATGCCGGCTGTTTTCCAAGCGCCTTCGCCTAGCGCAGCTTGAGTCGGCATAATATCCTCTGCCTAGTAAGAAATATAACTTAGGAGGCTTGGTCAGCCTGATGTTTGTTTATTAATAAGTTATGGCAAAACTAAGCTCGGCCTATTAAAATCCTTTATAAATAGGGGAGGGTTAGGCTATAAGCTCATAACTTACCGTGTTCAGTTATTCATCTACAATTTTCTGGCCTAGTATGGTCGGGAATAGTCTAGCCTAGCTTCCTTTAGGTCTAACTTGAACTGCACTTAATTTTTAAAATGAACTTTCTAAAATAATATTGTAGCCAACTATCTTCTGGTGTGCTGTTTCCTTTTCTCAAGTTTCTTTCTTACTTTCGAAATTCGAAACGAAAACGACGAAACTAATCGGGCTAAGCTGCTACACTAAACACAAACACTACTTTACTTTAGTGAGTGAAGTCAGTGAAGTGGTAAGAAAGTAAAGAAACTTTAAGTTAACCCTTTCAGACCCGGGACCCGGGAATCTAAGTCCTCTCGACCGTTTCCTAGGCTAATTATGAATAAATGTTGGTTTTTCCTAGATTTCAAATACTAAAATTCTTAGTTAGGCTTGTTTTAAGGACGAAACCTTCATAAAACCATATTAACAATTTCAGTTTATCATAAATAGCATTAGCATTCACGCTTAAATAAAACAGTCATTTACCCTTAGGCTACAGTTTTCTTTCACTTTAGTTTCTCCTGACAGGACAGGCTGACAGACAAGTGACAATGCTGACATTGACTTGACGACAAGACATTGCAACAATTGCAACAAAACAATCAGTGTTACCATAAGACATATGAAGGCAGATTACAAAACGAAAATTCCCAGCTGATCTCCATAACCTACACGATCGATGAGTACAATAGGTCTGAGCAGCAGATCCAGAAATTTCAAAAAAAATAAATAAACATCTAACCTAACCTACACAATCGTGTTGGTTAAATTTTCAGGGGGTACACTTCAAAATCTGTTGGCACAAACAACCAAACTAGTAATATCGATCGATATATCGATTATTCTATATATCGTTTGGTTAGTTAGGTAAGGTTAACCTAACCTAACCAACCAAACGCTATATCTTGTGCCAACAGATATGGAAGTGTACCCTTTTCAGGACTTCAAAATTTACCTACACAAATGAGTGTGCTGGGTCTGAAAGGGTTAAGTAAGACTTTAAAAAATAATTGACTATTTTCATTTTCCTCATCCTCATCCGGAAGTGATGAGATTGATGAGAACCTTTTCCTTTTCTCTTTCTGTGAAGGAGTGGGGGATTGTGGGAGAGCGCCTCACGTCGATTTAACTCTGCATTGTCTCATCAGTAAATAACTTTACGCCACACTACATTATTTTGATGAACTTTCCACGCAAGGATTTAGTCCAGAAAACAGCTGTTTGCCGCCAGCTTATTCAAATGGGGTTTCATTGCGTAATACTGTTCTGCAATGAGTTTTACCGGACGCAAAATTTGTTTTTCAGGATTAATTTTGCCAACAGTGTCATTTAGAGGCTTCTGATTGACTATAACGAAGGTTTAGTAATTGAAAAATGATTTTTGTTCATAGAATAAAATTATAAATGCCTCAAATTCAATTTTATATTTTTTTATTATGAAATTAAACCGTCATAACTTAACCTAACCAACCAAACGTGCTGACAATGAAAAAATCTAATGAAGGTTTATTAATCGAAAAAGTAGTTCTGTTTATAAAATAAAATTATAAATGCCTCAAATCCTATTTTACAGTATAATTTTTTTATTCTAAAATTAAACTATCATTACCTAACCAAACTAACCAGACTTGCTTATAATGAAAAATCAAATGAAGGTTTAACCGAAAAAAATCTGTTCATAAAATAAAACTATAAATGGGTCAAATTCAATTTCATAATGTTTTAATTATAAAATTAAACCGCCATAACCTAACCAAACCAACCAAACTTGTTGATAATGAAAAAAATCCAATAAAAAAACTTAGTGCAACGGGTGGGATTCGAACCCGGGTCCTTCGGATCATCAGCCCAGCAGTCTATCCACTACACCACCGAGGCCGACGGCATCAACCGTATCGTCGAGGTAATGATGTTCCCTCAGCCAATCAGAAGCCTCAAAATAATACTTTAGGCAACACTAATCCTGAAATAAAAATTCAGCTTACCGGACACCTATCAGCTGATTATACTGTATTTTCGTGGCAATTAGTGGTTATAAACAAAAACATAACCTCTCTCAGAGGTTATGACTAGTGTTTATTAGTCCTTTAGTTGGTGGAAATATATAAGGATTTGTACGGATTAAGTAGTATGGCGTAAACTATCGTACGCAACTCGTCCAAAATGTGTGTACCGGACTCGTATGGTAATCCCGTACTCAACTTCGTCTCGCACGGGAACGACCACACTCGTCCGGTAAACACTTATTTTCAGGACTAGTAACGTAATATACTATTACGTGAATACAGCAACCAACCAAAGCCATGTTTAATGAAACATGAAGCCAATTAACTTTAGTGACATACACATAATTGGAGTATATCGGGTGGTACCTGAGTAGGGTAAGACCAAAAACCACCAAATATCGACAGGCTCACTTTTAACTAGAAAAAAACCCCCACCGCACTGTCGCAGCAAACCTGCAGACAGCGAATTTCCATTTGCCTGATTTTATTTACACTAAAATGTCTCCTTAGAAAATATCACATTTGTTCCCTATTTAAACAGAATTATTTTAATGAGTACTTATGGCAATGAATACACAAACTATAGTTTGTGTATTCATTGCTTATGGTTTGCTGCAACAGGGACGGTAAAAACGTTTTTTTTAATGTAAAATGTTAAAAGGTACTGTAGTTTAGTAAGAAATTAATGTATTTTCCAAATGTTATCAAAATAAGCAAACTACAACAGTTGACTTATTCTCCATAAGAATAACATGGGAATTTTAAAATTAATTTTTTTTTAATTTTATCCGTAATAATTAGGCGCACAACAACGCTTCAATATACTAAATTATTTGTTTTTTTAAGCTCTACAAATTGGTTTGGAAAGAAATTGTGAAATTTTGAGTTTTTAGGGTAAAAAATGAAAAACCCCTATTTTTACCCCATAAACCCCCGTTCCCTTAGTCCGGTCATGCTGGTTCGCGAACTCATTCAAGTTTATCCCGCCTTACACCTTCAAACCAAATTTTATCAAAAACGGACAAAAATGACTCAAGTTATCGTGCGGATGGACACACATACATATATATAAATATGTATAATTATATAGATATATAAAATTTGAACAAATTGTGTTTTGGCCTCTGGGGACATCAGAATGAAAAAGCAAATCGGTCGCGGGGGCCTAGGTCTTACCATGAGACCTACGATAATAGCTACTTCCCTATAGGGAAATTCGCTAATAAGGTCGTTGAGAATTAATTTTAGTCGACCTTGGTTCTGTGGCGTAGCCTGATCTCGATCTGTTTTCTGCGCGCCGAATTGGCGGGAAGAGTGTGTGTTTTTGTTTTAGCGAATTTCCCATATAGGGAATAAAATAAGCTATTACCGTAACTCATGGTAAGACCTGGACCTGGGACCGATTTACTTTTTCGTTTCGAGGTCCCTGGAGGCCAAAAACAACCATCCCTTCAAATTCATATATATGAATAAATGATTTTATTTCCATCAAAAATTTACAAGGTGAACACTTTTAATATTGGAAATATGACCACTTTAACAAGTTGTGTGGTCAGTAGAAAAAATTATAATGATCTAAAAATAAACATTTAATCAGCCAAGCTCAACATAAAAAATGACACCTGCTCCCTGTGATGTTTGACAATCCTTTTCTTAATAAAGCTAATACCATAGACTAACCAACACAAGGGAGTATGTTTTATCTATGCTAATACTTAAACTAAAAAATCAAAGAAAACAATACTTGATTTAAATTTGTATTAAAATTACATTTGGATGAGGTATTTTCATGGACAACATTATGCATCATGCTATTTCCAAAATTTTGTTTTTTTCCTAAAGCTGGGGGAGCGGAGAGAGGAGCGCGGTGAGCGGACTCCACTTGTCTTAGGCAATTTAATGTTACTGTTTTCCTAGAAGCGGAGTGGAATGCTATGTTAATTTCAATTCCGCTCTCCGCGTTCCTCTCTCTGCTCGCCGACTCCGCGCCTAGGAAAACCCAGCTTAACCGTAGACATAGACATAGACATAGACTTTATTTGCACAAAACATTCCATACATGTCATAACATTTAGAATAGGTGAATTGTCAAAATTAAATCCATACATAAAATATTTAACATTAAAACTTTTAACTTAAAATTAAACACTTAAAAAAAAAAAATTCTAAATTGTAGTTCTGTAAAAATCTTCAATTAAGTAAAAAGCCTTGTCAATAAGAAAATTATCTATTGTATCTTTAAATTTAGTTTTGCTTAGTGACTTATAGCATGCCGGAAGCACATTGTACAATCTCAGCCCAGCGTACAATGGAGATTTTTCATATAGGGTCAAACGGTGTCTGGGGAGTCTGAATATATTTTCATTTCGGGTTTCATACCTGTGATTAAAATGTATTGTTTCTGGTAGCTCATTTTTAACTGAATGTATGTAATTTAATAATTCTAGAATATACAACCCCATTAATGTATGAATTCTTAAATTTTGAAAATGTTTCTTACAAGAACTGCGTGGATGAGAGTTGGTAATAATACGAATAATACGTTTTTGTAACCTGAATAAAGTTTTAATACCAGTAGCTTGGCCCCATAAAATTATGCCATATCTTAACACTGACTCCACATAAGCATGATAAACTACTTTAAGTGTCTCAATAGAAACACAGTCCCTTAAATGTATGAATAAAGATGATATCGACCTAATTTTGTTACGTAAATAATTCAAATGTGAATCCCATTTAACTGCGTCATCTACGTAAACCCCTAAGAATTTATGAGCTTCAACTAAATTAAAGGAACAGTTTTCCATATTTTTGTGTCTAGTATAAAATTTAATAATATTTAATAATAACCTCATTCCCAATCTATATATGTGTCCGTTATCGCGATAAATCGAGCAAAAATGATCCAATTTTGATGAATTTTGGTACAAACGTGTAAACCCACATTTATTCAAATGAGTTCGCGAACCAGCATAATCGGACTATCAATTGCAACAGGGGTTTTATGGGGTATAAAAATTGATTTTTCCCATTTTTGACCTTAAAAACTTTAAATTTCTAAATTTCTCTCTAGACCATTTTGAAGAGCTTAAAAAAACAAATAATTTAGTACACTGAAGTGTTTTTGAATGTTCATTGACTACCTTTTTTTTTTGGCTGGGAAAACTTTTTTTAAATGAAATAGAATATCATCAATTTATAAATGGGAGGAATTGGCGAGCTTTAGCTAGTTATCTAGAAAACGCTTGGAAGTATAGATGGGAGATAGTGACAGAATTTAACTTTTGAACCTAAATTAATTGTATATGAAACTCGTCTACAGATAAGTTAGGTTCAGTATGTTTCTGTTTGTTTTTTTTTCACTTCTGTTATAAAATACTCTTTCTCTCTTATATATTTTCTCTTACCGGTATGTCTTTATTTCAGAAATATTAATAAATCTGTTTAGTGCTCAATATGCCTACTATTCTAATCTTAAGTAATTGAACAACTCTAGTGCCATAGTGCCAACAAAACAGACGGTTATTAACCATTGTTTTTATGTGTCTGTGTAAAAATCTATTTATGTTCTAAATTGTAGAATAAAACACATTTTCATTTCATTCATTCATTTCATTCATTGACTACGGAGAAAATTAAAAAAATTTAAATTTAAGATTCCCATGTTATTCTATGGAGAATAAATAAACTGTTGTAGTTTAGGGAATATTTTAGTAGAAATCAAGCCGGGTAAATGGAAATTCGCTTAGTATGCAGGTTTGCTGCGACGGGGGTATTTTTTGGTAAGTTTTGTACTGAACTATCCAACTATCTTTTAGAGCGACCTCACAAACTCGTCAATTTCGGTAAGTGTCTTATGCTTTATCGTAAGGAAACTGACATTTAACTTAAGGGATTACAAATAACTGATGATTGTAGGACGTAAACAAAATACTGTGTGTTATTCAATTAAGTATTAGTTTAAAGTTGTTAATATATCAAAAACGGTAGCTGAAAGATCTATTTTAATTTAATTATGAGGGTGTAGATTTTGATTCGTTATTACCTTGAGTTTATTAAATATGGACGCTGATGTCGATACTTAATTAATTCGATATCTAGCTAAAATGTTATATCGACGGATACTTTAAAATATTATTTAATTGATTTTTATTAATGCATTTTAATATTAAAACACACATATAAATAACTGTGTAATGGTTAGATATAAATGGAATACTATGATGATGAAGGCTAAGATTTTCTTATTGTTATATAACAAAATAAATTGAGTGAGTAACCTTATGCTTTTTCGTAAGAAAACTGATATTTTTCTTAGGGGATTCCAAATAACTGATGATTGTAGAATGCAAACCAAATATTTTATTCAATTAAGTATAGTTTAAAGTTGTTTACAAAACAAAAAAACTGTAGCATATAAACTGGTTTTCATTCAATTATGAGGGTGTCGATTTTTGATTCATACCAAAAAACATGCCATGATTGTTAAATCCGACAAGGGTAACAGGTCGATAATAATGTATAAATATTACTATGTTGACGAAGTAGATAGTTTCATTAAAGATAACTGCATAAAATTATAACGAAAAGATCCCACAACACAGCATCAGAAACGCACCAAAAATATAGATAAATGATAGTAAAATATTGTTCGACCCTGACGAAATAAATCGGTTAAAATGCATGAATCCACGCGAACCCATGCTGCGGGGATTGCCTAAGGTCCACAAAGAAGGCACTCCGATACGTTCATTGGTCGATTACACTTCTGCACCTACGTACAAGTTAGAAAAAAAACTAGAAACAATTTTGAGACAAAATATAAATGTCAACATAAATTACAGTGTGAAAAATTCATATGAATTAATTGAAAAGACAAAAACCGGAAATGTAAATATGTATAACACCCTAGCATCATTCGATGTAGTTAACTTATACAAAAATGTCCCCTGAGAAAAAAACACTAACTACTGTAGAAAGTCTATTGGTCAACAGCAACCTCCGACCGGAAGCTATTACAGAACTGGTGACATTGCTTAAAAAAGTGTTACCAGAATTATTTCTGTTTCGAAAATAATTACTACACACAAACTGATGGATTGGCAATGGTTTCGCCACTGTCAGGAATATTAGCTGATATATACTTGTACTACATAGAAGAAAGGGAATTCATATTTCTACAAAACACAAATACAAAGATAAAATAGTATCATATTTTTTATATGTTGACGATACTTTCTTTGTTTTCAATGGGGAGAGAGACAAATCAAACTACTCCAGAAATATCTCTGTGAGGTTCGTGAGGTCTGTGAGCTCCTAAATTGAAGTTCACCCTTGAAGTTGAAAAGAAGAACAAAATAAACTTCTTAACAATAGAGAAGTCACAAAATAAAGAGCTAAAGTACAACACATACCGCAAACCAACAACTTCATCTCAGACAATACACGCAACCTCGACTACCACCAATACTCACACAAAATTGCCGCCTATACCGTAATAGTATGATATACATACAGGTTGTTAAATGTGACATTGACCACTGAAGACTATGATAGAGAAATAAACAAAACACCATCAAATACATTGCCGTTTCTAAAGGGGACCATTACCAAAGTAAACTGATTGACCAGCTTATCTCCTAACAGGTCCAACGCAGAAATAAACCAGATAATAGACAGCCAGAATGTAATAAAAATATGTTTGCATAGAATTCAATGACAAAATCGAACACAATCAAAAAAAGCATTTAAAAAACAATGTCCAACTTTCGTTAAAAACTAAAAATAAAAACCAGAAATATTTTGAATACCTTCAAGCCCAATAGTGATAAAAATGATTCTACAGGCATATACAAAATTAATATTGTGCTGAGTGCCAGAGCTATTATATCGGTGAAACAGGACGCTCGTTTGGAACCAAATATAAAGAACATCACCCAGACCCAAGAACAGACCTCCAAAAGTCGACATTGGCCCAACACTTAATTGACAGCAATGATGATTTTCATGACAAACATCGGTCTGAAAGTTCTACACCACTGTCATAAGAGCCGCAAAATGGACGTGCTAGAAGAGTTTGAAATTTATAAACATCTTATAAACCAGGATTTGAACAATTGCATCCTGAACGATAAACTCCAGTTCCAATTGAATTATAATTAATTATATCTTTAACGCCTTGCTCCAAAATAAAAACAACATATCTACATCAGCTGACCACCGGCTTATAAGGAAGACGAAGGAGCAGATAAGTCTACTGGAACCACCTTGCAGTCTGTTCCTGCTCGTGATCACGGCAATGTCGTACAAATCGGTAGGCCTACTTAAATGTATTTAATCCGTCCGTATGTGTCTTCGTGTGTATGTGAACTAAATGTCTACCTGAAGAAGCTACAACAAGTGGATTTTGATGTTCCTGTACTACGATAGTTTGACAATGGCGTTCTGCTGAAACATGTAACTACAAGTACGAACTACAATTTTGGAACTGCAGACGAGGTAATAACCTTCACCTTATTTTTGTGCCCTTATTAGTAGGCTTACCCCAAATGACTGCTGTCCAATCAATGCTATTTTATGGTGCTCAGGTCTGAGCAAGGCCACACTGAAAAAACGTCTGAGCCCATGTGCTGGAGAGCTGTGTCTTCCGTGACAGGCTCTCCTGTGTTCAATGTCTAGGGGCCATGCAAGTTGCTTCTGCCTACTAAACACTCTCAGAGTCTGCAGTCAAGGTGATTGCCGGTGTTATACCCACCTTCCATCTCGCGAGGGAGCGACAGGCGATCTACTGCAGGAGACCCAAAGTAGGCAGAGTATACTGCCAGAGAAGAATGCGACCACAGTTTCAACTGCTGGCAGCACGAATGGAGCACCAAGGCTTGGGGACCACCACGCTCATTCCTACTATCTAACAGGAGCATGGTGAGGTTGGGTATTTGGTGAACCAGTTCTGGTCAGGTCACAGGTAATTCCGGGCTTTTTTTACACAGAATGGGGAAGGCCGCCACCCCAAACTGTCTGTACTGTCCCAGCAGTGCAGACACGGCCAAGCACACCTTATTTTGCAACAGATGGTATGTCCACCGAGCCTCCTTGATCTCTGAGATAGGCGTCAACATTACTCCCGACAACATCACAACATACAGGGGGAGAAAACCTGGAACTGTGTAAAGCAGTTAACAAGGCCGTATTCCGGGTTAAGAAGGTCAATCTTGACCAGCCTTAGCTTTTGCAAGAAATAAGAAGGAATGCCCTAAAGTCGGGACCACGTAAGTTTGCAGTTGGTGGCAGCCAATCACAAGACAAGGCTAGTGCGACGTTGCCACATCGCCCGTTGACAACACTAATTAAAATATACCAAGGAATATTTTCAAATCAGCTGGTATTATTAGATTTGGCAACACCGCACGGTTCTCATTGGTTCATTCAAAACCATATGGTAAATAGGATCCTCCCTCAACTGCAAACTTACGTGGTCCCGACTGTAGTGGCATAGTTTAAAAAGGCCTAGCCCGAAGTAATGTGCTAAACAGTGCAGGCTTGTGTACTAGGAGATGAGGGGTTCTTTAGCTGGTAGTCCGGGGACATTGAGGCCACGGAGTCCGGCTCTACTGAGAGGCCATTGAGCATCTCAAGTGTGTGTAAATGCATTTTTACCTCCTCCCACAACAAAAAAATTATAATTGTTAAAGCTTACCTTCAATACCAGCCCATCAATAAATAAAACAGAAATCAATTTTAATACTATTTATTAAATCCATATTCAAATTGTTGTCTTTACAAGAAAAGCTATTAAAACAATGAAAGACAACAGTATACAGCTTAAAGAAACTCAAACATAACATCCTCAGCTTAGCCTACGGTAATAAATACATTGGTAATTGCAAGAAATATACAAAATACACAAATGCGTAGATAAAATATATTTCATTTCACACACGATTAACTCTAACTCTTTGACCTCAAGTACTGTGGAAATTCTGGAAAAACTAAATGCTAAACATTCACATTTAACTAAAATTTTCCTATTTAAACTTAATAATCAAGGTTTACAAAAGTTTTGAACTAGCAAGCAACCAAACTGTCTTTCCAAACAGACGCTGAAAACTCATTTCAAACTATACCAATAATTTGTAGTTATTAAAAAAAACTGAACTAGATCCATTAAACATTAAATCTCCTCACTCAGACTCTTGAAACATCTTTCATGTTACTCAAAATAAATTCACTCAGACATAAATAAATGAAACAGCAAGTCTATTCCTCAATTACCATCTCACTCAGGAATGGAAATGAACAGGTACACAACTAGAGCTTGAGGCAAGCATTATCACTAACAAATTTACATCAGTCTATCAAACGTAATAGTAACAGTAAGACTTGCTTACGATTAGTATTTGGTCTAAAGGTAAAACTGACTAAGGACACTCCAATGGCAATACTGAAGTTTACGAGCGAGATCAAGCTATTACTAGAGGTTCGTCATCAGAAAATCCTCTGATTACTGGAGAGTCCTCGTCATCTGAAACAAAAGCAGCAAAGATCACAAAAATATAAAGTTGTTCCTTTGAAAACAAAGATAGAGCAGACATAACTGTTGCATGAACAATCACTATGTACACAGTTTGCACAAAATGTAACAGATTTAGGGTAATACTGGAGGAGGATTGACCATTATTAAGAATGACAAATCTCTTAAACCTTAATTTTAAAACTCAAACAGTTTTGAGTTGTTAATGGTTGAAAAACTTTTCTCCACAGATACAATCTGCTAAAAGATTCCCATAAATTACACTAGGGCTTACATTAAAATGTGAATATATTTAAATGAATTGAATTAAAATGTTAATATGTGATAATAATATAATGTTACCTTCTAACGTTCCAAAATGGTGTAGTCTTACGACGCGTTTCGTCAACACAGTGACATCATCAGGTGATCCGCTATCGCTTCGTCTTGAACATTAACACAAAACACATATCACGAACACATAATTACTACATTTAAGGACCGATCGGTATTGTCGTCGCTGTGGCCACAACTCGTTCTGGGCGTCGCCCAGAATTAATCATGTGCGTACGCGAGTTGTGGCCACAGCGACGACAATACCGATCGGTCCTTAAATGTAGTAATTATGTGTTCGTGATATGTGTTTTGTGTTAATGTTCAAGACGAAGCGATAGCGGATCACCTGATGATGTCACTGTGTTGACGAAACGCGTCGTAAGACTACACCATTTTGGAACGTTAGAAGGTAACATTATATTATTATTAATAACTGACGTTCCAGTAGTAGGAATGAATTCTAATAGTTAATATGTGAATTTGATTTAATCCCCAAAAGTAACATTGTTTAAATAACATTAAGTCAAGGTAGAAGAAGTGTGACTCGGTTGTTTGTACTTTCAATAAATAAAAAATGAAATAAAAACATAAAACTTGTTATCAATATGAAAAATATTACTTATAAAAGAGTAATGAATAAACATTTAATGTTAATACAAAAAAAACCACACACACACAAATTAGCCTATTATGAAAATTTCTTTGATTACAATGTCATAAATTGTTATGAGGTTCTTGAAACGTGTACAGTTAACAATGTCAAACAGTGAATGAAATTAAATTTTACTGGACTTAATTAAAGTGTGCAATCACAATTAAAACAACACTTCAGTTAGCTACACACAACCGCAGATTAGCTAACCCATGTTGGCAGATATTTCAGGGTTCCCACGGACCTGGAAAGTCAGGGAAGGTCTGGGAAAGTATTTAAAAAAGGCTGCAAGTCAGGGAAATACTTTAAAATAATGGTTAGTCAAGGGAAATTTACTAAAAACTTCTATAGATCGCGTTAGAAGTGAACAATTGGTTACTAAGATCTTTAGATAAAAATGTCCCCAAGTCATATCTCAAGCTTGCTTACAATAGTTTCTTTCAAAGTAATTTATACAGTAAATTACATATGCTTATGGGGAAATGCAGCTGGAGTACATGATGTCTTACTGGTTCATAAAAAAAACTATCAGAATCCTAGCTTCAGCAGACTACCGGTACTCAGAGCACTGTAGGCCTATTTTTATCCATGAAAAAGTGTTAACTGTCTTTAGTTCATATGTTTTGTATGTTCTGTTATAAGTAAAAAAAAAACAATCTGTATTCTTGTTGAAACGGCTAAATGTACATAGCCAAAACACAAGGCTCAAGCATGAAATTGGCATTCCCTTTTGTAGATTGACCAAAGCAGCCAAAAGCTCTAAAGTTATAGGGCTTAAACTGTACAATATACTACCTCATCATGTCAGGAATATTGAATCCTTTGCCAATTTTAAACTGTTGTAACAAATGGTCTTCTAAAGCACCCACTTTATTCTGTTAATGAGTTTTTACATTTGAGTGCTACTTATTTTAGAGAATTTAAGTAACATGCATTGTTATATGAAATTTTTTTATTTTAAGATATTTTTATTCTCAATGGACAACCATGATCTCTTCTGTGATATAGGCTAAGTTGTACATGTATGTTACATAAGGTCCACTGTGATAATGTTCATGACTCTGTTATTTTTTAGTTCATAGTTTTCTTTGACAATGTCTATTGCACAACTGTGTCGAATGACAATAAAGGATTCTTATTCTTATTCTACATTTTTTTGGAAGATTTGTTATATTGAAATGAGATAGTTGCTGAAAAAAAAGATTACTAAGTTTGAAAAATCTGTGGTGTATATGTAATTTTCATTACAATTTTTTTTCTATTTAGAGCTGTAAGTATTAAGAATTTGATTTCTTATATGGTATTGTATTAATAAATATCCCCGCTACAGCAACCCTCAGATTAAGCAAATTTCCATTTACCTGGCTGGATTTCTAAAGTATTCCTATAAAATTATTTCCTGTTAAAATAAGATTAATTTTAATAATTACAAAGGTTTGTTGCTACAGAAAATATAATAAGGAGTGTTTTTATTAAAATCTTGATAGCTTAGTACAAAATAAACAAATTTGTCAAAAAAAATAAAAGTAAATCGGTCTGTGGTCTAGAAGTCTTGTCATGAGAACTGCAGTACATACAGTAGCATATAGAAAAATCTGTAAAATGGAGGTGTAATGGTGGCTATGGGATGGTGGTATTAAATAATAATGAAAGTTATTTTTTAAGCGACTTAACTACCTAAATATTAAGAAAACTCACAATACATAAAATATGCCGTGGTCAGAGAAATGAACAGAAATCGGTCAGGGAAAGTCAGGGAATTCACTTAATATTTTCGTGAGAACCCTGTATTTCTGTATCAATTTGTATTTAGATTCCGGTCCTATATTAGTACTGCTTTTGATAACATGTAAATTAAACTTCCAAACAGAGATGAAATTTAATATCTATGTTGAAAGTGGTGCCAGTTATAGAATAAACATATTTTTAATCATTCAACCAAGAGTGTGGTGACAGCACACAGTTTTATACGGATAAAAACATTGAATTGTTATTCGCAACATTTTGATCATACCAATTTCATGAAATCAGTAGGGATGGACGGGTCCCAAAATAGCGGGAAATTTTCTGGAAATATATTCCCGATTTTTAGGACAAGATTACATTTGATTCGGGAATTTTTTGGGACGGGATTTGATCCGATCGTCGGTGATTTTGCCACTTTGCGAGTGACGATGACGCCGCTATCGCGAGAGATGTTCACGATAGTTCTGTGAACGCAGGAGGCGGAGTCATACCAACAATTGCGTCGTGACCGCGTAGTTGTACTGACCGCAAGTCAGGTTTCTATACTTGTAAATTTTGACCAATTTTTTGTATTTTATAGATCAGTGCTACAATTAGTTTTTCTTTTTTGGTAACTGCAATACTCAACTTTCTTTTTTTGCACAGGAAAAAATACCATCCCGTCCCGTCCCAAAAATCAAGAAGGAAAGAAAAATCCCGTCCTGAACTAAGAATTCAATCTCGTCCATCCCTAGAAATCAGCATCGTTTATGTCCTCAACCTTTGTGGATTTATACTCGACGAAGGATTAAGTTCTTCAGGGGCGCACTCAGACTATTGGTTTGGGGGGGGGGGGGGGGGGTTGTAAGCTAAAACCAACCAACTGATTCATTTACAAGTGATTTTGAGTTTTATACAAATACGATATTGATATTTACAGGATAAATAATACAATTTTTATTTTGGCTGTGTAAATATAATTAGAAAACAAATTAGATATAAGTTTAAGTTAAACTTATAGATTTACAAAACAAAATCCAGACGGTTAGACGATTTTTGACTGTACTAGTGATTCAATTACTCTGTGAATATTTAAAGCTTTGAGTCCACTCAGTCTATTTGCATCCATACACTGTACTCATGACAATACGACTACGAGTACTACGATTTGCAACTACACAGTGCGAGCGTGTCAAGGTCCAGAAAGGAACTGTGCTATTGATTGAGCAAGTGCCGCTAATCGCTAGTGGTAACGGCTTGTGGGCACTATGAGGCAGGGCAGAGGGCAAACGTGCAGCCGTGCTGTCTGTCTGCATAGGCCTACAAATACTTCTTACAAAACGCCTGCTCCTTGCTGTATTTAATTCAAGTTCTGTTGGTAGAATAGGTTTAAAGTTTATGCTATTTTAAGAGCTAACCCTAGGTTCTAAGCCTCCCCTGGGTGCGCTGCTGAAGTTCTTTTCAATGAAAAACTTGGTTAGCTGGTCCAAACGGATGTGATGTCTACTTCAGTATCCAAGAGTCAATAGTACTGCTTTACAAGTGTCTTTTACTCATAAATTGTAAGTTACAGAAATTACATAATAGATTAATAAATCTAAGCTGTAAGAAAATTTAACTTCAACTGCCCAGGCTTTACACAAGATATTTTGTGCATGCATTTGGTAGCTTACCTATCAGACTGTTGCCTGTGAAAGCAGCAAAAGCAAAGCAAATAGTGAAGAGATAATGCCAAGTAAACAAATGTTTATCACAATATGTGGTGTTAGAGCTGTGATCTACAAGTGATTTAGTTATTGCTGTACAAAGTTAAAACAATTATGAAACACATAATATGTGTACTAAAATCTGTACAAAAAACAGTTTGAGCAGAAACTGAACACAGAGTAGACATGCATGAAAATAAGTTTAGTACACATTTAAAAAACATCACTCATCAGTTGTTGACAAAATTCAGTCAAACATCAGTTATAACATTTGTGCTACTTACAAATTTAAAAACCACAAATAAAATCACTATCAGCAATAATTCGTTTGTAGTAAAATTATGAGAAGAGAAATCAAAATTGATTTAATCACAGTGATGATTAGAAAAATTGATGCCATTTTAAAATGAACTGTTATTTACCAGAGGGTGGAAAGTAACACAAAGGCTGTACTTGCCTTTGAGATTCTGTTCAAAAATTTTATATCTACTTTTCGGATATGGGGAATTGAACAGTTCATTTTATTTGTTCAATCACACAGGAAATTATACTTTATTAGGGTTGCTTGATCAAATTTGATCAGGTAAAAAAAATGTTGGTTGTAAAATGTTTAGAACACATGACAATTTAAAACTGATAAGAGATAATGTATGTTTAGGTTTAATTTCTATTAAAACAAAATTTAGGGTGGTTTAGCTTATTTATAAAAAAAACTTGTGTGCTGATTTAGGAATCGGCAATAATGATTCTCTTAACAAAACAACTACTTTTGTGCTGATTTAGAGATTAAACCATGGCGTACCCTTGGTATCAACTACTTCATTAGTAGAACATAATGAAGATTACTAATTTTATAACTTATGAAAAAAATCACAAATAGATTAAGTACCGGTAACTGATGAAACCTGGAACTAAACATACACCCTCAACAGTTTTACATCACATAATACATTAAGTCATATCATTCGTGCTCCCTGAAAGTTGAGGTTAGTTTACAAAATAAAAATAGTCATTTTTAATACCCACATATTAATAAATCCCTATCTAGGATGTTTTGAATCTCACCCTATTTATGTATTGTTGGTTCAAAAGTAGACGGAGAGCTGCTCACCTAAAATACAGCATCCAACATCAGTTGTGTTGAGATATCGATGAAAAGTGTGTGGGTAAATGTAACTCAACTGTGTTTGTAATAAAAATAAAAAATAAACCTGCTATTAAAATAGAGTTTGATATATAAAAGGTGTTTACAGCAAAACCTCAATGATAAGTCCCCCTCGATAACAAGTTTCAATTTCAAATACCCTGGATTTACCCTAACCATATGTTATTACTAACTTTGACATGAAGTTTACTGTATGTGGTTTATTTACCTAGTATTTTCCTTCCAGCCCCAGCTCAAAAAAGTTGTATAAACCACTATTAATATTTGTGTTACCAGTTTAGGGGCAAACCACAACTCCTTGTTAACAAGTCTTATTTGATAATTCACATGAGATTATCCTATAAACCCTATGGAGATTCTTCAACCGTATTGACTATATATTACCATTATTTTAAACTCTAGACTTAGTCAAACGCAAAAAGACTATAAAAATAATGGAAGAGGAGGAAAAGAAGAACAGAGCCTGCTAACAGCCTAATACTGATAAGGCAAGTGCGGCGTACTGCCATAATGTCTCAAGGTCTAGACGTAAACTCCCACGGGTCGCATCGTGAAAACTCTCATTCATGTTGTGTCTTTGTTGTTTTTCTTTTATTAAGTGTGAAATATGACGACCTTCCGAAGAAACAATCCTGCCCCTTTAACACCTGATGATGGCTCCATAGAGAGCCGAAACTAGTTGCCACAGCAACCAATTGTTTTACAGGTTTAAATAAAGAGCATTATTTCACTCATTCTAACATGGAATTACAAAAAAACCTATTATGGTATTCTCAGTACGGTAGTTTATTACCAATGTACTGTTATTTCAAGATGCTTGCTGTAAAAACATGTCTTCAACGGAATATTTATTTCACTCCCTTGTTCAAACAGTTCAGACGACGTTACAGAAATAATAGGGTAGTCTTAGTAATCTATTATTTAACAATAACAGGTGACACTTCAGCTATAGTAATTTTTATCATATTAAACGCCTAACTCTTATTTACAACTACAAGTGGAAAATCTGAATGAAATCACAAAACTATTTACAGTTTCCTAATACAAACTTCCTACAACAAGAAAAAAATCATTCTTACCAAGCCCATCGGAACCGGTGTTGAATGTCGCCGTGCCTGAGCGTGTGCTGAAGTGACTGTTGGCAAAGTTGGCAAATGTGTTCTGTAATCTGCGATGTCGGAAGGAGATGAAGCCAAGAGCTACGGCCAATACGCAGCAGATGACGACAATGATGAGAAGTATTGGTAAGATCATAGATTTGACACTGGATTGGTGGAAAAGTTCTGGCCACATGTCTGAAAAGTGTATTGAAACAGGTGTTAGTGCCTGTATTGCTTGTATATATTATCTTAGAATATCCATTCAAAAGCTGTAGCATAGATTAAACATCTCCATCATAGATTTGTCATCCATATGGATCAGCTGAAGGCAATTTCGATGTTAGTTCCCTGTAGGGTTGTGTTTAGTTTACAGTTTGTTTCTTGTTATTCCAGTTATTTCCGTTATTCCAGTTATTTCCAAACTAGTTTAACCAGTTGAAACAATCAACAATAATTATAATTATTATCATCTAGGACAGCTGAGTCCACTTTTGAACCACCTAAAAGCTACTAAGGATACACTTTCTCAGGATCGAAACAGCAACTTTCTGATTGATAGACGAGATCGGGTCCGCGGAATTGGCTAACTCTGGAACTCGCTAACCCCATGTTAAACGCCCTATCTTCGAATTTGGTCGATGAGAGGAACTCGCTAACTTGTTCGGTTTTGGAATTGGCTAACTCCGGAACCCGCTAACCCGCTCTAGAGCCGGGTTAGCGAATTCCGTCCTCGTACGGAAGTCGCTAACTCGGTCCCACGGTGGAACTCGCTAACTCCCAATCAGAAGCCTCGCGGGCCGTCCAATGGGAGCCAAGCACGAATATTTTTGGCCAGTGTTGCCGAAAGTGTAGTACCTATATCGTATCGGTACCATAATGTCGTATCCTACGATTAATTAGGAGTAAGAGCAACGTAGTCGATAAAACAAATATATTTAGAAGTATGTTTAACATTATTCTTATGATTATTAGGGTGGAACATGCATTATAGTCTTTCCATAGACTAACCAACACAAGTAAACTTTACATCCCATTGTAAACTTTGAAGCTCGTTTTTCGCGTCTAGTTCATGTCCGGTGACACTGATCGCTAGTGTCGACAAAATTGTGTTTCTATTATTTTATAGTTAACTTCGTGATTTGTTCTTTACTGTTTGGTTATATAACTAGGGGACGTGTTATTAGTTGTAATTAGAACGTTTTATTTGGTTAAGCAAGGTTTTAAATTACTGAAAACAAGAAACAATTGTAAACAAAACACGACCTCTAAAGACAGTGCACCGGACAGAACTAACAATACAACTGTCTTCAGATGATCCATAAGGATGAGAAATGTACTAATATAAGGGATTATGTTTTATATGTAGGTTTCTTACTTAAATAGTAGCTTATTGTTATGCAAAAAGATAAAAATGCACATTTAATTTGGATCTATTACATGTTATGAAATATCTATTTTCGTAGTCCGCCAATTGTTTCTTTTATTTGAATAAATACCATTTTGTGAACTTCTGCAAATTAAATTATTGAGTTCGTATTTTATATACTGGGCTTGTAACATTAAATCATAAATCATAATAAAATTTACACGTTAAACGTCATTACAGAATTACATTTTACTGGTAATGTATTTTTAAATAGAGCTATTGAATTTATATAAATATTTATCAATACATTATAAAGTGGTAGGCCATGGATTGCATTAAAAGTTAGTCTATGCATAAATACAACTTGTAAATTTCTTTTATCGTAGGCTATTAGCATTGACTATGCCCATAGTCAATGCTATTAGTGTAGAACCCGGGTCATCCTCTTAATTTTGTTGAATTAATATTAATTTTACGTCTTTCAGTAGGCCTACTTTTTAAAAGTCTGGAGTTTTTCTCCAGGCTGGTTCTAAATGGACCCAGGCGTTCTTGTTTGTTACAATTCTTATTAATGGTGGCCATAGCTAAAATTACTTGATCTTATCCAAAAACAAAGCTATTGTCTATTGTGTAGCCCAGTACTGGGGAACGGTGAACCGAGCAATGGCTTGGTATAGTTTATATCGATTGTGAAAGCAATATAAAGGAAACCCAACACTCAAATCAGGAAAATCCGTCAATTCGTTTATTAAGAATCGTGAATTAAAATAATCCTGTCACGTTTTATTTATATGAATATTATATCTTCTCCTATTTTTTACTAGTGGTGCTTAGGTGTACAATCTAAAAACGGGTTTAAAACATGTAATTGCTAAAAAATTCAACACATTTTAGAATTAGGCAACTATTTACTAGTAGGCCTACAATTAATTCTTTGGCTCAAACTATTAAGCCTAGATAAAAACTTAGTCTATGTCATCATATTTGTACACGTAAGTTGGACGGCTGAACGACGAACATTTAATTTAAAATCTATGAATTAGTTATGAAAGTTACGATGGTTGATGACTGTATTAATTAATGGTTTTGGTTTATTACGGCATTACAATTAAATCTGTTAAATCTTGTTTTTAAGTACTTGTGTGCATTTTAGCTTAATTTCGTAGAGGTTTAACTATTTAGTAGCAATTAAAATAAATTTTGAATATTTTTCATATTCTATTATTTTCTTTTATACTGATGGCATTTATATTTACGATCGAAATCATAAACATTTAACTGGCCATTTTACGGTTTAATAAAAACACTTTTTCATGATTTTTTAATTGTCTTTTAATTACTTTTTTGCTAGTTATCTGTTAAAAGTGGAATTGATAACAAAAAACAATAACATTTACTGTATCTTTATAGACACTGACATTTTGAAATACGGCAGTGTACGATTATTTTGTCGTACAAGGTTGGCAACGCTCCGAGCAGTGGGCGCTGCCGGGTTAGCGACTTCCAGAGTTAGCGAATTCCGCCGCGAGACAAAATCGAGTTAGCGGGTTCCGGAGTTAGCCAATTCCTGACTGAGACGGTTAGCCAGTTCCAGAGTAAGCCAGTTCCGACACACGACCGAGTTAGCGAGTTCCTGAGTTAGCCAATTCCTACGTCTCACGAGATCTATAACCACTCAGCTATCTAGATACATCAACAGATTAGTGTTTAGATAAACTATTTAAAATATGCAATACCTTTGGGGAAGGCAACTGACACCACCTCAGAAGGTAGAGATCTGTATCCAGCATCCGTCTCAAGGACCACAGCGTAAGAGTGAATGGTATCCTCGTCTTCTGGGTTATAGATAAACGGAGCAGATCTCGTCTTAAACTGCTTAGCCGTCGAAACATTGAGCGAACTGCTCGGAGATACCAGTACAACGTAGTGATAACTGAAAAAAGGATGGTATCAACATTCAACAAACTGATATAGTGGACTCTTGATAATTCTAAATTACTGGGCTAGGTAAATAAATTTGAATTATCAAGAGAAAAATAAACCCTTCGAATTATGATTTTTTTCAATACTGGGCATTTTTATATCAAATCTTTTACAGGCATGTTTTGACTTCTACATAGTCTTAGACACAAAACTAAACACTCTTCTAGTCCAGAATATTCACTTTTTGTTTTTCAAAATATCGAGCAACTTAAATCAAAATGCTTGGTAAAACTTCAAAATATATTAAGAGATTCTCTACGAACAGAGATTTTATTTTGTATGTTCAAAAATGTTGATTGATCAAGTGTTTGCTTTACTAAGATTATTCTGTACATACTTTCCCCATTAGCTTATTAACAAACTTTTTATGGGAAAAATCACACAGAATTTTATGGGTAAAATCACAAAGGTTGCAATAGGCTAGCTTTTGAACCAAATTTTTTAAAGCATTTGGGGTTTACCATTTTGTTTAGAGTTCAAAGGACCATACCATACTAAATTTTAATCTAAATCGGGCCCTTTATGTAGACATCAGACTTTTCCATTACCTTTTAGATTTTTGGGAAAAATCACCATTAAAATAATAATTTAAAAATTAAATAATCCTGGTGATACCATAAATTAGTACTCACATACAAAATGTAATTAAAACCAGACCACAGGTGTAGTCTGTAGCTCTGTACACATCCACACACACAGACAATCACTTCAAAAGCCAGATTTGAAACAGGTGGACCTTAAACCTACATTAAAAAAAAATTGAAACCAAACTATAGTTTCTCCATACATTATGTATAGAGGGAGAAAGTAAAATACAAAGTTTTCATGACAATTGCTTACTCTTTATTGGTGAGGTTGGCTGGCAGTTCATCTTGTCTCCAGTATAACACATGGCTGCCGTTGGTCTCCTGTAGTACCTGTAGCTGATGTGGCGGAGGTAGAGGTCTCGCCCAATATTGTACACAGGGACCACTCACCATGTCCTACAAAATACACATAAAACCAACACGTCTTATTAACATTGTATGTATTATAGTCCGTGCGATGGAACCTGTCCCCTGAACCTTCGTCTATCTAGGACCTTTAACTTTTGACTAGTCCCCAGGTAGATGGTAAGTTCCAGGTTCAACTCCTATCCATCCCAAATATCAATGAAATAATGTTGTTATGTTCTCAGTGGTTTGGAGTCAATCCTATGCTATTAGGTCTTTTCCAACTAGAAAACAGAAAAAGTTATACACCTCAGGCGAGAACTTTGTGTATTTTTGAGAATTTACTCAACTGTAAGCAATTTGCTCAAGAATTGTAAAACATCCTATCCGAAAACAATATACACCAAACGTAATATTTAAATGGGGTGGCGAGAAAGTGTCACAGGAGTTTATTACCCCCACCACATTCATACAAAATTAGCTAGACCATACTTATATAATTTCCCCTTTGGCAATTAAAAAAAAACTATCCAAAAGCTGGGTACAGTAGAACTCCGATTATCCGAATCAATAGGGACCAGACCCCATTCGGATAATCAAAAATTCGGAAAATAGGAGTTTTACCGGAATTCCGGGAATTTTAAAGAAAAATCCTCATTTTTGGTACTAAGTAAACTTTTAATTAATAATAATTTAAAGTGTTTTAAGTGTTCTATACATGTTATTAAGTCAATAGTGTTCCATCGAAGTCCAAAATTGGCTAAATGTGTTTAATAACAATTCTTTGATATTTTGCAAAACTTATTACTGTAGCTTTACGTTTTTAAAATTGTTGAAATAAGCGATTCGGATAATTGGAGATTCGGTTAATTGGAGTTCGGATAATTGGAGTTCTACTGTAGTAACTAATTTTGAAACGCAAGGACCTAGGTTTCAAGGATTTTTGTGAGAAGGGCTTAGTTGGTTGGTTGGTAATTTTACTGGGACTGACAGCGTTTTTGACCAAAGTAGGTTTGACTTGGAATGTTCACTTTACCTTGACAGCCGCTGAGATGCATACATTGTATCCTCCACCATATTGTATGTAGAAAGTGTGTTGCAAATCAACGGAAGCAGTGGGTGCCAATCTGTAGGCTGCTGTCAAGCCCAGGTTAACCTCAGTGACTGTAATCTGTAAACAAACATTAATCAAGATAAAACCAATGATTAACCTGGTTAATTTCTCCATGTGTACTCGACAAAAACTTTAGTGTGTTACACTAAAAGTTTAATTGTTTCTTGATTTATAATTATAAAATATACTAATCTATCAAACATACAGCCTTGGTCCGATCATGCAGGTTCACGAACTCAAATCTAGAACCCTATGCACTTGCTACAATTTCAGAGCCACTACTGCAGCTATTAGAAAACTCGCCTTTGGCAAACTCGTGGGTTTTTTGCGTGGTTAAGGACCAAGACCGATAATCATACAAAATTTCAGATCCCTAGATCAATCGGAATTGCTAGACCTAGCATGAAGTAATGTGTATAACAATTTAAGGCCAGAACCTAGCGTCCTAGGATGTGCAGGTGGGACATTCACCTCGTAGGCAATAGCCTGTGACACGTGGGTACAACTGGCACTCCATGTGACGCTCATAGCTGTGTCGTTGTGGGGATCAGCCATAACACGTAGTGCCTTGGGTGGAGCTCTAGCGTTGAATTGTGTCTTGATTGTGGCTGGGCTTGAACTGAGCGGTCCCACTCCTAGAGGTCCGACCAGCCCTACACTCACTATGAATGACTCGCAAGCAGCAAGATCTCGTACTGTGGCTGAGGTGTTGGTTGTAGTCAGTCTAGCTCCTACGAAAGAGATGTCACAAATATGAAATGAAAAAGTGCTTTATTGACAACAACAAACAAGTTAGTCAGTCAGTTTACCGATCCGCACAATGATGTAATCACTTTTGTTTAGGCCGGCCAAAAGTATAAATTCTCAATGTTACGTGTAAATATAAATGTTTCGTGTGTCAGTGTATGTGTATATGTGAACTTCAACGGTGACCAATGCTATCAATAGTAATTAACAAGACAGAAAATTTGACAATGGAGCTGTTGGCCCCGAAACTATAGTCATTATAAAAGACGACATGGATTGAGGACGTAAACAAGGTATTTAACCTATTATTATATTTAATTTAATTCCAGAGGACGCTTTTTAAGGTTTAGTACTGCTCGACATTATGATTGAAAATTTTGCAGCCTGATTAAAGTAAGTAAATTATGGCATGGATCTAAAATTAACAAATTGTAAATTAGTAGTTATATTTATCTAACAAACTGTCTTAAACAAATATGATATTTTTTTATACTTTTTCATGTCGTTGTATTTAGCGACAAACCTTAAAAGAGTCTTCCACTATTTGTTAAGCTTTGGACCCAAGTTTTAATCCTTATAAACATGTGCAACTTGCACACGGTTACCCCAAGTAACTCATTGCTATTTTTGTGCTGTACAACCTTATTTCATCACAAATTTAACTATTTAAAATCTGAAAGAGAAAGTCCCGTATTAACTGTCATATCAGTCACAAGCACCCATACTGCAACGTTTTTGTTTACCTTTAGACGACAACTCCTTCATGGTCAGTCCATAGTATACACCATATTGCCAATCCATCTTGCGGTTGTCCACTGGCGGACTCCAGCCGATCTTGATAGAGGTTCCATGAGCCTTCACCACTTCTACGTGCAACTCATCAATACGAGGCAGTGGTTCTCCTATAACATCAGACCCTGAGTCAACTCACACTCGTCAATCCAATTGGATACTGCTTAGAGGAATAAATACAAACTGTAAAGTTATCACAAGTTTATAGGGGCAAAGAGTTAGTAACAAATAGATTAGACAAGGTGACAGTTGAAGACTTAAAGATACTAACTAAGACTAAGGTTTTGGTTTGGACACGTGAGGTGAAAACATTTTTGGGAAATTATGAGTTGATGAAGATAGATGAAGATGAAAAGGGAAGGAGAAAGGAAGATCTAGAAGAAGATGGATAGATTAGGTGAAGAGGTGTAAGAAGAAAAGAGGAGTCGGATGGCAGGATGGCAGATTGTGGGGGAAGGGAAACTGTAGGCTATAGGGATATAATATGGCAAAGCCTAGTTGACAAGCGAGTATAAAAAACAAAAAACTAAATGGAATGTCAACTTATTACATACAAACTTTTGGTTTCCAGACTGAGGGATAGGATAACACTTAAAAAAACCTAACTTTTTTATTTCAAAGATTGATAGGTAAACATTTTGCTTTGACCAATATCGATGATGTGTTTCTGTCGACTTTAATACATAAACAGAGAGTCCACCAGGCCAACCAGAAAAAATTCATGAGTAATTCATGAGTAAAAAAAATTCCAGGTAGTTCAGGTAGTACATTTTATACTAAAATTTCCAACGTGTTTTGCGTCAACTCCGACAATGCTGTTTAGCACTAACACAGCTCGCTATTTTAGTTATCGGAAAGAGCATTATCAGTTAAAGAAACAAAATTTTTGATTGCTGTAATATTGCCTGACACAAGTATTCAATTTTTATATATTACTGATAAAACAATCCGAAAAATTAAAAACTAATCCTTAAACCTGTAATTTATTACAAACTTCTTAAAAAAAGTGATATGTCGGTAACAAAATTATTTATCAAATCTCTGCACAGACACCTGGAAAATCGATTCTTAATACTGATAATTTCAATTTTACCAAATTTTCTGAGGGATTACTACACCAACCCCTGTCTTTATGTACTTTCAAATAGTATGTAATTTTGGAGTTATGAGTTGTTTTTCAAGTAGCCTACAGAAATAATAATGCAGAAATTACAAAAATTGCAGGAAGCCAATTTAAGTTTTAAATCCTTCTAAACACATTAAATAAATACACCACTTTAAAGGTAAATGAAGATATTACAAAAATTCAAAATAAAACTTGGACAAACATAAACTTGGATTTTATGAAAAAAAGCCAATGTATATGGGGTCAAAATTTTATAATATGTTACCAAAAGCCATTAAATCTGAGAAAAATATTAATAAATTCAAAAATCAACTAAAAAAATATCTTATTGATTTAACATTATATTCTTTCTCCGAATTCCCATGTAAAAATGATGTGTAAAGAAAGTTTTTAGTTCTGTTTTTCTTTTCATGCATATAACTATATCTTTTGTTTTTACAGCCTTAGTATTAACCAATCTTAGTTATAATGTATCTTAGTATTAACACGTTGACTGCGCATGCCGACTTTGGTCGGCGTCAGTCGGCGTCGCCAGCGCTCCCAGGTGGCGCGCGCCGACAAAAGTCGGCACCAGACCAACAGAAATATATTGAGTCAGTGTGAGCTTAGCCTCAGACGGAGACGTTATAATCGTTGCCAGCCTGCCAGCTTAGAATGCGAGCTTTACTTTGGTGTAGGTTGGTACTAAAATCTCCCGTAAAATCCTGTCTGGCAATTCTTTTGTCCCGGTTTTGGGGATTTTTTCTACTCAACCCACATTACAAAGGCACTGGATACGGATCCGTGCAGTGCTGCTACCTTTCGGTGTTTCAGTGAACTACATCCACTTGCGGGGTAACGCAGCACAGTCACCACTGCTCTTTTGTGATTCGTCAGACTGAAATATTTGAATGCCAATTGCGTTCGCTGATTCGGTTGCGCGCCGGGGCTTCGCCCGCCACTGGGAAGCGCCTGTATAGTCAGCGCGCGCAGTCAACGTGTTAATTAATATTGACACCATTCTATGTACAGAGTACTAATATTGAATAAAGATTTTATTGATTGATTGATTGATTGATTTCTAGACAAAAAACTTCATTGTCAACATTCATTGTCGCAGTTACGGAAACGTCATCGTCGTCACCCGCGGTCACGGAAACATCATCGTCGACACCCGCAGTCACAGACACGTCATCGTCGTCTCCAGAGGTCACGGGAACGTCATCGTCGTCTCCCGAGGTCACGGAAAGGACATCGTCGTCTCCCGCAGTCATGGAAACGTCATCGTCATCTCCCGCGGTCACGGAAACGTCATCGTCATCTTCATCTTCCGCGGTCACGGAAACGTCATCGTCGTCTCCTGCGGTCACGGAAACGTCATTGTTGTTTCCCGCGTTAACGGATACGTCATCGTCGTCATGCGCGATCGCGGCAAAATCACTAACAAATCCCACGCAGTTTGTACATCATCATCGTTTCCCGCGGTCAGGGAAATGTTATCTTCATGCGCGATCGCGGCAAATTGAAAATTTCCGATAAAATACAAAATTCACGCATAATTCCAGGTTTTTCCCGGTTCAAAAAAATCACCCATGATTCTCGGTTTTCCCGGTCGGTGGACACCCTGATAAAGACGGTTAAGTCAGTTGACCCAAGACCGAAAAATAACCTGAATAGAAAAGCATAAGATTACTCAAATTGGTGTTCGATTACTTACGAGCATGTCAAACAAACATGCAAATCTTTTCCATTAGATCATGTGTCACTCAGTGGTGGATTCAAAATTGTCTAATCCCTCTGAATTGAAAATAAACAATAACAATCCTTACCATTAGTTCTGGTGGTGATAGAAGCTGGTCTCCCTTCATAATGTTGGTTGAAAGGTATCACCTCAAATGAGTAATCAGTGCCAGGTGCAAGGTTCGTAACTGCAATATAAAACATGTTGTAAGCAATACTGAAACCAGATCTCGGTTTTTAACAAACATCGATGCACAAATTAAACAGAAACATAATGTTAAAAATACAAACGAAAATTAGTTGTAAATAAATAAATAATGTCTACTACCATTTTGCCCAATTATACACGTGGGAGCAAATTCTTAAAAATGTATTTACATGATTTAGTGTCTCAATATCTCATTTATATTTTTTTAAACTGTCTCACAAAGTTGGTACACCTTATCATTGTTTAATTGAATTATAGTGAGTGTGATAAATACATAATTATAACGAGGATTACAAAATTTACTAGCACTGATCGTTTTTTGTAGGATATTCTATAAGTTTCACTACGGTGTAAATTAAAATTACACAAGACCTCAACTTACCTGTATATCTAGACGCGGCAGCTTCCAATGTAGGTAAGTCTGGGAACACGAGACTCAACGCCTTAGGTATGATGTGATACTTGGTGGCGTGTTTGATCTCGCTCCAGACAAGTGTCACCGACGTGTTGGAACGTGTCTCAACATGCAGGTCTGTTATCGGCTCAAGTCTTGCTGACTCATCAAGTTTCAACACTGATACGACCGAACTATTCGACTCGTACATTGAGTTCTTTGCTTTCACCTGAGTTGAGGGGAAAACATTGTTCATAAGATGCATGTTGTGAAGTAATCAACAATAAAACAATCAAGTAAAATCAACAATATTATTTTGTTAACTATTTGGCAGGCTTATAAAATGTTTAATGCCTAACTCCAGTATTGTTGAGTAGAAAATTGGATTTCAATGCCTCCTTTGACACTAGACATATTAAAAAGTAAACTATTTGGATCTTGATACAATATTTGACAAGTTTATTCCTACTCCATTGTAGTTTTGTTGGAATAAGCAGTACTGTGCATGAATTGTTACAGTACAGTAAAGCTTCTATATCTAAAAGGGGCCAACAAATAAAAAAAAGTTAGAAATAAATTTTTAATTCTTTGGTTTTGTTTTAGGACAAACATTTATTTGCTTTATGAATCTTCCGAAACCGTTTAAGGTTGTTGATCACAACCCATTGTAATTATTATTTAACCCCTCCAAAGTCTACTGAGAAGGCCATTTTCACCTGGAAAAGTCTACTTTCTCCTGAAGAAGTCTACTTCCTTTTGGAGAAGTATCCTTTCTTCTGGAAAAGTCTACTTAATATCCATAAGTCTACTTATTTCTAAATAAGTCTTCTTATTCTGGAGAAGTCGGTTTATTCTGGAGAAGTATACTTTCTCCTTAAGGAGTCTACTTCTACTCAATAAGTCTACTTTTTGTTTAAAGAGTCTACTTCTTCTGAAGAAGTCTACTTTCTCTTTAAGGATTCTACTTCTTCTGAAGGAGTCTACTTTCTCCTAAGGAGTCTACTTTCTCCTCCAAAGGTCTACTTTGTCCTGAAGAAGTCTATGTTTTTCTGATAAGACCCCTTGGCAGGCAACACATCAAGTAAACTTTTGAGCTTTAAGGGGGCTGTTAACATTAAAAGTCAAATCCGTTTAAAAACTGTTAAGGATACCCTCAAAAATTATCTTTTAAACCAAGTATTTTACTCTGTAAGTGACTTTTTACGAAATTAAGCAAGTTATTATTATATGTATCTTTCATTTCTCTAAAAACAGTTTAAAATTCAGACAAAAATGTTTTGCAGTTGTATTTTTAGGTTAAGATTGAATTGACAATGTCACCAGTTTAATAGCTTTGCTATGTACAAATGTTTTTATGTGACAATAAAGTGAATTTGAAATTTAATTCAACTACCTGCAGCTTTTTTCTTAGGTTGCAGTGTTGAACTTCCATTGCTCACCTACTTACTCTTCCAACATCTACATCATTATCACACTACTATTTACCCAGAAAGAGTAGGCACTGTCGGTGTTGAAGTCAGAGTCAATCAATGTCTGAGTCTTGCTCCCGTGCACCTCCTTACACATAGGTGGCACTGGAGGTGTCATACATACAGAGTAGCTGGTGATTGGTCCGTTGGTCTGGTGAGGTGCCATCCAGCTGACTATCACCTGGTTGGCGCTGAGTTGGCGTACTGACACATTCCAAGGCGCTTGTGGCGCTGCGCAACACTAATCTTAGTATAACCCTTTTGTATATCAGGGTTAACATGTAAATAGACAAGCTGTCGTCAAGTTTTTTTTTTTCTAATACAAAGGTTGTATGTGAATAAGAATTCTATCGAGTTCCTGTCACAGCAAAGCAAGCTAGTTGAAACACCGTGTTCCTTACTTCATTCACTACTATCCTATTCAGATCCCAATCCTACGGGTCGTATAAAAGTATGAACCTGTTATAGAAAGGTGTCAAAATTTGTGAAGAGGAAGTGTTTGGCAATGTTGTGCGAGTAGGCTGGTGGTATTGTTAAACAATAACATGTTGGGCTGACCTACTGAAGAGGTCAGTGTACTTGTTCAGGGGGTTAGTTCTATGTGAAGTGGTAAGAGTGGTGTGCTGGAGGACAGGGTCGTGCAGGGGAGCTGGATGGGTCCAGGTAAGACAACGTTAAGGGTTTTCAAAATTGGAGTTTAGTCTTTTCTAAATTAGGGTTCAGTTTCTAACTAATTGATTTATACGGTTCCAGTCTACTCTAGCTATTGTTTGTTACTTATCTTTGTCTTTATTGTCTTGTGTAATAATAAAGTTTGGTTTTGTAGGCGAGTGCTGTTTTATTCCTGGGCTACCTCACTCAAAGAAACAGTGAGTACCTCAAGTAGCAGAGGTTCCTACCGTTACAAACCCAAGTATGAACTGTGTTCAGTGATTATGTTTCTGGAGGAACTGTTGCCAGTTGACTTAATTAATATGTGTGCAGAAAAGTGTTTCAATGTAGAAAAAATGTGCACATGTGGAGTTTTGACTAGATTTTCCTGTTTTTTTGTAAGCTGCGTACTAGCCATAATTGGCTTTGCAGCATGGTATTTAATGACTTTGTAACAATGTATTTTCAAAACGTTTTTATTAGCTCGCTTTCTTGTCCGGTACAAATTTTGAAATCAATTTTATACTAACTTCCCGATGAGCTAGAGACTTGAAACTTGAAACAGAGCTCACAAATGGAAGACAATGCAATATTATATCATTTAATTTTCATATTTCCCTTGAGCTACGCCCCATGGGCTTGTTTTTATTAACTCGCTTTTTGAAAATGTTGATACTTCCCGATGAGCTAGAGACTTTAAACATAGCTCACAAATGGACGACAATGCAATATTATATAATTTAACCTTCATATTTCCCTTGGGCTACACCCCATGGGCTTCCAGATTTTCCATGTTTACATTTTGAAAGAATGTAAACATATCAATTAAATTTAAGTTAGCTGTAAATACTTAAATTTGACAGTTCAAAGAGCAGAGGTTAAGACGTACAGGTTATGCTCCCAAGAGATTCTTTACACAAACAAACATTTCAAAATAAAAGATAAACAATCTGATTGCAGATATAAAGGTGTTTGTTAATAATGCCAATGGTTATTTATTTTGTATTCTATAAAGTAAACAATAAATTAAATAGATTGATATATTTATAGTTAGTAGGTAGGCCATACATTCAATCTAATACATAATTATATGAAAATAAACTCAAATAACCCTTAGATTTATCACATGCCTCTGTCTTATCTGTCTTAATCTGATATAGAATAATAGATGCTTGAAATAGATTTAACATCCACACACATTAAAAACTAAAAAGTAGAAAATAATTTATAAATATGTGGATGGTATAAATACTTGTAAGATTTTAAACGAAAAACGTGGGGTGCAAGCAATTTATAATAATACATTAGTTCAATAGGTGAAGGTAATTGTAAATTAACTATTGCATGCACCCCACGTTTTTCGTTTTAAATCTTACAAGTATTTATACTCTCCACATATTTATAAATTATTTTCTACTTTTTAATGCGTTTAAAAACGTTTTGTTTTAAAAGTTTTTTATTTATAAATTATTCAATTTGTCAACACAAAATATGAAACTTGTAAATACCTGCTTGTTCTGTCATGGCCGCCATAAACTTGGCAGCCGGGTACACTTCCTTGGTAGCCGTGTTACGCACGTACACCGTAAGGTTGTAAGGTGTGTACGGCCTGAGCCCAGTGAATGTATACTCAGTCTGTGTTGTCCAGGTGGTATTAACCCAAGGACTTTTGGGTGTGTTCACTCTGTAGGTAGGTAGGAACTCAAACTGTTTAGGAGACAACGGCAACCACCAGTACAGTTTGATGCTGGTCGCGTTGGTCATGCTCTTCTCCACACCAAACCTCAGCACCTGTATGACCACATTTAATCAAAATAGCTTTATTCATTATGTACAGAATTGAATTAACAATATCTGGCGGGCTTCAGTTATTAGCGATGAAAACCCTAAGAAATGTTATAATTGACTATTCTGTCAACAATAATTACAATATTATGATAAAAAAATAAAAATAAACCACTACAAAACGAAATTTGAAATATTTATTTTTCATAAATCCTTATCCATGATAACAGTCAGATTACCTGATAAACCTTGCTGGTGTTGTTACAGTCCTTCTCATCGTACTCGTCATAACAGTCGACATGTCCGTCACACAGCATTGCTAAAGGTAGGCAACGGTTATTATCGCATGGGAACATTCCTTCCTGGCAGCTCGGGCCGGCAGGAGCTGAAACATGTAAATATACTGTAGAATCTTGACGTGTTAGTTTTAGCTTCTGGGAGTCTTCCTGCCCTTACAGTCACATCCTAGGACACTAGGTTCTAGCCCAGAACCATTTTACACATTACTTCAGGTTAGGCCAAGGGTGCAACATCACTAATAATCCATTGGTGGTTGGCGTTTTTTTTAATGCAGGACTTTCAAACTGAAGTCCCACGCTTTCTTACTCAACCGGCTTGCTCCTCTTTATCAAGGAAAAGGTAGAATGAAGCTTCCACTCAGTGAACGCCACTTTATTAATTAATTTCGTACTGTGGATAGAACTGTTGCAGGGGGCTTGGAAGTATACAGTAGAAATAGGAGACAATAAATAATCCATCTTGTGGCTGTAAGACTTGTTACTAGGGATTTGTTGATTTGTAATACCACTGATTGTATTCTATAATGTATTTTCATATATATTTCAACAAAACAATACAATATTCATACGTACTAGGGATGGGTCGGTTTTCAAAGTTTAGTTAATTATATTGTAAAAAGGTTAAAATACCTGTAACTGCCTCGTGATTCCTCTGTTCCTGTACTGGACTACGCACGTTTCGATGTATTCACATCATCATCAGGTCACAAACTTGAAGAACTTAAACCATTCTTGAATTGGTCGCGTCAAAGTTTACAAAAAAAAATACACAAAACATTTAAACATTTAAAAAACAGGGACAAAAATTGTAGGCCTACAGACACTGGTGTGCACATGACGGGTGCCGAGTCTCGACTGGTTCAGGAGCTGAACTTTGTCCCCTGGCCGCCTTTATCACGGTCCTTGTCCAACTTTATGAGTGATTCAAATAGAATATTAGTTTGCAGAGTGCTTTTGTCATTTAATATGTCCTGGGGATTGTTTTTTGCGGCTTTATAAATTTCAAACTGTTCTAGAGCTGTCATGATCCTGCCTTTGTTGCAAATGTGCAATGGTTTTAAGTTTGTTTCCAAATTGGTATAGTTGTGGTTGTTTAGTACCAGATGTTCGGCATAATTAGATTTTTGCACCTTGGATTTGCACCTTGGACTAATTATGCCGAACATCTGGTACTAAACAACCACAACTATACCAATTTGGAAACAAACTTAAAACCATTGCACATTTGCAACAAAGGCAGGATCATGACAGCTCTAGAACAGTTTGAAATTTATAAAGCCGCAAAAAACAATCCCCAGGACATATTAAATGACAAAAGCACTCTGCAAACTAATATTCTATTTGAATCACTCATAAAGTTGGACAAGGACCGTGATAAAGGCGGCCAGGGGACAAAGTTCAGCTCCTGAACCAGTCGAGACTCGGCACCCGTCATGTGCACACCAGTGTCTGTAGGCCTACAGTTTTTGTCCCTGTTTTTTAAATGTTTAGTGTATTTTTTTTTGTAAACTTTGACGCGACCAATTCAAGAATGGTTTAAGTTCTTCAAGTTTGTGACCTGATGATGATGTGAATACATCGAAACGCGCGTAGTCCAGTACAGGAACAGAGGAATCACGAGGCAGTTACAGGTATTTTAACCTTTTTACAATATTATTGTCAACGTGATTCGGAATAAACAACACAACATGAAGTTTAGTTAATTAACAGTTTTATCAGGTTTTAGAAAAAACCCGAAACCAGGAGCCATGGCAATGATGGTTTCAATTTATTGGTTGAGGGACAATAATTTTGCTATGATCATGTCATATATTGCAATTGCAACGTTCTCTTGACTCGGGGGTGGGGAGGGGGCGTAAAAGAATTTGCCATTAATCATGGGTGACAATGAGATTTATTTATGAGATTGCACAGATGATCACGTCCAAAATGTTGTGGTAGATAATCATGCTTTAAGACAATGATGATTAGTGTGGCTATAGACTAAAACGGGAGGTAAGTGCGTGGTAACCAATAAAAAACAAAACCGAAACCAAACCAATGAAAATTGTAACCAACACATCACTACGTTAACTATTTTCTACTTCTTCAAGGAGATAATTACCAGGAGCAGCGCCAGGCACACAAGACATCTCATCACTGAAGTCTGGACATTGTACGATGCCATCACAGACTTGCCTAAGAGGGATACATGATCCGTCTGTACGACATTTGAACTGATCCTTGGATGGGTCACACGGCACAGTACCTACAAAACACACAACAGTGTATACCATCTCTCAAACAAGATATCATTTGACGGTGAGTAGTAGCTTTGACTGTTCCATCATGTTGAAGTTGTCGTTGGTTTTTAAATCAAATTGGACGTACTTTAATTGATCCACTGACAGAATCTCTGGTGTAAATTACTGATTTGAGATAAATAAGTCAACTTTTTAACTAAGTCAAACTGATCTCAGTAACAAAAAATGGAATTCTAGACAGTAGCACTCTCTGAGTGGCTCCTTCTACTAAGTTGTTATGAATAAAAATAGGATAGCAGGTCCATTGTCTATTTCAGTGATCATAAGCCAATGTCAATGGTAATAGTTATTTATCCATACTGTATTCTTTAAGTTTTCTATTAGATTAAGTTTACGGTTCACGCACAAGCGTGCACATTTTACGAGAGAGATTAGTGAAGCATGAGAAAAAGGAAATACCAAACAAACCTTGACAATGTTCTTCGTCTTCTCCTTTGTCACAATCTTTGATGCCGTCACAAACCCAAGAATCCTGGATGCAATCGCCTGAATCAAAGACACACAGTAAGTAAGTAAAGTAAATGCAATAGTACAGTAAAATTAAATTAAATGAGTTTATTTATCTCCTTTAACTATGTACTCACATAATGATCAAACAAAATACAAGACATTACTTACAGTAGAATCTCGATTAATCGGATTAATGGGGGGGGGGGGGGGGGATCACAATTAATTCAACATGACATAAAAATCCATAAAAAGTATAAAACTGTATACGTGGACGTTAATATGATAATTTGCATATTACACCATCAAAATACAATTATTAGGCTATTGCGCATTCATGACATGTTAAGTCATTACTCTTGGTTCAGTAATAAGAACTGTATCGTTTAAAATTACAGCTTACTTAAACTTTAACTCAATAAAAAATCCAAATCATAAAAAAAATCATGTAAAGAACAGATAAATATAAATTTTAGTACCTACTACTAGTCATAGGCTACGGCCACATGCTGTTTTAGGGCAGATAAATGTTGATAAAAAGATTAGATAACTCATAACAAAGTATAAAACCATAGTGTTAACGATAATAACAACAGTTGTAAAATACGATAATGATAACTTAGCTTATTCTTTCTCTTTGTTCTTATACCGTTTACCTATTAATTAAAATATTAAAATGTGATTTGAGATTCAATTCTAAAATCAAGCCAATCAAATCTTAAATTTTTATATTTTCTCAAGGTCCAGATTTGATACACAGCACTACAAGCAGTAAAGAAAGAGTCACATCTAAGTCTGTTGTCCCTGAATTATTTTCAATCCTAACTCGGATCGGATCAAACCAAGCTGAGTTTTCATTAGCGTCTATAAAGATGTGCAAACAAAAATTGACGATTTAGCCACCTGAAACGGTTTTGTCGTAGTTGTGGAAAAAATTGTCGCTGTGACAATACAAGCTGTTTACGAGTGCTGATGATGTTCACATTTTCGCCGTGCTTTAATAGATGATCACAATTTTAGTACTAAAGTTAATACTTAGTACTACAAATAAATATTTTCCTAAGCAACCCGATTTCGGCCTGTGACTCGAGAGCCAAAGGTTTTACCCAACTCTGCCCACATGCCCCTACTTTCACTACACTCACCGTTGATACAACGGAACTGATGTGTCTGACAAACGCCCTGCACTGGGGGAGGGGGTGGAGTAACATGTGTAGTAGGACCTGTGATCGGCTCACAACCAATCTCATCCGAGTTGTCTCCGCAGTCATTGACAGTGTCACACTTCCACCAGTACGGGATACACTTTTTGTTGTTGCATTGGAACATCCATTCAGTGCAGTTGGTCTGAAATACAGAACGGTAGTATGTTAGTAATTGGATGTGGAAATCATGTTGTTTATTCACTAATACTGTTACTGTTTTGCTTCTTTTACTAATACTTCTTTTGCTTATACTGTTCAATGAAATGGTGACCATACATAGTAGGTATTTTAAGCCAAGTATGAATGGAGATGAGTGTAGGATGAGTGGCGCGATCTTGTAGTCTTGTTAGTGACTAAGGCCGACATTCCTTAGACACAGCTGTTAATTAATAGCCCATACAGCTAATGGCAACTAGGGACCTACAGTTTATAGTAGAATCCGAACCACATTTTTTCTTGGTATATACGAATTGGTCTAATTATCAGGATAGTACTGCGGATAGTCGTAATACTCACTCGTGCGGACGTTAATCCACACCAGGGAGTATCGAATCCACAGTGCATGCCTAAGCACCACTTTGTAGACAACAAGCTAAGCCAATAGTACAGAATAGCTACTATTATTTCGGAAACGACGTCTAATCACTAGAACATGGATTTGTCTATGTGGTAGAACTCAGCTCCTGTCTCTATTCAACCACTCAATCTCAGGTCCATGGATTATCACAGTCCAGATGTAAGATAATTATGTGCTACTATTTAAATAAGTGTTAGTATTTTAGTCACATTATATTGAAGTAACTTTTCTAATAAGTACTTTTGTGATTGTATGAATTATTTTAAATGACTTTGTTTACATTCTCTTTACTTGTTATTTAATTACTATGTAACACAGTGATTATGGTTTTAAGCCGAACATGTTAGTTAGTTTGATTAAAAGGTGCTTAAATGTTTAAATATTTTACTTATTCATAAATAATACTAGTAGCCCTCAACAGTGAACCAAATGCACTCTCTGAAATATTTTCTAAAAGAATGGAGTTTTGCTCGCTCAGGCCTACCAGAGAAGTCCTTGGACCAATGTATACACAATAAAACACTTATTTCCTCGCATAGCAAGCTGGTCTAGCGGCAGAGGACTGGACTTCGTCCACTGAGGTCTAGGGTTCAAATCCTGCCATATCACCACAGGATTTACCTAGAAGGTAATGCCACAGCCCTTTCCTAGCCTGTGTCCTAGGATGTGAATGTGAGGCATCAAAATACTCTTTTATGTTGGGCAGGTATCAGAACATGTTAGTTACCGTAAATATTGGAGGTTTGGTAGGCACTGCAGGAGGCAATGTGGTAGTACAGTTCTCTTCATCACTGCGGTCACTGCCACCACAGTCATAATCACCATCACAACGCCAAGCCAGGAAGATGCATCGTCGGTTCTCCTTGCACTGTAATCAAATTTGTTTTAGTAAAAATCTGACTTAATTTTAAAACTCATGTAAAAACATTGAACGCACAAATATTTGTTGTGCTCGGTTGTGTATCTAGATGAATATTTCTGCTTTACCTAACTACATTCCTACTAGAGTACTAGACAGCATCCCAGGGCACAACTGGCTTGTTTAGTGTGGAGAATTATTTTCGGTGTGATTCTTAAACACAATAAGAAAACAATTATGTGACTGATGGAACAACAAGCACAAAGGTTTAGGTTTCTAGGATTTTTCTTGGTTGTTCAACTTACGGCATGAATTAAAAAGGCTAACACAAAGCTTCCTTTGTCAAAATGTTGTCAACTACTAGTGAATATTCCAATTATTGTATTTAAAGTAAGATTTTATTTTTTTTTTTCTTCTTGAAACATGAAGGTTCTCTTAGCCATCCAAAATGTTGAATTGATCCTAAAAGTACTTATAATAACAAACACTTACTGGAACTTATAGAATGTTACAATTTAACATCTTTTCTACAATCTACATACCTGGAATTGCCAGCTCTCACAAGTATTGCCTTCACAGTTGGCCTCGTCAGAATTATCAGGACAATCCCTCTCACCATCACATCTCCATGACCGAGGTATACACGAGTGAGGGCTTTGACACATGAAGTAGCCAGCTGAAACCAGATGGAAAGTATTGATTTTCAGATATGTATTGTAATTTCATAATGTATTTTCATAATGTTTTAACAATTAAACCAATCAGTTCATACACAAAATGTTATATCATCTCCCCTATATCTCAGTGATATCGTGAGCATCTTTTGCGGTCACGGGCAAATTACGAACATTCTGCAGCTGAGCGAAACTGCAGATCTGATGTCTATCACAATCATGGTGGAATCGAGGACGTCTTCTGCGGTCCCGGAGGAATCTTGGTTTTATGTTGTCATGTCAGGCTCGTGAAAGTTTTCCGCGGTCAATGCAGAATCATGAACATCTTCAGTGGTTATGGCATATTTGTAAACATCTTCACAGCGAGATCATCATTGACTCCTACAACTGCAGAAAACCTGTAAACATCACCCCCCTTCTTGGCAAAATTGTCAAAGTTTCAAACAAAGTTTTTCATGTTTGTGAAAATAAAAGATAGGTGGTATTCCCATCTCAATTGGTAATAGTATTGGTAGTTGTAATGGATATTCAACCACTTACAGCCACATGTAGTTGGTAGAGCAGTGGTGTTGCAGTTGAGTTCGTCTGAACCATCTCTACAGTCATCTTCCATATCACACACCCAGCGTTCAGAGATACATCGTTGGTTGGCACAACGGAACTGTCCTGCAGTACACGCAGCGTAAGCTGTAACAGGAGACAGCACTTAATAGTACCAGGGATAAAAGTGTCACTAGTAGCTTGTTTCATGTGCTTTGCTTGAGGATAGAAATTAGGTTTTTAAAATATTATCACCGACATTATCCATTACTGAAATTTAGGAGTCTGTAGGTCCCAGATATTTTGAGGTTTAGTTGGACCAATAGTTAGTTGGTGGTAACGGTTTGTCAACATAAGCGTCATTGTGCCTGCGAGTTATGTTGACTAAGGTACTATGAAAGTGGAACATATTCATTTTGGATTCCAATGTAATCCTTAAGGAAGCAGTATTTGACACAAAAACAAAGGCATAAGATCAGCTGTTGACTGAAAAGAAAAGAGTTAGAATTAATGACACTTGATGTTTAATTCAAATAAGGGACTTTACATTTGATTTAATAAGTATTAAAAATTCATCATCGATCTAAGATAACAATTAATAGCCTGAACAGTAAGATAAAATCTCCAAATAATTTAAATCTCCAAAAGCATACCTTAAAAACATTGATTGGTTTTGAAATGGTAAAAAGTGTAAATTACAGTTAAAAAAAAACTCAGCATTGTAAGCAGAATGATTCTGAATTCTGAGTTTCAAAATTTCGGAATAGAAAAAGGGAACGTTTTGGAAAATACTCCAGTTTGAAATTATAACTGAGAATTCTTTCCAATTCATTTAAGGAGCCCTATGTAAAATATCAGTATTTTATTACCTTTTTCATGTATGTCCCAAGGGCTCTATTTTTTTTCAGAGAAGCTAATGAAACTCTATTCCTTTAAAATATTCTCATCAGCCACTAGGCCTTTTCTTTACAATACAATCTATGCCACATATATATATATATATTCTTGTCAGTTTTATTACAATAGATACTTACTGCAGTTCTCCTCATCGCTGCCGTCTTCGCAGTCCTTATCATAATCACACCTCCACTCATCAGAAATGCACTTGCCACTGGATCTAAATAAAACAAGTATTGATTACATACACTCACTATCCCAATTAGGGAAGAACTGATTGTTTGGAGAATTTACATGAAAAGTTAATTTTGGTTTATTGGTTTTTGTGCAACAGTTTTGCCAAGATTGCTGAGAAAATCATGTAAAAAAAAACCCTAAAACGGACAGACGATTAAAAAACAAACAAACCAATGAAATCAGTAACTCAACGGTCAGAAGAACAAAAACAATAGTCAGAAGAGCCGAAAACAACGGTCAAACGGGCAAAGATAATGTTCAAATAAGTCAAAAACTTTGGTGAGTCAGTGACTCTGTCGGGTCCAAGGCAGCAATGTCGTGGGATCCTGAAACTTGTCACTACACACTTGCACTGATCTGTAGCATATGTGGATGGGCAAAACTTGATTAAAAGAGGCTGGCATTACATTACAGAACCTTGGGAGGATTCACAAATGAGATCTACTTTACAATCGAAGGCAAAAACTGTTGTTCAGGTTTGAAAAAAACTTAATTGTGTGAAAAAGCGCAATGTTTGCTATAATGACAATACTAGAATCCAACTCAATGTAAAAATACAACTTTTGGAATAAGTAACAAAGAGGAAAATGCACACTACTGTGGCACACACACCTGCATTGGAATTGGTCTGGCTGGCAAGTCATTTCCCCACAATGCATCTGGAACATAATGAAGGGATTAATTTTTCATCTACATGGCTGAAAGTAAGTGATAGGAAGAGGCAAATACTTGACTTTATAAAATCAAGTCAAACTCAATACTTAACATATGATACACGCTTACTGGATATGCTTGTAAAAGATATTTTGTAAAATGTATAATGCCAATGCACTTTTAACTTAAGGAAAGTTAGTTTTTGATTCAGTAACATAATTTCAATAATTTTCAATGGTATCATTTTGAATGACGAGCAAGATGCACATGCCTATCAGAACCCTTCCCTCACCATCCACCATCGCTTTTGTCATTTTGTGGTCATAAATTTTTTTTTCCATTAGATCTATTTAATGTACAAGGTAGTAGTGGGGAAAATATACTGTCTTACTTGTACTACCTAACCTACGCACCGTCGTTGTAACTGACTCAATCTATACTTATCTCAGAAGATATTGTCTTTTGAATAAAAAATAAATGTGACATTTTAACATTACATTAATAAGAGGGTGTCCAATAAAATGGTTGTTATTTTAACTACTGGCATTGGTATTACTTCTACCATAAGTTTGTATTGATTATTTGTTTTGTATTGTATGAGGTTTAATAAAAACTGTAGTATTATACTTTTACAAATAATTTGTGAAGAATATTGATGTAAAGCTATAAATAAATGAATTGCATACAAAACAAATTGAATTGAAAACCCAGATTTAAAAACCATAAGATTTGGTTCCAGCACAATAAAACTCACACCTCTACTCATAATACATTACGTGACTTTTTCACCTCATCAGAGAAGTCACCACAGTCGTTATCTCCATCACATCGCCATAGCACAGGAATACAAATGTCGTTTTCACATTTGAAATGATCTGTCGGGCACTTCTTGTTGGCATCTGTTAAAAAAAAAAACACTTAAGTTAGTCATGACAAGTCTACGATATACAATCCAATGAGGGAAAATACCTAGGCATCTTGACAAGGGACTAAATTGGAGGCCGAAATTTCGGATGTGTGACAGCTACCCATCTCCAGGACCAACACTGAACTTTGAATATGATTTTTATATCCTAAACTCCGGTGAGTAATTTCAAGTTTATTTCAGCCTTCATTGTATAGAGGAATGACTAGGTTTAAATACCTGATTCTGGCAATCCAATTGTTGATTATTCCACAACTGTATTGTCAGAATCAGGTATTTAAACCACTTTTATTAAGAACTCCTTTTCCTTCCAAGCTTCAAAAGCTATACCGATCATCTCACTCTAAAACTACAATCACACTGTGCACCTAGGTTGCTGTACTAAATTATTGATAAGGGAATGTCTACTTCATATATAGTATTCCAGCCTGGGGAAGGAGCTGGTTTAGTAGTAGAGAGCTGACTTTGGTTCCAGTTTTAAATCCCACAATCATCGATGGATCTTTTTTTTATAATGCCGCAACCCTCTACATTCTGAATAATGTGTAAAACAATTCTGGGATAAAGCCTATATCTTAGGATGTGGAAATATGACATGAAATAAGGAAATACCCCTCCCCTGCAGCAAACCTGCAGACTAAGTGAATTTCCATTTGCCTGGTTGGATTCTGACCTTAACATACATACTAAGTTTTATAAAGATCAGTTGAAAAAGTCCAAAGGTAAAAATGTTTATGTAAAAATACAAAATGGCGGATATCTGATTAATGAAGCAATTTTGGAAAAAATATTATTCTTGATATTTTTTTAAATTTTGACCCAAGGAATCACTAGGTAAAATATGTCCGTCATCAGAATAACCCTTTTTTTAACACTGTGTATGAACATTTTAACGAATAGTGTTTTTGCCCTATAGAGACATCAAAATTAAAAAGTATATCAGTTCCGGGTCTAGGTTTTTCCATACCAATTACAGTAATAGCTGCTTTCAACCTACCTGTGGGACAAGTATCGTTAGCCAGTGCAGGTTTGCCTCCAGGACACAAACACTGTCCGTTGCTCAACACAAGTTCGTCTGGACACAAGCAAACAGTCTGGTTGTTGGGATGAGCGAAACACAAGTGTGAACAGTCTTTGTTGTTGCTGCACTTGTTGCTGCCTTCTTGTAGACTGTGAGCAAACACCTGCATACAAACAAACACTATCAGCAAACTGACACATACTTTCCCCCATTAGCTTGACATAACGTTTTGTGGATGTGTAGAGAGCTACAGAGACAGACTACATGTGGTCCCATTCTGATGACGGTTGGTGTGTGGGTACTTATCCTTGGCATGTCTAGGTGCTTTTTCTTTGACATTTTATAGAGTTTTATTTATAGGTAGAATCACAAAATTTGCAATATTTTTAAACCATCATTTTTACAATGTTAGGGGTTGTGCAATTTTGTTCAGGATTAAAAGAACTACAACATTAACCAAATTTATATTTATTAGTGATGGTCGAATCCAGGAAGAATGGAATAGGATCCATTAAAATTATTCTATTCTTAAAAAAATTTTTATTCTTGAATCTCGAATCCTTATCTTTTCTTAGGATTCGGTGGATTCGAGATTCCGGTTCGACACATTCCTAGTATTTATATTGTTTGAGATTTGGAGAAAATCATATTTTTCTTTTTTTCATAAAAATAATCACTATTAAAATAAAAATTACCTTTTTTTTGGTTTCCTCAAATGTTTGCTGTATTAACCTAGTATAAACCTCGCTAATAAAAATCGTCTTGATTACCTACTTGAAGAATATCTTAAACAAAGTATAAGTTTAAGTGGCCTTGATCAGTCTGAGAGGATTAACGAACATAATAAGTCACTTCATCAACTCGGTCCACTATATTTAAAGTACAGACATTATTCAACTGTAAGTTAATCACACGACTTTTTGCTTAGCCAATAATTTATTTGATTTAGTGGATATTTTTGCCGATTTTTTCGGCAGATAAATCCCTCAGCAGATACTGCAGCTAACCAAACATAATATAATACTGAATTGTAAATGTGTACATTTCCCTTCTCCAACACTTACCTTAAGATCCATCAGACCTGGTAGGTTTGTCTCCACAGCCTGTATGCTAACTCCGTGGTCTTTGTCTGCTGAGTAAAGTCCGTTTTGTTTCCAATCATCCCAATACATCAGGTCCTTGAACACAGCTACGGCAAACGGGTGCGCCACTTGTTCCTACAAAATTAGATTGCTCAGCTAAAAACTTAATAGTTTCACATTAAACTATCATTCAAATCATAGTCTACTTTTAAATTTGAATTTTACACTTCCACTTTAAGAAGTTTACCTGGCTTTAGCGTTTTGTGGTGGATAGGAAGAACAGCTAGCTTACTAAACAAAAACTGTTTGAAGAATGAATTTAAACTAATAGTTAAAATCCATTTTTAGCCCCTGAGCTGTGATATTAATTAAAAATAGGTATTTACCTTCGTCTACAGCTCAATCTGTTGTAACTTGGGTTACGGCCGTTTCGGCATTATAATGCCATCGTCAGACGTTGAACATTCAGCTGAAGTAGCGTCGTCATAGTTGAAACACATTTCATTTTGTTTGACTCCTCAATTTCCATCGTGAATTTCAAATTTGGGGCAATTTGGGGAAATTCACGATGGAAATTGAGGAGTCAAACAAAATGAATTTTCTAGACCTGACAATAGAAAAATTGGACAATAAATTGGATTTCAGCATTTACCGTAAGCCAACCACGTCAAACCAAACCATCCATAACACGTCATACCATCCACCATCACAGAAATATGCCGCTTATAATAGTATGTTATATAGATTGTTAAATGTTCCAATGTCAGACAACAATTTTAATAAAGAACTCAATTTGATAAAACACATAGCGCTATCTAATGGGTACAACAGCAATATGATTGACAGGTTATTAAGTAAGATGAAAAACAAAAAGTCTGGAGACGTCCAACCACAAAAGAAGAAGTATGTGTGTGTAGAGTACTCACATTCAATTCAGTACTCACTTACGAAAGAACTGAAAAAACATGGTATCGAATTGGCGTTCAAGACCAACAACAAGACAATTAATAAATTAAACGTTTCTGATCGTGTAATCGACAAAAGTGAGAAGTCAGGTGTATACAAAATTAAATGTGCTAGTTGCCCGAGCTTTTATATAGGAAAAACTGGACGGACATTCGGAACCAGGTACAAAGAACATCACCCATGTCCAAGGGCCGACAAACAAAAATCATCCTTTGCTCAACACCTGGGGCCTATTGCATAAAACTACAAGTACAAGTTTACATATTTACAGTTTACAGGTCCCTGTAATTACAATTTATCAGTTACAGGTGTTGCTAGAATAATTTGTATACTTGTAAGAACAAGTACAAAAAATGTTAACAGCTGATACGTCTTTGAATTTCCCATATAGGGAATAAGCTATTACCGTAGGAATTATGGTAAGACCTAGACCCGGGAACGATTTACTTTTTCGATTTGACGCCAAAAACACCATCCGACCAAATTCATATATATTTGTGTGTTTGTGTGTGTCCGTTAGCGCGATTACTCGAGCAAAAATGATTTGATTTTGATGAAATTTGGTACAAACGTGTAATCTACGTTTATTCGTACGAGTTCGTGAACCAGCATGATCGGGCCAAGGGAACGGGGTTTTACGGGGGGGGGGGGGGTTTATGGGGTAAAAAATAATTTTTGACCCTCAAAACACAAAATTTCCCAATTTCTCTTCAGACCTTTTTAAAGAGTTTAAAAAACAAATAATTTAGTAAATCAAAGTATTTTTGTACGGTTATTGGTAACGGAGAAAGTTAAAAAAAAACTTTAAATTTGTCTGACTCCCATGTTATTCTTATGGAGAATATTGTAAAATGTTGTAGTTTGCTTGGTTATTGATATATTTTGATCAAACTTTGCAAATTTATTTATTTTATACTAAGCATTTATTATTTTACTGAAAATACACTATTAGTTGCCTTGTAGCAGCAAACCTACGTACTCGTTAAGCCTAATGTTATTTAAATAGATTTAGGTTAATTAAAAATCAATTCAGACAAATGGAAATTTGCTAAGTTGGCAGGGTTGCTGCGGTGGGGGCATTTATAGTTAGTAGATTGTCTATTAAATTAATGTTAATCAATAGTTAACTAATTAATTTAGTGATCATCAATTATATATTCCTTATTTGACTATGTTATCTACAACATGTAGTTGTTTAGTTTTAAATTCCAGTTTGAAGTTCCTTCTTCGACGTTGTGGATCAAAAGAATCATCACTATTCCACATCTTTGTCTTAAAAAAGAATAACTTGTACAATAGCAACAAAGGTTTACAGGCCAAAGAAGCTAGGTAAAAAATTCTTACATTTTTACAGGTATATGTAAAATTGTAATAACTTTATTGCAAATACAAGTTTACACACCTGTAAAATTGTAAAAAAATGCCTGTAAATTTGGGTTTTTGAGTAGTTGTTACAAGTCTGTAACTTGTAGTCCTTGCAACACCTGTAATTACAATTTCTGAAGAATTCTTCAGAAATTTGCCTGTAAACTTGTAAAATTGTAAAATTGTAGTTTTATGCAATAGGGCCCGAGTTGACAAAAACCATGACATGTATGATCTGAACACTGGCCTCGATATACTCCACACAAGCAAGAAAGGAAATAAATTGGACACATTAGAAGAATACGAAATTTACAGAGCCTATACAGAAAATAATTTTGATGACACAATATTAAATGACAAACTACAATATAAATCACACATCATTTTCAATAGCCTAGTATTTTAGACCAGAACAAGAGACAAAAGGCAGGAGTACAAAGGTCAGCTGATAACACCACTACGCAAAGAACGATGCAGGATTAACCTCCAGTCGGCATCCAGTTCAGATCGTGGCAATGTCAACCGGTACCGTGTGTGCGACAGGCCTGTTCGTTGTGTCTTCGTTAGTAATTGTAAAATGTTATTCGTGTCCGTGTTATGTGTTTCAACTATGACGACGCTACTTCAGCTGAATGTTCAACGTCTGACGATGGCATTATAATGCCGAAACGGCCGTAACCCAAGTTACAACAGATTGAGCTGTAGACGAAGGTAAATACCTATTTTTAATTAAACTAATAGCTCCTTTTTCAGGCGTAGTCTTTGATCTTTCTGAAGGTTCTTGTGGTGGTGGAAGTAATTAGCAATAATTTGGTTTAAACACATACGATTGTTCTTATTCTTTTACCTCACATTTTTTGCATATGTAACGCTACCTTGTTATGAATGATCTTGCGGAAGTGTTTTCCGTCGAGGTCAGCGCTGCCAATAAAGTCTTCTCGGGCGTCGACAAAGTAGATTCTCTCCGCTATGTAATCTACAGTGATCCCATTGGGCCATTCCACTGTAGGTTTGGTGAACAGTTTCTTGATATCTGAACCGTCGAGGTTGGCTCTTGCTACACACGGATCATTTACAGCCCAGTCTGTCCAATACATGTATCTGTCAAACAATCAACAATTTATTTCAACAATAGAAATTTAAAATACCTTGTACAGTTGACGTCAAAAAGTAACACATAGCATAAAACCTAGGACGTACAAATATGTAGTGATGGACAAGACCCGAAACTTCGAGATTTTTTCGAGATTTTTTTTATCTCGAAGCTTCGGGCGGGATTGAAATACTAACGGGATATTTTCGAGACGAGATTTTTGGGCCTTTTTCATTGTTGTATGTATGTATTTTTTATGTATTTCCAGGTACAAAATATAAAAAACTGCAATTGTTTGGAAAATAAATTGTTCTAAAACCATTGTTTCTTTTATTATACACTCCTTTTCCAACCTCAAAATTGCTGTTTAACCTCTATCGTGTAATCTAGTGAGTCTCACTCTGAGTGGTGAAATAGTGAGATTGGTGAGGTAATGGGCGATTCGCGAACGATTAACTCAATTTGAACGAACCACAGCTCAATTTTTTAAAGAGTCGATTCGTACTTTGAGTCAACTCAGTTCAGTAATCACTAATCAGTTGGAAATAAGGCCGCGCTTACTCAGTCTTCGCAGTCTTATATAACCTTCTAGGAAATAGAGAAAAAATATAATAAAGACAACAGCTTAAATGTTTTATACTGGTCCATTATTTGTCTAACTGTACACAAGTACGGTAACTTTCAATATGTCGCAATTCGATTTGAGAATTCAAAAGTAAACTTAACGTTAATAGGCCTATTGTTTTGCTAATATAATATTGATGATGCAATATGTTCACCAACCATAAATGCTAACTGCGTCGTCATTCGTCAATTCATAATTCATACCTATCGGTGGAAAAGAGGTAATCTCACGGTAACTAGTAGAATATATATATATATATGGGAACGGTACTGGACATAAACAAGATGCGCAGTAAATCATAGCATAGATAAAACATGCAGTAATAATGTCATCTGCAAACCCCGAATGACGTCATGCTAATGTTGTAAACTGCTCAGTGACGTCAGTTGGGCGTGACATCATCCTGAGATGCGCATTACTCTTACCGTATAGTATATTCTAGTTACCGTGGGTAAACTGACTCAAATGATTCAATTTGAATCGGTTCAAAATTCAATTCAATTAAGTGATTCAAATACAATAAAAATCCTCTGTTCCCTAAATTGTGGAATGGAAATGGATTAATGGTGTGGAGTGGACTGACTGAGACTGCCTAGTGCCTGAGTAGTGAGTGGACTATTATTTTGGTAGTGCTGTCTGCTGTCTAACTATTTTGTTATCGTCTGTTTATTAAACTGTTAACTGGCATAGGCCTATGCAATTATTATTGTTTCTTTTAAATTAGGAAGTGTAAACTCTTGTTGAAGTTGTATTTAGTGGGAAAAATGGATGAGGATGTAGATGACCCAGCCCCCGTGTCCAGTGTTAGAATGGAAGTTGAAGATAGGCCCTCAGAAGCTGGCCCATCCACACCTGCAAATGTAGGCCTACCATCAGGAAAAAATAATACGGCAATAATATGGGAGTATTTCACAAAAGTAAACGAAGGTATGACTACTGAAAAGGTCCATAACTATTTTGCAGTGTGTAATTTGTGCCAAAAAAGTATAAAAACTGCCTATGGAAACACTAGTGGCATGAGACGCCACTTAGAAAATAAGCATTTTCCCAAGTTTGTGTTGCTTAAAAAAAAGGAAGAGGCTTTAGATGCTGAAACATTCAAAACAAAAATATCAAAAACCACTAAGGCTAAGGCCGTGACCCAATCTAAACTCACCTCCACTTTTAAATGGAGTAAAGATGCCACTAAGGCTAAGACTATCACAAGGGAAATTGGTAAATGGATGGCCTCAAGTCTCCACCCATACAACTTAGTAGACCAAGAAGGGTTCAAGTCCTTGATGAACACTCTTGAACCCCACTACACTATTCCTTCCCCCAAAACATTTTCAAGGACAGTAATTCCGGGATTGTACAAAGAAGTTCACAAAAGTGTTGAAGCAGGATTGGCGCATTGCCGAGCCAACAGTTCTTCCCTGGCCATAACAGTAGACATGTGGTCTTCCGATTCGAATAATTCCTTTATGTCCCTTACCTCTCATTTTATGACTAAAGACTTTCAAATAGAAAATTTCTGTTTAGGGTGTTATGCGTTTATTGGAGACCACAAAGGTTGGTCTATTGCCAATAAAGTAACACAGTATTTAGAGGAATGGAAAATAAACACCATGGCAATACCAATCTATGCAGTGACAGACAATGCTATAAATATGAAAAGCGCCATGTCATGTGTCAAACCCAAACTAAATGTTTTGAGTTGTTTTGCCCACTCATTGCAGCTGGCAATAAATGATGCCAAAAAAGAGACACCTGAGTTGTAGAACTGGTGAAAAAAGTTAAAGGAATAGTGGGACACTATCGACATAGTTGCCAGGCGACTGAGCGTCTTCATGAGGTCCAAGCATCTATGAACAAACCTATTCTTCAGTTGATCCAAGATTCCGAGACGCGATGGAACTCTGAGTACTTGATGTTAGATCGGTTTCTGAAGAATAAAGAACCCATTTCAAGGGATATCATACAAACGGGTAAACTCGACAATCTAACAATTTCTGAGTGGAAAATGGTCGAGGGATACGTCTCTATATTGGAGCCCCTCTTTGAAGCTACTACCCAAGTGTGCTCTGCAATAGTACCAACTTGCTCTATGGTCATACCGATTATTTTTGGTTTATCAGACTCTCTCGATACTTTCATTTCGCAAAGTATAGCTAAAAGCGGAATAGGATTTGCAAGGGAACTTTTAAAAGCTATTAAAATTAGGTTCCCAAACAATCTGAAGGAAGATCCTTACTTGACTGCAATGCTGGTGGACCCGAGATTCAAAACAGTTATTTTGTCTGCCGTTGAGCAGCCTTAAGCAAGCTGAAACTTAAGATTCAAGAAATCTTGAAGAAGAAATCAGAATCTGATCAGGCTGAAGTACCAGGTAAGGTTTTATCATGTTATTTGTTCTTTAAGCAGGTTATAGTGTAGACCACACAATATTATTCTAATAAGAAATATGAACCTACCGTAGGCCTACTTACCGTAAACATTTAGCTTGACACAAGTTTCCTTCTTTAGGAGTTCTTAGTCCAAAATTGGTTAACTTAGGGCTCTTTGACTTTGCTGTAAACAATTTTTGCCTCAACTGTTTTTATTACCGGCGGGAGCCATTAAATCTACAGTCAGTTGGGCTATATGTAACAAATTTAAATACTGTAGGGCCTATTTACTTAAAGCATACAAAATGTTTCAACTTAGACCACTTTGATTTATAATAGGCAACAAAAATAGCCTAGGCTACTTAAAGAAAGAATGCTTAGGGGAAAATTAGCTTTTATTTTGTGTGCATTAGGCTTAGGCCTATATAAAAATAAAGTGTACCGGTGAAACAAAAATATGTAAAATACGTACAAAGACCTAATAGGCCTACACTTATTTTGTTAATTATGTTATTGGAGGTACTCACTGTTTAGACATATAGTTAAACTTAAAATTAAATTGCATAAAAAATATATTATAAGGCCTATTGCCTAACCTAAATTTAGGCCTACATTCAAGTTACCAAATTTGGTTAGGCCTGAATTACAATTTCAACTTTAATAACTTTTTTTGTTTCAATTGCATGTTTAGCTTTAAATAAGATATGTAACTACTGTATCTGTCCACACAAAATCAAAATATTTATTTGCTAGATCATTGTTAGACCTACCTACAAGGAATAGGCATTGTCTTCAATAGGCAAACATCATCACAATTAATTAAGTTAACATACCATCTTATACAATTAAACTGACTTTAATTGTACGGTATCAAAGAAAAATTACAACACAGTATTTTTTTAGCGATGTTAGTTTTAAATGTTGAAATAGGCCCTATACACACATACTACTGAAACTTAAGTACCAATTTATAGTAGTAGTAGGTATATTATTGCTTAAATATTTTAAAATTAAAGGTGTCTGATGGAAAAATAAATATGGATTGAGGAACAAGGTAAGTTAAATAATAAGATAAAAGAGGAGGCCACCTTATGGATTTTATTGTAGGCCTATCAAGTCCCATCATGTTCTTTCTAACTTGCAAAATGATCAAAACAATGACAAATATAGAACTGTACCATAACCATTATTGATACAGTATTGAGAAGACAAGTAAAACATTGGTTGATTTGATTCTTGATTCTGTAATGTACTGCCTGTTTACAATTTGTTTTATTTTTAGTTGAGCCTACTAGTGATGAAAGCAAACCAAAATCAGCCTTATGGAAGGCATTTGCTAAGGCAGCAGCTGCAAAGAAACACTCTACTAGTGAAAGCTCGGCAAGACAAGAAGCTAGTATTGAATCGGAGCTTGCTAGATTCTTTAATGGGGAAGTCATAGATCAAAGTGATGATCCTTGCAAATGGTGGCAAGATAATGCCAATTTCTTTCCACTACTTCGCAATGTCGCATTGCAATACCTTGCAATTCCAGCTACTGAGGTTAGTAACTTTTGTTGTACTACTTTAAATTGGAATCATTATGACAACCTTCAACATGAGCCATCTATATAACAGAAATTAAGATAAATACTTAAATAGGGATATACATATATAGTTACAATATAATCCAATTTTAATTAATTACTGGTACTTAATTATTTTTTTTTACAACGCATGATATCAATATTACAGGTTGCCAGCGAGAGAATGTTTTCGAGTGCTGGCGGAGTGGTGGCAGAGAAGCGGCAAAGGTTGACCTCTTTTCATGTTGAGGAGTTGGTCTTCCTTCACCAGAATAAGAAACTTTTAAAATAAGTTTAGCAACGTACCGTGGAATTGGGTGAATAGAAACACTTTTGACATTAAAGTTCAAGCTTTGTAAAAACTATATATTTAATTTTAAAATTTCAACACTAGCTCATATTTCCGGTCTTGGACTCCTCTACTCAAACCATTTATCAATTTTTTCTTCTTTTTAATCATTAAGCAGAACAAAAATATAAATATGGCTGTTTCTATTCACCCCACACTTTGGTTTTGTTTTGTTTCTATTCAACCTGTTCTTTCTATTCACCCCATTCTACGGTAGCCACTTTGAATTGCATTTTGTTACACTAAAGTTCCTGTTTTATATTACAGTATTTACTTTTAGATTAGATGATGTTTTGTTTTCTCATAAGTCATAATGTACTCTGGCTACCAAAGAGCAATGTTATATCTAAACATTTTAATTTTATTTGACTTTTCATCTTTGTTATTTGTTTATTGTTAAGTTGATAATGGTTCAGTGATGAAAATTTCATTTAATGTTATTTTAGAGAACTAAGAGTTTTTGTTTTTGTGTTTTCTGTTATTTAATAATAAAAGATGGTTGTGACTATTTCCAATTTAGTAAATTGGATTGTGTAAGCTTTTCTTTCAACCTCCTTAAGCTGTTACTTATTCTAAGAGAATGTAGACTCATATAATCTTCATAAGTTGGTGAGTACAAGGTAGCCTACTTGTATTTAGTTATACTTACCATTTCCTACTGATATTAAATTATGTGATTTTAAGTTTCCTTGGTTTACTTTATGAACTTTGTTAATATCTACCTTAAAACACAGTAGGCTAAAAAAAACTTAAAATATTTCTGAACATATAAAAAGTAGATATTAATTTTTGTATAATTTTCCATTAAATCTCGTCTCGAAAAAAAATCCCGTCCCGCGGGAATTAAAAAAATCTCGTCTCGTCTCGTCTCGAAGTGAAAAACCTAGTCTCGTCCATCACTACAAATATGTATACATTTTTTAGATTTTGTAAGAGAGACAGTAGGCCTATTTTATTTTTAAAACTAGTTAACAAGAAGGAATATCTGGTATAAAAATTATAACAAAACTGGTTGAAATGTAAAAAATATCCAGTAAAATATTATCAGTAACAACAAAACATGATAAGGAAAAATCACATACAATGAAATAATGACACAGTATTTATTCTGAAGATGGGTTCGATACCCTAAATTGTTATATAACTAGCCTACTTTAGAGGTAGAAAAGCTTAGCTTTTTGTAAACGGAGTGATGAAAATAATGTGTTTCAATTTAATGTATATAATTATATCCAAGTTTCTGGCGTTATTTGCTTATGGTACATTCATTTTACTCATTTAGACTTCAACAGGTTAAAGGGAAAACTTTAAATTAGTTGAACAATTTACCCAGCTGCCGGATGAAGCGCAATGCCTCGAGGTTTCTTCAACTTATCTGGCCCCAGCACTGTCTTCCTCATCCTACCAGCATTGCTTAGGTCAGTGCGAATAACCTGAGTAAAAAAAGACAACTTTACACTTTATATTAAAAGGCTTATTAATAGTAAATCATGTAGATACGTGTTACCATGTGGAGTTTAGTGGTAGAATGAAAACAATTTTGTCTAACAAGAAATCATGGTATTCACGCTACTTTGTTGAACTGCCAAGAATACTATTTAAAGTTCTAAATACATTGCAGCAATCCGTCTGACAGTTAAACAAATATTTTGTCAGTTCAGCAGCAAAGACCAAGATTTGAAAATAGACCCTGACAGTGGAAGCCTACATTTTAGTTGATCTAATGTTGGTATCTCAAGGAATAAAGATAGTGCCATTTAAACGTTGAAAACTTAGTTTGACAATATTGCAATTGGAAAAATTTATCACGTTGTGTTTCTGTCCTACAAATCAAGTAGGAAATAATAATAATAATATCACTTTATTGTCATAAAACATTTCAAATCTCCAGCAAAGCTGGTGAAACAGATGACAATGTCATTTCTTAGTAAAAAAAAAATATAAAAAAATAAAAACATTGGGGTACACCACAATTGATGGTTTGCCATTTTAAAATGAAATGTAAACCATTTTTCTTAATGACAGTTCTTTGTTGCCTGTTTCTTAAATAAGATTGTATCCAAGGCAGTGCAGAGAAGTTATAATTTAAGTTTTTTACTTAATACATTATGGTTCACACATTCGAACACCTTGGACAGATCACAGAACACTGCTTCAGTACTCTGAGATCCATCCAAGCCTTCTGACACTCGATTTATGAAATCAGACAGCTGATATTGTATTTTTTACTAATCTAAAGCACAGAAAACATACGGTACTACTATAACCCAGAATGCCAACCGCATGGTAAAAAGCGTTAAGTACTCGGAGAGAGCTTTGCTTGTCAATTCGTAGGCAGCGCCACCAGCGTTGCTATGCTGTGGCATCCTGGGTTATAGTAGTATGTGTTGTGTCTAAAGCCAAATTGATTACCTGTAAACAAATTATTATTTTAAAAAAAAGTACATTTGTTCATATGCTTTTTTTAAAAAAACTTTTGATAGAGATGGTAAAATACACACCGGACGATAGTTTTTGGTTTTTCTACTGAACCTTTTTTTTAAAGTGGTTTCAGTTCAGCATTTTTTAATTGGTATTAATAATCCAGTCCAAAGAAAAAAAACATGTAAGAACGACTAGTTGAAACTGGATAAGGAAGTAATATATGAAATAAATAATAGTATTATTAAACATACAACGGAAAAGCTAAAAAACATTCCTGACTATAATTGCAAAGTGGTATTTACCATCTCCACCAAAAATAACACAGATTCTTTAAGTGAATATCTAATTAACTGCCGTTTCCCCAAACTACTGTAGTTTCAAACCTAAAGATCGTCTTTACCTGTATTCTAGCTTTGATTCCATCTACGAAGTAAAGCATGTTTGTCATCCAATCAAGAGCCATTCCTTCAACGCTGGCCAGATCCTTCTCTACCAACACCTCCGGCAGGTTGGTGTTGTCTGTTCCCAAACACTGACGCTGTAATCATCACCAAGAGTTAGGCAATCTTTTACACAGACGTTGAACATTACAGAGTAAAGTAGAGCAATTAAAACTTATACATTGTCTTATTGTAAGCTACAGCATCTCAGTTACACAATCTAAGGACAAGAAAGGAGTTTTAGACTTTAGTACCTTGTGATTGGTTCATTCAACCATGTTCTGTTTGATTGAAATACAGACCACAGATGATCCATGTAGATGGGGTGTCTAAAAGTCAATGGTAATGTTGTGTATGCATAAACATAAATGTCAAAATGAAGTAGTTTTAAAACCTTAAAATTAGTAAATAATTCTTTAATAGTAGGGATAGACGGGAATTTTAAATCTCGTAGTACAAGAAGAGGTTTTATTTCAATCAAGATTTTTTCGAGACAAGATAAAAAAAATTAAAAACGCCTGCAAATAGTCAATCCAATACACGCAATACAGGCGTTTCCTTTGCGAAGGGGTTCTTATTAAATTAATTATTTACATGTAAATATTGCTTTAATTGTTTTATAGTTTTTGTTTTTGTTTTTGACATCACAAATAATGAGAAGTGTTTTTAAGTATAAGCAGTGCGAGACATGTTTTATAACTGTAAACATAGCCAAAACCAATCACTCCAAAATCATTCTAAAAATTACACAAGACTGAAAAATTGTTACTTGTTGATACTTACCTAACTAGTCAGACTGATGTTTCAGATTAATGAATTCTGTATTTTTCAAAGTTCATGTTTCCTATGCAGGAGTTATTTTTAATAAGGTAGGCCTAAATAAGGTTTGTTTTGTATACTGATGTTTTTTTATCCTGATGTTTTTTTATACTGATGTTTTTTTTATTAATGTTTTTAATAAAAGATTTTAAATATTCTTGTCTATTATAATTATTATTTTTGTGTGTAACCAGTCATCTGTCGTAAATCAGTAGGTACAGTAGTTTAAAATGTTACAAAATCAGGTAAAAAAATTGTAAGTGCATTTCCCATTATGCATGAGAATGGAAATCCCGTCTTGATCTCATCTCCGAAATTTTATGAGAAATAAAAAATCCCGTCTCGTCTTGTCTCAAACTAAAAATCCAATTTCGTCCATCTCTACTTAATAGAATCACAGATTTCTTATCAGATAAGTTTTTATGGTGGCACATCAATAAATTATTTTAATAGAATTCTAGAACACCGAAAAAGTCAATCTGTATCATGTTAAATATAAAGTTAAAAGGCTCTGTGCTAAAGTATAATTTAAAGTAGGCCTAGTATGAATTATGACAACCTTTACTCCTAAATGTATCAATTATTTATTTTATATTAAATCAAATTTGAAAAATTACTAATACAGAACTCTTTATGTCATTCATTCAATTAGAAAAGGGAATCCACTGGCTTTCAATAGACAGACATAAATAATAGATTAACAATACAATCACAGCTTATAATGGAATTAAATTGCATTGTAGCTCATTTAAATTTATAAAAAAAAAAACTTCAACGTTATTTCACTAACAGAGCTTTATATGATTTTGTTCAAACTCATAAAATTTGATGTGGTGATAAAGTTATCTCTTTAAAATAGCCTCAAGAAAATAATATGATTGTTTGTGTTTTTATGTAACTAAGTGACTCCACTCTATAACATTTGTAATGTGCATTGTCAATGAAGTTGAATGATGATGGAGCTATAATCTTCAAAATGAACATTGTCATTAACCACAAAGACTAGAACTGTGGATTAGTCCTGATTTTCTGTTCAATATTTTGCCTACAACACTCACCCCAATCTCATCTGTGATGATGTCGGCCCAATACACACAGTTGTTGTGAATGTCAAAGTCCACTGCGATCACGTTCTGTAGCCCTCGCACAGGCAGCTGCTCCAGCTCTAGTGTGGCCAAATCAAACCTCACGATTCTATCCTTCTGAGCCAGCAATAAGAACTCCTTGCGCTCACTGCAACATACAATACCAAACTACATAGGCACAAGTTGTACAAAGTTAAATACAGTAGGTAGTATGAAGGCTGTGTCAAAACATTTTGTACAACTTAGGACTGCTCCAATTGATGACACAATATATCTTCTGTATTAAAAACTGTGTCTTTGTATCAAGGATGGTATGTTTGGCTTAAAGTTAAGTAATTTTATACCACTTAAGAGTACCTGAGCTGTGACACTCAAGTCATTATCCATTGATTTGTGTTAATACTTTACCTATTGTATTTTGTATATTTAATGGTGAATAAATTCTTGATTCTTGATCCTCTATATGGTTTGTGTAAAATATTTTTTAAAACAACAACTCTTTAACACTCTCAGGTAACTAGTACAATTTGTTTGTAGTAAATTTAAAACTAGCTTGAATTGCATATGAAATTATGTCCATTACCGTTAAACTTGCTACAGTCTTTGGCAAGTGTCACATTCATTAGTTAGATTGTTTTCATTATCTCTACTACGTGTTGCAAGACTCACTCGTAAGGACAAGGGACATTGTCCGGAAGGTATTGTCGGTCGTGACCTCCCACACACACATCTCCTTGTATCTTCAAGTAACCTTTAGTCCTGTTATAAAACTGCCCTGGTTTGCACCAGTCAGGTACAGCGTAAGGATTGGACGCGATGCTCTTGTTGCGTATACATTGGGACATTCCCACCGCTCGCTCAAATCCAAAGTCACTGCAGAAATAAAACATAAAGTTACTACAATGATAAACTGTTTTGCATTACATAACATTTTTAAATAACCATAAATTACAAGGTTTTGATTTTATTTTATCTTCACATTCATAAAATGGGCTCAGTTAATGTATGAACCCAGTGTAAGGTAGAGCATTCTAGTTGTTGTGTAGTTAGAATTTTCTTGTGACTAATTTGTTTGTAAACAATTTCATATTTGGCTATATTATGTGTTACAATGTGTAGAGGATTGCTGAGCAACTTTTGTTAACTTTGATGGCTATAGGCCTATAGTCAAAGGTGAAATACTTATTTGTGATTCTTAATTTGTATTAAAACATACTTACAGTTGTTATAAGCTGTTATAAATTCAGCCTCAATGAAACCCATTGAAAAACGCTTTTTCCCTACCTTATATAATTATTGGTCAGGAATAGTGTTAAGAGACAAACTTAAAACATGTCAGTACAAACCATAGACAATTTGTGGTCATTGACAGTTCTAGAACATACCATTCAAAGTCCTCCAAGTCGCAAGGGCAGATCTCTTTCTTAATTGGTCGATCATAGTCGCGGCCGTTGAAACAGTTAGAGTGAGGAACTCTCCGTTCGTACGTCTCCTTCACTCCCAGCACACATGTCATTTTGACTCCTTCGTCACCACTGCTCGGGGACCAGAACTTGTAGTCATCCGTAGAACAGTTGTATGCTAGACAACATTTGTATAGTGTAGCAGATTTTATTTTGTCACAGGCACAGGTATTTTGTACAAATACTTACTACTTAACTTAGATAGCTGCAAATTTACATTAAAATCAGCTTAAACATTTTACCTAAACAAGTTTATTTAAACATGGTCTATGGTCCTTTTATATATTCTGTGACAAAATAAAAGGCTCTACTAATCAATGATTTTACAATTTGTTTCTCACATTCTCAAGTAATCACTTAAAACATGCCTATGTTAACACATGCTTGTTTTACTATTCTCCACAAACATTTGTTGATATTTACAGGTAATATACTATGAAACCGACAAGCTGCTGTCTTAGTACCACTGTAACTTTTACATTGTAAAGTAGGACAAGTATAAATGTTGTTCCTACAGTATTTCTAGTTTCATAGCTATGTACAGAATGTCTAAAACTTAACTAAATGTCACACACTTTCATTTTCATATGATACGATATTGAAAAATATATGCAGAATCCAAAGTTAGAATATCTTGGTCAGCACTCAGCAGTGTTTTAATGTCTTGGCTTAACAATAGTGTGTGTGTACCTTTTTTGAATCTTTAAGATTGCAAATGAGTTAGGAGAATAAACCCAAACAAGAAGAAGAACACCATTTTGGCATGAAAGAGACCTTAGTCTTGATTATTTCCATGCCTATTATTTATATGCCAAATCCAAGAAGGTGTTTGCCTCACTGAAAAAGTGCTCTAAATATTCCATGCTAAATCTATCAGTCTGAATTTCTAAAATTATAACTAATTCAACATGAACAAAATCACTATCACTGAAGTTTCACTGATGTTTGATCACCTGCAAAATATGTCTATACCGATGGGTGGTTAAAGCATCAGCAAACTGACAAATACTTTCTCCCATTAGCCACAATACAATGGGTAAACGGTGGGAGTTGTACCATAATTTTGTTATTACTTAAAAGAACTATAGGTAACACTAATTTTAAAAAATTTGTAAGGGTTTTATAAAAATCTGATTTACCCTATACATTATTTTATGAGTTTTTAAGAGAAAATCACTACTGAACATGAAAAAAAAATAACCCAAAAAAACTTCATCGGTATCTACATACCAATTTTAATCAAAATAGGAGCACAGGTGCAGTCTGAAACTGTGTACAAACAATTAATTTGAATGCACTAGGATTAAGAAATACAGTTTGAAAACTTACTGAATGCGTTTTTCAGATCAACTTTTATAATGAGCCACTGGTGATGAGTGGGAACGGATCCAAACATTGTAAAAACTGTTGTGTTTTCTCCAGGTTCCGTCATGAGTCCGTAAATCCTAAGATCTTCATCGGCAAACTCGTGTTCCTTCCAACTTTCTCCCTCATCAGTAGAATACCTCATCTTGTTGGTCTCTCCGTTAGACTTGAAATATTTGACAGCCGCCAACACACCGCCGTGGTCGCCCAGGTTGAAAAGGTAGTATTCTTCAAGAATCTGTAGTAATTCAAAACAAACAGATCATTTGTGAGAGCCCTCGAGTCACGGAAATGAGTGTGTGCAGCTACTTTATGCGCCTGAAAGCCCTGGGAAATACATGGATATTGGCTTCCGAGAAGTGGTAAAACTGAGGGGTTCTACTGTACTCTATTCCACATTTACCATTTCTGCCGTTCATGCTATCAACAATACTGGAAGCATCATGCTCATTGTCATGCATGTTGTGTCAACTTTCCTCATGACCCTCTGAAGGTGTTAAAATGTTTACTTATTTCTATATCTTTGAGCTTTGAACTCAGATGGATTTGTATTTTGACTTTAATATTGTCCAAAGTTAGTTATTAGTAGAAGTATAAGAAAAAAACATAAGAGCATTTTGTTTTTGAGGGCTCTAATGCTTTTAGGACGGCTAGTATCCCAAAAACTGCCATTTGAAATTTGTCGTTCATGGGCTCTCCATACAGCACAGTGAATAAGGAATGGAGTATAGACAAAGCGGCACAAAGATAAAATATTATGGCAGTGTGGATCTTTTATTTAACCACCAAAAGAGAAATTTTAAAATAGTGCATCAATTTCATTAAATGTTGCTGATTTGATGCTGAGCTAGATCAATTAATTCAGGGCCAAAACACTTTTGTCATTGATGCAACAATTGATGATATAATAAAAGGTCACCGCCAGGGAGCAAGCTGGTCTAGTACAGTCGGTTAATCTATTATCATGATCTATTGCATTTTATGTATAATGTGTAATGATAAAATAAATCTATCTTTCTAAAGCGCAGGGCTTCGATCCCCAATGTCCGAGATTAATATCCTGCCAAACACCTATGGATTAATCGATAATGCCGTCACCCTCTAGCCTAGTCAAGAGGTCAACGCTGGATAGTGATGAATCAAGACTAGGGTTCAGAACAGTTTCCAATTATGTAGACTGCATAAACAATTACCTGTGTCCAAGTCAGGCCAGCATCTTGACTCATGTAAAGTCCGACATGACCTTTGAGTGAAGTTCCCAATGTTCCCATTGCCAATATAAGTCCTGGGGCTGACTTGGAACTCAATATGGGAGTTGCTCTAGTCACAGGATACATCTGGGCAAACTTCTGTGACAGATGCAGTGAGCAGTTGGTGGCCTACAACACAAAAGCAAAATCGCATTAGAAATCATCTAATGGCTCGAACTTACTAATTGTTTCGATTTATCTAGTATGTATTGGTTCTGAGGAGATCTTAGACTTTTATATTAACAAAATAAAAGTATTGTAAGGCTTTTGCAATGTAAAATGTGTCAAAATGATGATAACTGTGTAAAATCATTCCAACACGATACAATGACCTAGCAGAACACAACTGAGACTTATCTACGCTAATTTATTGTTAAACACCCGAGTAGCCAGGTGGTTACTGAGTTTGCCTTCTGAAAGACGCTAGTTTGATTCGAAGCGAGTTCGTAACCAGATGCCATTTGTCATTGGCCTACCAGTTAATGATGCTACAAAAAGATAAACGTTTGTATCCAGACTAGATTCTGGACCATTACCCTATAGTAAAAAAAACCTTTAAAAAGCCACTGGCATTCATAACCACCAAACTAACCACTCACCACATTACAATTGATAGGTCGATGGTTGGAGTTGTATTTCGGTGCACTGATCAGCCTCCACTCACCGCCCCAGTCAAACGTTATAACACTACGCAAACTCTCAACACCAGGGTTGATGCCTGCAGGGTCTAGTACTTGCGAGGCGATGTATATACCCTTCATACCCTCCACCTTGTGTACATCTGCGAACGTCTGATCAGCAACGTCACTGTAACAAGCGTCATTGGTCAGTACTAAACAAAAACTCAAACATGTTGGTGTAAGAGCTGGTCAGGTGAAGTGAGTGGATAAAGGAAGGACTTTTCTCACACTTTTCCTGACTTTGGATGACAACTGATAAACAAAATTTCCAGAAAAGAGAGCAAGGTAACATGTTGAAAATCAGGTAGTTTGTAAACTAATTCTAGTGAGAAAATGCCACTTTCTATGACAACTGTAAATACCCCTGCTGCAGCAAACCTGCAAACTAAACAAATTCCCATCTGCCTGATTGTATTTCCACTCAAATGATTCATAAAGTAACGTTAAATGAGTACTTAGGTTTGCTGCTACAAGGAGGGTAATAAAGTGTGTGTATTTAATTTTAATGTTGACAGCTTTCTTAGTATAAAATATACTAATTTGCCATTGCAAACATAAAATAAACCTAATAGGTTTACTGTAATATGTAAATGTAACTAAACCAAAAACATATTTTTGCTTGTCAAACTTATTTTTACTTTTTTGATTAAGTTTAATTTAATGTTTTTTTTTTATATATAATATTGATTATCATCCCAAATTTGTTCATTATATAATCTACTTTAGTAAGCAAAATTCTCATCAGATTTATAATCTAAATCCTTTATACTATTTCATTGAATTCTTGTTAGTCCACATTGTTAGTATTGAATTAGAGATGGGAACCATAACAGATGTGTACAATATACTTAGCAACAGAACAGGATTGACAATTGACACCTTAAGAGTGAAACTGTTAGAGGGTTCAAAACACAATGTGTGTGGCATTTAATTACCAAGATTGTGAAAACTTGTAAACAATTGACTTCCCAAGGAACCAATTGCATGTGGTGAGAACAATCAAAAGTGTGCTGAATACATTCTGACATCAAAGAGAGCAGCGGTTACCAAACTTTGGGCCGCGGGAAGAGATAAAGCTTTTAAATGTTTTTTTTTTACCAAGCCTGTAATTATTCAACACTCAAACAGTGGGCTGACCACTGGAATAGTGTCGATTGGGTAGAAAGGGACAGGGGATCACATTAAACTTTTGAGTATATTTACTATTTTTTAACTAGGGATGATCAAATACCTAATTAAAGGAAATCGTCACTAACAGTTTTTACGATTGGATTAGTATAATTTTGGTATTTTGTTGTTGTTAATAATGCTCTAGTTTTGGGACTGTGGGGAGCGAGCTGGTGTAGTGGTTAGAGCGCGGGACTTCGGGACCTCCACGATTTTATCTAAATGATAATGCCGTAACACCTAGGTCTAGCCTAAAGTAAAATGAAAAACAATCCCGTGCTCATGCCTACGACAAAAAAGTATTGGGACTGTAGAAAGTGTCTGCAAAGCTTTTGCGACAACCAATTATTTTGCCAAGATTTTGCTACCCTAATTGGCAAAGGGTTTAATTAGTTTTTTATAGTGTGAACCTTGCCCATTTGTTTTTTGACCAATCTTTACGAGGTGGAGATGATAACAATGGTACCACGAATGCAGGCGATGATTACGATCTTTGGAAATGATTGTGTTAACGCTGCTATCAGGGAATGAAGACAGAATAATCATTGAGATGGGGATGCCACATAGGTGTGTATTTTAACCTAAATATGAGTGAAGGACGAGTGTTGAATGGTGTGAGATGATCTGTGTAGCTTTGTTACTGACTAAAATTAGCTGTTTTATTAGCCAAGACCATTTATTTAAAGCCCAATCATCAGGAACAGCTGGGGCCAGTTTCGTAACATCGAAAAGCTACTGAGTTTTCTCAGGATCCAACCGGCAACCTTTTGATGGTTAGACGAGCACTATAACCAGTCGGCTACCCAGCCAGATTAAATGCTGTGAGATAAATGGCAAATGCACAATGATCTAAATTTACTAATCAACAAGCTGCGTGCTTTTTAAACCCTTCTTAAACTTGAGTTTTGTAGTAAAATTAACTGGTAGGCTTGGTAAATCTATAAACAGCTTCCTGCTAAATTCATATTATAGTGTTTAGTTATAAGGGCTTTCTGTAATTAAATTTAAAGATTTGCGTTTCTGAAACTTTTTCCTACCATCACTATCTTTTACATCTATGAGTACTAGATATTAAATATTGTTAGTTTTGAGCTCGACCCGAATTAGCCTACATTTACAATACTGAGTCCAAAAACGTCCGCAGACCTCTAATTTGTTTGCTAAAATCAAAAGAAAATTTATCATATCAGCATGCATGGTACCATTCTCTATCAAACATTTTTCCATGACTGATACCAAAAATGTAATCGATGTTCAAAACAATAAATGTTTAGTCTCTTGAAAATGATAAGCTTAAATTGTTAATAATTTAAAGTTCCTGAAACAATGGGGTTTTTATTACATTTGGTATTTCCAACTGCATTTTCTTCACAACTGTCATGTAGCTTTGTGATTTTCAGTAGACCCTTTAGATGATGTTAATAATTATGATGATGATGATGATGATGATGATGATGATGATAAGTGATACAGTGATAATAAAAGGCCTACGGCCCTTAATTCTATTAATATTATTTAATAGGTGGATTGCCTGACCGAAAAGATTGGGGACCGCTGAGTTAGAGACATTTAAGTATTCAACCAACCAAAAACACCCCATAAACCCAATAACTAATAAGATTATAATGTCACATGAAGTAGAGGTCGTACGGAACGAGGTGAAGCTTGGAGGGGAATAGTGGTGTGGCGGGGGAAGTGTCGCTATGCAAGGCGACGATCGGCTCGTCTCTTACCCCCACAATGGATTTCCCCGCTTTAGACCGTTCCTGCCGAAAATCTCAGGCTTCACCTCGTTCCGCACGACCTCTAACTTACTTCCTTCCAAGTCTGAATTCAATATACTTTCTGAAAATTAAATTGATTTGTAAATCAATTGCATAAATCCAAATCCACTTATTAAAAAGTAATCCCATAGGCTTTGTGTGGTTAGTTTAAAAATAAATGTCGTTAAAGACTTGTACAAGAAATAAATGGTTGTTTCAGTTCAAATATAAGTGGGGACTTGTTTAATTTTTAAGTACAGTATTCATCGTCAGAGTTTTTCTACGAATCTTTTTTTTCATTTTATCTATGTATATTCTTTTACCCTCCACGCCAGAATCATTTTTTTATGAAAGTAACTCAACAGGGAAAGGGGCCCAAACTTCTAAAATTTTTTGGTATGTCAGTGAACATTCACGTCCCTCTCACACTGGAGCTTGTGACACCCTGACTAGGTCTACCCCTAACAACATGTAGCACTGTGTGGTAAGACGTATGTAGCTTTTCATTAGTGTGAAACATAGGTAAATTCCATAATATTACACACAATGTATGAACAAAATCCTAACAAAAAAATTGTTAATAATTAAAAGTAAGGACCCCAGAGATTTTAATTCAGGGTGGATCAGATAAAAATGTTGGCCTTCAAGTCTCCGGTCACAATCAGGTAGGTGTAATATGATTGATTTGAAAATTGTAATACTAAAATCAATTTATACAATACTGCACATGATCTTCCCCCTATCGCAATGTTATTGTATACATCTTCTGCAGTTATGTCAAAATCAAGAACATCTTTCCAGTCACAGCCATATTGTGAACATCTACCACGGTCACACCGAGACAGTGAACATCTTCTGAGGTCATAGCAAAATTAAGAACATCTTTCTAGTCATGGCAAAACTGAGAAAAAATTACCTGCTCAGAGAATAATCAATGGCATTTTCTGTCCACAGCGAAATTGTAAACAACTCATAGTAAAATTTTTAACTTCTTCCCCAGTCATGATAAAATCAAGGACATCTTCCGCGGTTACGGCTAAAAAATCGACATTTCCTGAGGCGACGGCAAAATCGTAACTGTCACCCATGATCACAATGTAATTGTTTTGTTTATTTTCAATTGTGCATTTTTGCAGAATCTTTCTACAGTTGCAGAAATAAAAAGTGACATCCCCAGACACCCAAAAAAACACTTCTTAAGAGGTCAAAACCGGTTTTGCAATTAGAACCCTGTACAACTGTTTAAAAAATATTGGTATCACTTCTAGGTATAATTCAATACTCTACCTAAGCCAAGAGTCGGTCCAGCTCTTCTCATGGAAGTAGCAGAAAACTCTCTCCAAGGACAGTGAAAACTTTATGTCTTTCACAGAAGTTAGCAATTCTGACACGTACAGACTGGCCTGGTACTCAGAGTGACTCACTGCCACCATGATCCGCATACTGTCAACATAAAAGTGGTTGTTTAATATCAGTAAGACTTTTTAGAATAAATTCAGGTAGGCCCTGACTGATTAATAAAATATATTTCAAAACTATTATAAGGTATTAAGAATACTAATGCTCAAACAAAATATTAAAAAATAATCAAATAATATTTTAGGTAGTAAATCTTTTTGCGTAAAAGCTCAGGAGACTTTGGGCTGGAAGCAGAATAAGAAAATTGTCAGGATCTTAAACGGGTCATTGATCTTTACTGGTAATTTTCACAGCTCAATTCCCCTTTTATTTTACAGTAACTGCTAATTATTTTCCATCCCTCCAAATAGTTTCTTATATAAATACAAAGCAAGGTTAGTTTAGGTACTGTTTGGTTGGGTTATGTCAGTTTAGCCCTTGGGTATTAAAACCGAGTAGTGAGACAGCATCAGCGCCTACAAAGTTGGCTTACTTCAACATTTCCCATTATAACCTGTAAACTCCTAGATTTGCATCGGTAAGCATTGATCGCTACACAATAGTTAAAGTTGTTGACCCCAAAGTCTCCCAAGGTTCCCCCCTCTTCCAGCACTCAGAACTGATTCATCCAGGCAACCAGTAATCAAAAATGTTGTCTTTAAAGACATTCTAAGATATTTTTACATCACAGATTTAATAATCCTTTAACATTTACTGATATAAGATACACCATGTAAACTTTGTGTTTGTGGTTCTTCACACACTTATCTTGATGCATTACCTGTCAGCGTCAACAACATGGTAAGCCTGGTTGTTAAGTTCAGATTGAAACACGGCTTTCTTGAATTCTCCTCGTCTCTGTGAGATCAGCAGATCCAAATGTAGCGGGTTCTGCAAAAAAGATTGAAAACTGTTAAAACCGAATTGAAGTTTCTCAAGATGCAATCAAAACAAAAGTGTCTCATACAAATTTAACAAGTTTGGGCAATGAAGGAATTTTGTGGACAGTGTTATTTACGCTGAAAGTTCAGAGTAACAACAACTAAGTCTGAAGCGGTTTTTACTTAAAAAAAAACAAAACTAAAACACTAAATTCATACATCATTATTGGTTAACTGTTAAATATGTGCAATTACAGATCAATTATAAATTTACAAAATAGACACATTACTTTATTTGTAATTTTTTCAAGAAATCAATTAGCTTCCTCAGATAATAAAACAACTTTATAATCAGAATAAGATAACCCAATAAATAGTCTGTCAAAGTATATTTTAAATGCATATTTTTATATATTTTATTTAGGCCAACTTATAGTTACCCCTTCAGATTTATTACTAATTATTAACAGGCCTATGCATAAATAAAACATCTAAAGCTCTACATAGACAATAAATTAGATGTGTATTACATATAGATTATATCTATATACACTTATGTTGAACAAGTACATATGATAAAGGTAGGCCTAAACCAATTTAATTTTGAAATATCATTCAGAAATAATTTACAAACAAGAATAGCGGAACTTTCAAAATTAAAACAGCTGGCAGAGTTTCTAAACTACAAAAAAGTAATACTGAGCAAACCAGATTTTAAATCAATTTTGAACGGTAAAAATGAAAACTAAGACCAGTTTTATTGAGCAAAAATGTAAAAATATTATGCCTTTTTACAGTGAAAATAAAATACAAACAACCTATGCTCTGCATAAATATAATATAGCATTGAATATTGAAGCAGGAAATGAATTGTAAGGATATGAAATGGAGGGAGGACTTCAATAGGATGAATTAGATTTGATGATGTAGGGGTCCTCTGTTAGGTTGAAGAGTCATTCACAAATAATCAATACTTGTCAAAATATGGGGGTCAAGATGTGTCAAAAACTTGAGTTCAGCCAGTGATTTAACACTTTTTCTTGTAAATTTGTACCCCTTGCAGATCAGCTGAGGTCAATTTAAGGGAATTTTTCTGTTTGGTATGTAGAGGCGATTTGTATTGTTTTAGTATTTATTTTGTGATTTGCCACCAAATACTTTGAAAGTTAGTCCTCTGGCATTTTTTTTTACTATATCCATGTGCTGTCACCCAACCCACCAAGTAGGGGTGCGAGCTGATCTAGTGGTAGAGTACGGGACTTTGGTCCCTGAGGTCTCGGGTTCAAAACCCGCCAATCAGTAATCACCAAATGGATTTTTATTTTATCCATGGGATATTGCGGAGGTGGACTAGCCTGAGGTAATGGGTAACAGTTGAGGGTAGGGCCTAGCTTCTCAGGATGGCATTAGAAAGAAAAAAGTGAAAGGTGTACACTATACAATTAACCCTAAAATATGAGATAAAATTATTCAATATCAGCCCACTGAAACATAAGCTAACCTTTCAGATTTTACGATTACTATGAATTCTACTGGCTGCATCCAAAGTTAATCATTCAGCGTACAGTCAGTGAACAAGAATAGAACTTTGTGGTCATTAAGATGGGTTATCAGTGCTAATTTGAGGTCGCTTTGATGTAATGTGACAAATTAAGTCTGAATCGTTCAGAAATAATCATAAATTACAGAACTTGGTTTAATGTGTGCTAAATATTTCAAATGTGTTTCACCTTCCAAGGTGTATTAAGCTTATATTAGGCCTATTTGGTTTCTTTTGAAATTTTAATGAATAATAATGGGAAAAAAACTAATTGTGTTGGGTTTTCCTATTCTAACTAAAAGTTTTCACCTGTTTACAAAGAGTATTTTAATATAAGTTATGTGTCTAGGAGTAATATGTCCAGCAAGTTAAATGTCCTTCAAATCTTCACATAAAAGAGGGTTAAATTTTCCTTAGTAATTAGCCATTCAATATTCCACTTAATATAAGTACTATAACTCAAGTGAGTAGTACGGTAATACTTTCAAGTAAACACAAGAGAGATTCTTTTAATTGTTGTAATTTGTAACATGTGTATAATGATTACTAGTGGCTTTTGAAATCCTAGGAAATCGTTTAACTGATTGTGCCTATGTATATAAGTAAAACTGTTCAAAATTACAAACCGTAAATTTCAATGAGCTTTAAATCCCTTGAGAATTTAGTTTTTCATGGGTAAGCTAACATGGCAGAATAACCAAGTAGCCTAGCCATAATATGCAGACATAATTCATGACATACTACAGCCTAAAAATTTGAATTCCTTCTTTGGTCTTTGTTCCTGGTCAGTAGTGAAAACGGTAACATGAGGATAAAATGTCTATTTATATCAGTAGGAATGGTTACCTAAGAATGATAGATGTTATTTTCGGATAGTAGAGTGAACCACTTACTTATAGTATGCTACCAGCTCAACTCTATTTACTCCTTTTTTTATGTTATTTTGATAGTTGATTACAATGTAAAATATGCAACAGCTTAAAATAGGTCGCCCTATCAGTTTTGCTTATGTTAAAAAGTTTGCATATTCTACAGAAATCAGTATTTTACAACACTCTCAATTCAACTGAGTTTCTGATTATTAAACTGGTGACAGGAATGTCTACTGTCAAAAGTCAGAGGTCTTTAAACCAAGTATGAAGAATGTTACCTTCGGATCTTTTCGTGTGACGAAGATGAACTCTCCCTTAACCCAACAGTCGACGACATCTTTGACCACCAGACTGACAGACATTGTGCCTCCAATGGACATTCCCTTGACAGCTATCACAGAGGACGTAGTTGGCTCCTCCCTCTGGGCCACTAGATACTGCTCCCCGGCTCCTTCGTCGTCAGACACCCAGTAGAATGTCTTGACAAACTCCTGCATCCTCAACCACGTCATACCAAAGTCCTTCGTCGACCACAACTGCAACATACAACATGCTGGCAAAACTGTGGTTGTGAAAGTTCATGATTGCTATGGATATTGATTGAAGATTTAGGTTAAATAAAAGGGCATTTTGTTTCGCTCAGTATTTTGAACAATACGGTACATTTTTGGAGGTAAGGAGAGTCTCACTGTTTCAAGTCACCATCTATCTATATATATAATACGCTAAGCCGATTTTTGTGAACTGAACTCCTCCCTCATTTTTGGACCGATTTTGATGATTTAAGTGTCAAAAGAATGGCCCTGATCTGTAGTTTTGCAAAGTGTTTTTCGTTTTTTGACATCTTTATTAGTTTGGGCAGGATCTTCCATCAAAGTTGGATTTTCTCCCATAAGATTAACATGGGGGAATCTAAATATTTAATTGGAAACTTTGTCTCCACTAATTTGAGAGAACGGCTGGGCGTAGAAACTTGGTAGAGGTGTCCAAAGAAAGGTCTTGGTCTGTAGATGAGTTATCAAAAGAAAAACTAAGTAAATTCGCTTAGGGCTCTGCCCCAGAAGCCTTTAAAGATCCCTCCACAGATTTGTTTACATTTTGGCCATGTGGATAATACTTTTTAATAAAACAGCTGTTAATTTAAAAATTGTATTTTAAACAACACACATTTATTGTGAGTTACTGAATAGTCCAAAAGAAGTATTTTCAATGTTATTTTCTGATTAAAAATTGATTTTCTTCTATATCATGTCATGTGTTGCATAATAAAGTTCCATTACGAAATCAGTGGAAAATCCTTTTATCACAATAACTCTAACAATTGTTTCTTATTGAACTATCTTATATCTATTTACGGGTTGGTGTCTGGCTTTTTCACACCTTTTCCCTATATTTTATCATATTATTCTGGAAAGATCATCGTAGGTTCATGAGATTATTGTCATACATGCTTTCAATCATTGGAAAAATCTTCGATTGTGTAATACAATACAAAATAATACAAGTGCAGAAGAGCACGGTGCTCATTTGAGCCGTGTCCATATTTTGTTAAATATAGCAACTGGATAAAACATTTTACAATATTTATGTTGAAATATGTGCATGATTTAGAAAGTCATTAAGCTGGAAAACTGCAATATACTGAAGACTTTTCAGAGAGGGCACTTCGATGTATTCATTCAGCTTAGTGAAAACATAATATAGATATGTATACAAATAAGAACTTGAACTCTTAGAGAGCCTTTGAATGTTATTAGACTAACGAAAGGGGTTGTGCATGTTTACTAGCGCTACTCAGCAACAAAACCATTTAATTTATCTCTAAAATATATATTCTTAGTACACTGAGCAGCAGCCTAAAAAATCTATATAATAGAGTTACAAAATGCTCACACTCGCATTGTGACATTTATAATTCTGCTTATATTTCTCCAACAGCAAATTTATCTGCAGAATAATTTTATTGTGCTCTTACCGTTTCTAATAACATCCAAACACAGAAACCATGCCTAAAATAGTACCTATCATGACAAATTATTTGCAGTGGCCTATATTACGGACCGTTGCCCACTGTGTTGGTAACATTATTTAAAATAACACAACATTTTGGCTGTAAAAACTGTCCAATGAGTAAATACTATTTAAGCAGCTAATGTCATGACAGAAAGGTCATATTCCTTTTAAACTAGATCACATAATCTTTTATAAGATACGTTGATTAACAATACGCATGTAAACGTCAATATTTACGTAACAGCCAGTTTACATTATTTTTTGCTTTTTGGAAATGCCATATACTTTGCATTTGCATTATTTGTTGCCGATAAAGCTGCACGGCCATATAAATGAGGAGGCCCCTAACAGTTCAAGAATAAAAGCCAACTTCACTTCAAGTATATTCCACTACACCTAACATTCCGTAGAGAGATTATATTGACAACTTTATGTAACTGATAAGGCTGAGACAACTAACTGACATCCCCCATGTCAAGGAATTCCAGCTTTAACAGTAACCCCACAACCAATTTCTCAAAACTGTGCTAGAAGAGGGTTATTCATTGGCACAAATGTACGATATGAACTGACGCGACAAAGGAAAAATCAAACTTACACTGTAACGGACATACCTCCCTTTGAAGTTAGAAAGAGTCTTCCCAACAGATTATTTTTTCAAATAAAACAAAGATTAATCTGCATTACACTGATGAAACCACGGAAGTGTTTAACTACAAAAGGTCCACCAATACGGTTTTAACAACAACTCCGATGACGTACAGTATGGGAAATATTTTGTTCCCTGAATTATCAACCATATTTGGTAACTAACGCAATTAATATCATTATTGTTTTTACACTTATTAATATTTAAACAATGCTAAATGCTCAAAATATGTATAATTTCACTAAATTTATCGCAGTTAGTTAGCGTAAGTCTTGAAAGTAACCGTCGATTTTGACGGGTTTCACCTAGTATATTTATATTTACATTATTAACATATAAATATAATGAAAAAATCTATACTTAATACGATAAGGGTTTTCTTTGTTATCCCTTTTTTAGCTGTCCTACTTAACAGATTTTCACGATTGCAGTGTCAATTTAAAAAGCTTATGATCCAGCGCACATGCAAATGGTAACAAAAAAAAATTCCTTTAAAGTAGGTATAAGGGTACCTACTTGCATTATTATGTTTACCTTTGAATTAAAAATTTAACGTCTGGACCCTATTATAATGCACAATTAGTGCACGAGTCCCCTTGTTATGTTGTAATAATTACCCAAGTTAAAGAACTTTAGGCCACAGTCTTAATATTTGTGAATGTACGAGTGAAATAAAATAAAATATAATCATATCCTAACAAGATGACTACTGTTTCATTAAATATTTTTTAATTAGGCCGTGATTCGTGGTTGTGCCATTCATACAAAGTGCACATCATTCATGGATTTTTTATTTTTTTTATTTTATCATACAAAAAACATACAATACACAATCCTGATTCTCCAATATTTATATCAATCTTCCCAACTTTATAATTTTCCCCTAAAAATTCACTACACAATAGGATATTTGCTTAAAAGTTTGTTATCACCATCTAGCAAACATATTTACTCATTCCATATGTTATATTTATTTTTCCGTGCTGCAACTACGCAAACAGACAGTTAATGAGTCTGGTACCACTCGGTATCAAGCCTAGCATTGGTAGCTCATATGACCTTGAGTAACACTACTTCACCTCTTATCAACCGTTCACACTATCTCTGACTATTGACTGCTTCACTTTCACTCAAAACTTAATCTGTAAACAAGCCACAGTGACAAACATTGCGTATAGTTTGGCTCAAGTTGACAATAAACATCACTTTAAAGAACACTGTAGTAAACAATCAGAACAAAACTTATAAATATGGTTTAAGAGTTGTAAAGATGATGTAATATTTTTAATGTTTCCAAAAGTAGTAAAACTTATTCAATTTTAAATTTGTTCAGAAGGGGGTAAAGCAAAATCAATACTATTTACAATATTTTACTACCGTATGTATACTTTTCCTGTTTTAACATTTTGTCTCGTGAAATTTAAGTTCCATTTAGGATTATCTTAGAAAATCCCTATTATCGGTAACTTAAATAAATGTAGTCTCACATTATACAGTATCGGTATACTTTTCTGGTTTGAAACAGACAATGTTTTAGATGTAGAGGTGAATGACGTAGGTACTAGACAAGATACATAACAATGGTACTGATCGTAGTAAAAATAAACAATAATTTTATAAAATGTCACTTTTTACTTAATTTAATTAGTACCCTACCCTACTGTAATGGGAAGGATGGTTTATTAAGTCATATTTGACTTGCAATTTAAGATGTTTAATTTATTTTCAAACTACTGATAGGCTATTAACAGCAACTAAATTTTAACGAATAGGCTATTTTTATTTTTGTGATTTTTGGTTTGATTTAAACTTAAAGCTTGCATTATTTTATAGTACACTAGGCCAACAGTGAACAGTAATTTGATCGATTTTCAGTGGCAAAATACAGGTGTGTCAACCTAAAATAGTTAGGTTTTATTGTCCGCCCCACTGTAATCTTGTTTAGATTCTCAACAAATCACTTTAAATAAAAGTGTAATGATTCTCAAAATGTGGTCTACAATCTTGCCTCAGAGAAGTTATCTTTACCAGGTCAAATGTTATTCTAGCTAAGCTGAAAGGTAAAAAAATATGTTATCAGTAATTTTTGGTGGTTAACAATACCAATTCAGGGTTTATTTAGGTCTGATGTAAAACCATTCAAAGAATTATTGATAACACAATATAATTTTGTTATCATAATAAGCTCTAGGCTTAATGATCTAGAATGAAAAGAATAATTGGATTTGAAATAATCTTTCATGATATGAAAAATATGTTTGTCACACTGCAGCAAATTACAGCTGTTTCTAATAGGTACATGAAGGTCTAAAGTAGCTCTTTAGGGAGTAAAAGTAAGTGTTTGTAGTTGTATACAGTTATAAATATCAATTGAAAGTAATCACATGTATCAACATTATTTAGGCCTTTAATCAGTTGTATCTAGCAGATTTTTGCATTTTTGTCAATAGTTTGACATAAATAGTAAAACGTTCACTAACACAATCGTAATTAGATGACATGATTGAATCACTGAGCTATAATTCTAACTGGAGGTAGCACTGAATGTCAAAGATGCGTGTCGCCAGCCGCCATGTTTGCGTGAGGTGGGTGTCCATAAGAAGCCATGTTATTGCTATGACAAAAATACTCACTGCTATACAACCTAGTTATAAGAAGGCATGTTATTGCTATGGTAAGAAAACTTACTGCTATACCAACCTAACAAAATCAGCGACTCGCTTTTGACAGACTTCTGCCATGGCAGTGCTACCTCCAGTTATAATTTTAGCTCAGTGGATTGAATCAACTAAACAGCTGCTTATTTGCATGAGCAAAATTGAAAACTAGGTGGAAGTTGTTTTGTGAGTTTATTTTAAGGCCTACATGAAAATTATTTTCATTTTCTAACTTAGTTTGTTAATTAATCTTGCAATAACAATATAGTTTATCACACCAGCAAAAAAGCGTCTTTTCAGCCCTTGCTCATTTTCTGACCTTGGCTTTGCCTGGATCTTAAAACTCAAGCTTGGGTGGAACAGAGTCACTTTACACCTACGCCATAATGATGAAATATAATATTTTGATCTAATTCAAAAGAAATAGCAGAATGTTTAAACATTTTACTGAAGAGTTAACTGGATTTAATCAAATACAGTGTGTACATTAACTGGAATGGCTTAAATGTATTTTTCTAAATTTTTTACAAGAATATGAATTCAATTTCAGTTCTTAGGCTCACTAATTGTCTGTATCAGAGTTTGGTGGGAGAAATAACCGTGGACTGCCTCTGAGATGCACCTCATACCAGGCATTTTGCTACTTTTTACTTAGGCTTATACTTAGTAAATGGCCTTAATTATTTTTTGTTATCATGATATGTGAGAAAACAAGATTAATAAAGACTTAATTAAGTCATTGAATAATGTAAGAATTCAAAGGGTGATAAAACCACATAAAAAGTTAAGTCTAACTTAGGCCTACTATAAATTACCTAAATGATTTTTTTTCAAAGGTATCATTGTGTCATATGTTTTTACCTTTTTTTCAATTTTAGCAAAGATATAAAAAATGTTTGAGCTCAGAGATTCAAATATGTTTCAAAAGTGTATATTAGGTACTTGTTAAAAAATAATTCAGACATTATTTTTTATGTAACTTAAAATAAAAAAAAAAATTAATTGTTTAAAAACCTACTGCCCGTTACATTTTTTTTACAGAGGAAGACTTGGTACAAGGACCAAGTTAGTAGTTTTCACCGAGCACAGAGAGAGAATTGAATTTACATGATAATGAAAATTATCGTGTAAACATCGATAAGGAAATAGACAGGCGTGGAGGAAGGGGGCTTTGCTCATTTATCAGTCACATTTCGTAAACAGAGTAAATTCTCTTCTTACGACTGTTACTAAATTTTTACAAAGCATACACATTTTCATGTATAAAAATTTACATGTAGCCTATTAACTTAAGATTCAAACCTCAACAGACCAAATAGTTCAATAACTCAACAACAGGTGTTTGTTAGTAAAGCTAAACAACATTATCGTAATTTTGGAAGCTACCTTATGTAGGTAAAAAGTTAGCAATTTTGTTTTTTTGTGAAACAGTTCAAGCTAACATGCATATCATAAGAAAATAAACAGTGTTATTAGCCACAATAAGCTTATAAATTGTCCCTTGAGTGACATACTACAACTCTCATTTAGACCTATATCATATAGTGTATCCTAATTTTAACAATACAACCTTTTTTTTAAATATCATGTTTTTAAATAGGCAGAACATCGGTGATTGAAAGTAAAGTCATCCCAAGCCAGCTTGAAATTAGTAGGATTTTTTTAATTTGTAACACAGCTAACTTGTTTTAGCTACTCAAATAGGACGTGCTTATTGTGTAATATTCCGTAGTGTCTACAACATTAGTAGTCCAGAATTATCTAGGCCTAGGTGATAAATTTGCCCACACAGCACTGAGTCAGACACTTGTACACTGGCACTGCCTTGTACAAAACCACAGAGCAAAGTCTGCAATTGTTTGTGTGTGTCACATGCTGACTTCCTGATGACTGATAACACTAGTGATAACTCAACTTTAGTCTGCCTGAGGAGTGAGTCATAGTAACTTACTGTGAAATAAGATTACTCAATCACTCAGTATGAGAAAACAATACACAATAAAAACTATTAAAATTTTTTACACAAGATAAAAAATGTTTTATAGGATTACAATTGTTTTAACAACTTTTTAGCGTGTTGCAAATGTACAGTCAAAAGAAAATATTTAACAATTGAGTACAGATTGCACTTATAGAGTATTCTACAAGGCCTACACTTCATAGTTATAAAAATATAAAATATAAAGAGATGAAAATAGGAGAAATATAAAAGTATTTGGTTTGGAGTACGTGTATTTTACTACCGGTACCCCTTAACATTCAAAGGGATTTCATTATGCCTATTTTAAGACAAATTTTTGGTGGGTACCGGTACTAACATTTAGGTAGCAACATTTCCGTAGGCCTAAGCCAGATCCATTCTGTCAAATCCAAAAGAACTGTACACCGTTTATTTTAGGCGGGACTAACTTAATCCACAGGATGTGTCCTGAAATGTTTCAGCTCACGTCAACTTGTTGAGTCATAGGCCTACACACATGGATGGTTGTTATTTGTAGGTGAAGTTAGAAACAATTCTTTTGAAACCAATACATCGTCTGTTGGAGCTTAAAGAGTAAAAATTGCACCTCTCTTTTTATAATATAATTTATCTAATTAAACTAAAGAAAATGTAGACGAAAACTTACTGATTGTTTGTCATCATGGATGAGGAAGATGTTTGGATTTTCCGGATGATAAGACAAATCAACAGGATTGAAGTTCAAGCTGTACTTATTAAATGTTTTTCCAGAGTCGGAAGTTGTAAAGATCATCTTGTGGGTTTTGTCCAGAAGTACAATCTGTTTTGACAGAAAAGTGTTAAAATTAATTATGTAAAATTATGTTACTAAGCTTCAACCAGTAACTTAAATGAGTATTTTTTTTACTGTAGCAATCCAATGATATGAAATAATATCAACAGAAGATAACTAAGTCTACTTGAGAGACTTTAAGTTAAAATTTTAATTTGGTAGAGAATTGTTGGAGGACCAACCAAATGTAAGATGGTAATTTATTTAGCCTCTCGGGTCAAGTGTCACAAAACTGCTAAATTAATAAAAAACAACAGGTGAAAACATTATTTTAAGTACAAAAAAATAAAGGTTACTGGCGACTTGACCTAGCCTACTCCGTTTTCAGAAAGCCGATATTTGTTTATTCCAGAGAAGCAATTGGCCAAAACCTTAATTTGTAACTAAGATCGGCCTACTAAGTAACAACTTGCTTTTACATGGCAACAAAATGAATTTAACTGCCCAAACATTGCATAAACGTACAACTAAAAGACCTGACCAATAGCCTCCTCTAACACAAGGTCTCGGCATTGGTGTGAGGCAACGCAACAAGTCATGACTGGTGCCATGATAATAACAAAAGTATAAACATTAAAATTTTCTATACTGTTCAATAAATATAGAGCAACAGCCTTCGATTTGGCGGGACAGGTGTGTTTATTTATTTATTACATGCACGGCAAACGCCATTTTACAAGAGAGTTGAATTGAGATTGATAAACATTTTGTGTGACTTTAAGTGAAGTAGTTGCCACTTTTGTCTCACAGCGGCTTTCTAATAGAGGAGGCTGTGCCTCTAGCATTAGGCCTACACTTAACAAAATTTGAATTAGCCTATTAAGGTAAATAAATACAAATTACGTTTAGAAAAAATTGTTGTAGGAAACACTAACTTTGTAGGTAGGCCTACCTATGAACAAAATTTTGTTCAAAACTTACTTACATGAGTAACAAACTTCGGGTGGTTAAAAAACTTATCGATAGATGCATAGAGTCCTTTATCTTTGTCGATGAGAAAGGATTCAGTTTTGTTCTGGAAAGTGTCGCCGTAGTCATACGAGATGTAGACGGCAGAAGGTTTCTCTGTTTTGGTGGTGCGAGAGGTTGGATCACGAGCAAGACATATGACGACGTCAGACCCAACTCCTGCCCAATGAACCATCAACTGTTGATGAGAGTCATTCAGCTTGTTCACCTACAGAATGCAACAAACAGAAATTAGTCAAATGGCACATTTTCATGTAATACACAGGTTTTACTATATAAAAGCTGGCCACACCTATCTGATTCAGAATTAAGAAAAATCTAGGGAAACTTGCATTTTAAGGGGAACAGTTTTGATAAGTTTATTCAAATTTTTGCACCTCAGGCCTGATTAATAATGTTGTGTCAACTGAAATACTGTTGGATGAAATAGTTTAGAAAAAATTAATGTTTAAAAAATGGACATTGATTTTGACCTATTTTGATAAACGGTGCTTAACACCTGATCTAAATTCTTATGAATATAGGCTAATTTACAGCTGATAACCTACAATATAGGCCTATTATCAGGAAAAGCCAGGGTGGTAAGAGAAAAAAGGGTTAGATGAAATATTAGGCTATATAGCCTAACTACCAAGCTTACGCTTATTCTGCGCGTAACGGGATGAGTGAAAGTGTGCACAACAATGGAAGAGTCCACCTGCACTTACAAACCGTAACCATAAGGCGCATAGGTAATAACGCTTCAATATATAGTCCTACTAAACTATTACTTTTTTTAAAGCCCACTTGCCTACTCTACATAATGGTTTGGAAAAAAATATGGCTAATTTATTTTTTTTTGTCAAAAATAGGAAAAACCAATTTTTACCGGGGCCATAAATCCCTTTTTCGAAAGTCTGATCATGTACTTCGCGAACTTGCTCGAATAGCTTAAATGTAGGTTTACATGTTTAGGCCTATACAAAATTTCATCAAAATCAGATAATTTTTGCTTGAATTAGCCGATTGTGCTAGGGGACACAAGGTATAAATTATAACATAACTAGGCGGTAGGCCTAAGTTAATTATTTGTCAAATTACCCAAGTTAGTACCGTACCGGTAACTTAGATCTATAGGCGTACCTTAGGCTATATTAGATCCAATCAGGTAGGCCTAAATCGAAATTTGCTTTAAGTTTGCAGGTTTGCTAAGGTAGGGGTTATTTCAATAACCCCTCACTAAATGAGGAGTACCCGTTTTGGGTAGACTTCCAGCATTTATCTGTTATCAAAAACAACCGAAACAAACAAAATTAAAATACTGATCAATAGCCTACATCAATTATTTGATAGCCTATATCCCTCCGAGCATCACTCGTCGAAAAATCGACTCACGACACACTTTGTGTAGTGTCACGCGTCGATTTTTCGACACACGAACATCGTTTACGGCGAAGGCTCTATGACTGACTGAATCGGATTGAACTGGATCGAGTTAGGTATCGTTCTTTTCGTTAGATTCTAAGCTTTCTCCAGAGGTCTGTCTCTAAGCGCTTTATGTTCTCCGAGCCAATCGTAATTGTGGCAGACAGCTGACGTTCGTGTTTTAGACAACTTGGTTATTTCACATCAGTGACTTGTGTTTTTGTACGTTTATCGTCGTTTTTAGTGGTAAAAATGGACAGTAGTGATATACGTAATGCAATAGAAGATGATATTAGTGATGTTGAAGGACTTATTGACGATCCGGATGAAGTTGGTAGTGACATTGATGTTAATTATCAGCCAGATTCCTAGCTATGGTTAGGCTATGCATTCTTAGCTAAACGCTATGTACTGAAATCTGTTTTTTGCCCATAACTTATTTATTTGCAAATCTACTTCCTTATATTATTATATATTTGTAATCCTCATAAAATTTAGAACAAAGTGGCTATTTTCAAATATTTATAGGCCTATACTTAATTTATACAATTTCATTGAGCACGAACTTATTTTTTTTTCAATTTTTCCAAAATAATTTTTTTTACCTAAAAAATTTTTTTGAAACAAATATTCCTTATGTTTTATGTATGATAGTGAAGCCCATGATTTTCCAAACAAAATGGTGTATAGAACAATAGAATTAACATTGTTTTAAGCTTCTCAGATCCGTTTTAATAAAACCTTGCAAATGCGCCAAAAATAGGTGGACATCAAGGCCTACACTATGGACACTCGGAGGGATATCGAGTATTTCATTTGATACATCAAATGAAACAATCGAATAAAAAATATCAATCGATATTTTCATTCCGTTGTTTTGCACAACAGATAACTTACATAAGTCTAAGTTTACCCCCCTTTTTGTAAACTACCTACAACTAAGTTTAGGTCTAGGCCTAGGCCTATAGCTTAACTAGAGTATATTTAACTCGGGATTAGACTAGGCCTAACTCTATTATGTTATTACTGTCAGACTGCCCCATGAAAGGCTACAATGAAACAGCTAACAACTTTACAATCTGAATCTACATACAGAGCATTTACAGTAGGGAGCCTAGGTAATACGCCTAAATTTAACATTGCTTACCACTGTTGTTATGTTGCTTTTATGAGGAGGGCTTGTGACTTCCCTTTTTCTGACAGAATGGTAGTTTTCATCATTGAAGCCTAGGCCTAATCCAAACTCAGGAAAACCATCGAGATTAGCTTCAAATAATTTTCCAGATCCTTTGGCAGACGATTCCAAGTGACCTGACAGTGTCGTTGCCGAAGACAAATTTATTTTAAAAAAAGTAAATACTAGGCCTATAAACAATATTGCACAATAATATGATCGACCCATTATTGGGCAAATTTTAAATCATTCATCAAAAATAAACAGTTAGAGACGCAAAACAAGAAACACGGCTGGTAAACACTTAATAGTTCTTCGAGAATAGACACGAATACTAACTGTAACTTTAATGCGCTTAATCACTACCGAATATCTTACCACACAACAAAAGTATAACAACTAACTACACAGACAGCTCACAATCACAATAAGAACATGATTTGCTGATTATTAGAAAAATAAAAAATACTGCCGAAGACACTGACAGTGACAGTACTGACAACTGTGAACTGTAAGCTAAGAAAAACTTAGTCATCTGTTTCATAATTTTTTCTCTGAGACACCTTTGGTGGTTGGCAAGCTAAACAATATCTTTACAATTGTACTATAAATTATGTGCCGCCAATGCTGAGTATTCGTTACATTATTAAGTTGGGTTCTTCCATTTAATTTTTACTAAAATACTTAAATTAGTGTTATTTATAAGCGTTTTTATCAAATATTGAACAAAATAATGCATTGTAAATTTTATCTAAGAGATCAAGCTAATCATTAAAAGTAAAAAATAACAGAAGAGGATCAATACCCAAGAATCTTAGAATGGAGACAGCAGAATATTTTTCAGTGATAAGAACAAAGAAGGATGGAAATTGCTTATTTCGTACTGTAAGTCAACACTTAAAAATCAAAATAAGCATTCTAAATTACGAACTCAATCAGTTCAGTATGTAAATAAACATTGGGAAGAAGTAAAAACATTTTGTAGTTGATGGAAGCAAGCTTCAGAGAAAGATATTTAACTAATGATATGGATCATACGGCGCACGTTCCATGAATGCCTTGATCCATTCCAAATATATCAACTTAATTTTCATACCTTCAATCTTTAGAACATAGAATATTGAACAGAACGATAGCTTTGAGAAAGCCTCCAATAAAAATCTCATCTGGTGAAAACAATAAAATAAAAAATTATTATTATCTGGCAATCCTGTGTCTATATGGTCATTTTGACCTACTCATTTCAAAATCCAAAACTTGGGAAATAGATTAAGACAGCAATTTATAGTGCAATTATAGCAATTATAGTGTTGTAGATTCAGAAACTAATCAAAACAAATGTACTGAATGTGAGATTTATTTTAAAGTCACACAAGGTTCCTCAATCACTTGAACAAAGATAATTTTAAAAAAATGTAATGATTCATTGACAACTCTCTTTAATTTACTCAAACACACCGAATGCAGATCTCCTGATTATCTTTTAAAATATTTTGAAGTAAATCCAATACAAATAACCTCTAAAGATGGTTGCCTCGTTGGGAAAAAATCGTCACTCTTAAAAGATTTCAATATAATATATGCCAAGAATCCATTGGAGACAAATTTTTACAATTGCTAGCGGAAGAGAAGAAATATTGTTGCTGACAATTGGAAAAGAACCCTCTGAAAGAGTAATTATGTTTAATTGCTGTCATTTTACAGAGAAAAATTTATAAAACAAACAAAAGACCTCAGAAAACTAATTGATAGACGAATTAGAGTGGAAGGAGGAGGGGTATGATGAGCTTCTATAAATGAGGTTCTATATGCGATCGATCCTAATACTTTAATACTTTTCAATCAAATGGTGACCATACAAAGTAGGTATTTTAAGCCAAGTATGAATGGAGATGAGTGTAGAATGAGTGGCGCGATCTTGTAGTCTTGTTAGTGACTAAGGCCGTCATATTCCTTAGACACAGCTGTTAATTAATAGCCCATACAGCTAATGGCAACTAAGGGACCTACAGTTTATAGTGGAATCCGAACCACATTTTTCCTTGGTATATACGAATTGGTCTAATTATCAGGATATCACTGTGGATAGTCGTAGTTCTCACTCGTGCGGACGTTAATCCACACCAGGGAGTGAGAACAAGTGTAAAAAATTTATACAAATGATCAAAAACAGTTTACAGAAACTTATTTCAACAGACTTGTTCAATGTGGAAAATAAAATATTCATAAAGAGTAGTTAACACGTTCGCTACTGCAATAGTACGAAATGTTCCATTCACATGGACCAGCGACGCACATATGCGACGGCTGGTTTCCACCCATAGACTACCGTCGCATATATGCGACGGCTAGTCACATTAAAATAGACTGCCGACGCATATGTGCGTCGGGGTTCTAATGTTTTTAAAATGCTTATATCTTTGTAGTGGCCTATTTGAAGGCACTGAATTCCCTGTAGTGGTCTACAGAGATGTCTGACGCACAACTGCGTCGCTTGGTCTGTGGATATGATGATTGGTGACGTCATATAATAGTTGGAAAAACTGGGCTTTACTTTTCTGCATCACTGTATGTATGTATGCAGTATGTATGCTGCATTATCCTATGTAGCTTTTATATTTGTTCAGTTATAAACTGTTCTTGAATAATCTGTTTATTTCTTTACTTACTTTCACCTTAAAACACAAAAAAATGAACTGTCGCATATATGCGACGTTTAGTTTATTTCAAGAAAACTATGATAATTTTCACTATTGTCTTCGCTGTAGACCGGGTGTCGCAAATATGCGACATTACAAAAGGTTATAAAAAATACAAATAAAAAAGAATAATTTATTTACAAACACGATTGTAGCGTATTACAATGTAAATGATCACTGTTTTACAGGTTTTCGCCCGTGGTCTGTGTGTACTGTTATCCAAGTGACAGTCGGTCTATGTGTAAGATTCAAATGTATACCTCGGTCTGTGGCAATGACCGCGGCGTCGCATATATGCGACGCTCAGTAGCGAACGTGAAACCAAAATATAGTAGACGGAATCCTTGATCCTGAAGATTATATCGGCGACTTCAACATTACAGTTTATGATTTATTAAACGAAAAAAAACCATCCACACCCAATAATTCCAAACAAAGATTTACTAAAACTACCTACCTGAAACCATGAGCGATGTTCCCAAACTAGAAAACACAGAAATAACAGCAGAGCATGTTGAGAAAGTAGTAAGACAACTATCTTCATGGAAGTGGCGGCCCAGGAGGAAGCTCCTCAGAAAATTTGACGGATTTATTGTTAAGACATGGAAAGAAAAGTGCACATCTGAAATCTTCAATAGCCTTTTTAGCCATGAAATTAAATGGAGAAATAATATCTTGATAACAAAGAGCCTGTTTAAATAGACAACGGTAAAAGCTTATTCCCGAAATGCGAAACTCGCTCAAAAACAATGAACATTTATTAGGTTATTTACTAAAAGAGAGTTTGGAAACCTTGATTTTATTCGTGATATAACTGTAAAATAAAAAAAACATTGCATGTAAGAGGTTACAATTTTTGCAACGTGTAAACTTATAACATATTGTGACGTATTTTTAAAACTTCGAAGCAACAATTTGAATGTAAAATCATAATAAAGGCAATCTTCACAGTTCCGAACCCTTCTTCCTTATTTACATTTTCCTCCGAGATTGGCGTAGCGAAGGACAGCAAAATAAGTCATGAATGTTAATGCCTGCCTGCCAATAAATTGGACAAACTGTATTTTTCTGGGTTTCCCAATTTGGTGTTGAAGTGGGTCCCTAAAACCCCTTTACCAGTTGGCTCATGTTTTATTCATAGAACATTTAAATCAGCATTACTACTTATAAATAAGTAACAAATTTTATAGAGGGGGAGCGAGCTGGTGTAGTGGTTAGAGCACGGGACTTCAGTCCCTGAGGTCCCGGGTTCAAATCCAGCCAAGTAACCAATGGATTCTATCCAAGTGATGGCGCCACAACCCTTAGACCTAGCCTGAAGTAATTTGAAAAACAATTCCGGGCTCGTTCCTAGCGCCCTACATTCTAAATCGTTTAGGGAATTTCACAAGCTGACTGTTACTGTAATCACAAAAATGGAGTATATAAGCACAGACAAGGGAAACTTTTATTTCCTTAGTCAAAGATATAAGCTAAACGACTATTTGTAGTCTAACTCGATTCAACTATGTGCTAATTCTTTCTCATTTCAATTATCTATAAGGATAGACATTAAATCCTGAAGTATACTGTATTCGACCAGTACAGCACCGTAGAAGGGTTCGTCTAAGTTCACCGATCTGTGGCAGAACTAGGTGTGAGAAACCCGCCTAAAATAATTGGTGGACGGATTTGGTAGAATAAACTGGGCAGAACATGTGTGAGTAGTACCTCAAATCAGTAAGTTTCTTTTTTTCTTACCCTCATCGAGTGTTTGGCGATAATTTATTGATAGGTAGGAAAATTCTCAGTACTTCAGTCATTAAATTCATATATTGACCTAACTTTCTTTTCCCTTCAATCTTTTATCACATCATTTTTTTATCCATTCTGATTTATTCAAGGACGTTATCTCTTGTTATTTACCTACTTTCAGACTTTTAAAACTTGATGTTAGTAAAATATTGCGCCTTTCTTAATTCTTATGCTATAACCTTTGACTATTGATTCAACTTCAGTATTCAATAGGCAATGCTACCAATCAATACAAAACAGAAGCGTAAAATCCAACCTAGAATTAGAAATGAACATTTAATAACTTTATTTAGCACCTCAAACGCCAAAAGCATGAAACACGTTTAAGATGTATCATATTGGGAAGTTTACATCCACTATTCAAAATCAATTCAATCGTTGTGGTGAATCGGGTCGGTTTTCTTCGAGTTTTCTCTAAATTGTTTATTCAAGTCAACCATCCACTGGCAACAGTGTTGCTTCATAGATATTCGGTCCCGGAAGTGCCATTTGTTACCGGAAGTTCTCCAACGTGAGGCACTTCCATACAATGAGAGGACCTTGTTAGGAAAGATGCGACAATTCCCATGCTGAGGTCCCAGGTCCAACGTGGCTCTAACGCGTCATCACCTTGTGTGTGGTCTCAACAATGGTGGACACTTGGGACTCGTGTTGGCATATTTTGGATAGAGGATTATAAAGATAGATCGAAATCAAGCAACATTTTAGATTTTGCTAAATTAATCCTTATATATAATACGTGAAGACGATTTATACGAAACGGACTTTTACAAAAGATGTGTCAAAATAAATAACCTTTTGTCTAGACGTGCCCTTTCATCAATTCCTGTTATAAAAGACCTCGGTCTTTGCCTCACAGGCCATCAAAATCCCATTATATTTCTTATGAAGAAAATGTACAAACCTAGCTGTTATGATTCGTTCTGCTACTTAAATTTGTTTACATAAAGATTTGTTTCTTGGTGCCATGCTATGTGGTCAATGCATTAGACTTTTGCATATATTTCAAATGCAATATACTATATACAGTGATGGTAATAGGCCTAAATTTAGCAAAACTGGATTTAAATAATCAATAAGTACGATTGAGCTTTGCCTATATGTTTCCTAGTAAGTATGCGGTAACTGTTTCTTATAATAGATAAAAAACCGAATTATTCTTGTATTCTTAATTGTGTGATACTTGAAGAAGATAATTTTTGTGTTCTTCAACATGTAAAAAATGAAATGTCTTTTAGTTGTTTTACGACGTATTCCGAACCACTTTCAATCCATTAACAATAATCAATCTATTAACAATTCATCAATTTAAAATAAACCTGATAAATTTAGTTATCCGGTTTTATGTACATGAACTGTACATGTAACTGAGCATTCACACAGAACCATTTGGAAGGTCGAAATTTGGTCGAAATCTATAGACAATTTGGATGGTTTAAAAGTATTTTTACGATAATATGAAATGTCTTATATCTAAATTATATAATGGAAGTTGTTTCCTAAAGTTGACCTGGTTTGAATAGTTTGCCGAAACTTATCAACGGACAATAATACATAAGTAAACCAATAATTTATATTTATATTTATATTTTTTTTTAGTTTTTATATTTTTTGCCATACGTGATAATATCGTGTCCTAGGCGGAGCTGAAATAAAACTAGGCCTACCTGATGTTTGTTTTTAATTTCAAACCAACAAACTTGCCCTGTTGTTAACTTTAGATACTGTATATTGTCAATGTTACTTTCAAGATGTCGGAATAACAATAACTTCTTCATGAATAAACATTGAATAACTTCTTGATCAGTATTGTACGTGTTATTAAATTTACGGAAAGTAAATAAAATTAGTTTTATTAGACGTTTCTTTTTTTTGTACTTTCCATAAACATTGAAACTGCCACAACGTACTGTATATCGGTATTGTCGGTTATCGGTACATTGTTACATTGTTTTCTTTTACTATTTCTAACCATAATTATTGTGTACTTGTTCTTAATTTTTGTGTAAATAATTTTTTCATGGATAAACATTTGACAAGTGTGATTTTAAGCCGTGCGATTAGTAATTTTGATATTGCTCTAAAGAATGAAAAATAAGAATGAAATGTTTACCTGTTCTATTTGATTTAAATGAAAAATATGTAGTTAAGTCAAACCAAGTGATTTGACGGTCGCAAAGTTTATTATGTTCAAACAGTTATCAATATTAATTTACGATCTAATCAAGTATTGCAAAATAAATAAGTTTCAATGAATTAGAAAGTTGTCTAAAAGTAAATAACCAAGGAAAGGTTTGCTAAGAAAGATCGCGAGGCGAAGACGCGACCAGAGCCTAATTAGATTTTCAACAAGATGCACTTACCATGGCTCGAGTAAAACATCTCACACTTTATCTGAAACTGAAATATTCTCAACTTACACTTGCCATAACTAATCAGATGACAATATCCAGATAATTTCATTTAAATTTATGTCAAAAATTTTTTAATAAATGCTATTTAAAAAATTAAACTTATAACTTGATAAAAAATACAGATAACTCTTAGGCAAAGAAAAGCTCAACTCTTAGATTCTATAAATACTGTAATACTATTTTGCGTTACATTAAAATGTAATTTGTATCGTGATTATACTACGCAATACTTTATTGTTTTTGTCCCTGTGTACGCTCTCCCCCTATACATATACATGGGGAAAGTATTGTTTTCGTCAAAATCTTCGAGTTTGAGCTTTGAGTGGATATATCCATGAGTTTTCCCATAAAAACCCATAAAATAACGGAACAATCTGATTTTCTCGAAAACGGCCCGAACTATTTTGATAAAAATTTAGTATGTTATAGTCCTTTATTCTGAACAAAATTTTACAAATTCAATTTCCGTAAGATTACGGTTTAAAAGTTAGTGTAACTTATGTTATTTTCCCATAAAAAATCTCATAAAATTACAAAAAAAATCTGATTTTGGAAAAAACCCGGTTTTGATTAAAATTAATTGTTATGGTCCTTATAACTAAGCAAAATAGTGCAACCACAATTACTGTAACAAAGTATCATAGTTACTCCCAACGGTTAAAGGTTGTTGACAAGCTTATGGGAGAAAGTATGTGTTAGAATGCTGATTCCGTTTAATTTCTTGATTATCGACGCCAGGGGCATTTTTTACAGCAGAGGCGTGTAAAGAAAAGATAGATATATTAACTATTGATACTGATATTCAGTGTACGGTGTACTCAAATAAAACTTTTAAGAAACGCGGTCCAAACCTATATGTGTTGTGGATATGGAATCCCTTCATATCTCAATTGTTGTAACGGTTGACAGTTTTTCGTTAGGGTGTAATAATATACAGGTTCAGAATATAGACGAAGGTATTTCAGAATTTGTCAAGTTTTTATAAGTTTAAGATTTCATCGGAAATTTAAAAATACTAACGCTCTCAGGGTTTCCATATATTAGAGAATTTTCCAAACAGAAATCTCTTGAGACTTATGTCCCTCGTGGTTTTATTTCAATTTCTGATTATAACTTTTTTATTTTTATTGGGCTACTGTAGACTATATACAAAATGTATGTAGGCTAGGTGTAGTGTAGGTAGGTTACGGTAGGCCTAGGCCCACCCAGCTTGGCCCAGGCCAGTAGGTGGGGGTGGCGCCTGCGTCGTGGCCCAAACAGCCATCTTGTCAGCTGACGAATGCTTCAGTCTAGCTTAGCTTTGGCGACATACAACATGCACGGAACATATAAACGATCCTAAGTGTATAGTGTTCAAGTGAGTGAACCTTTTTGTGAAGTGATACGGTGTTTACAATGTGTGTGTGTTAGAAACGATGGGTTGTGAGCTAGGGAAACTGGCAATAGCCCAGCGAGGGGGACCAGTAGGGGGAAATAGCAGGGGGGGCGACGACCCCCCGGCTCCAGCACCCCCTGACCCCAGACTACCCCTGACGGCCAAGCAGAAGTACAGCATGCTCGCCTCATGGAAAGGCATATCCAGAGCCATGGAACCTACTGGAGTCTACATGTTTATCAAGTTAGTGTCACTTGTTTTTGTTTCAATCTGAAGAGTGTCGAGGGTTTGAGGGGAAATGAATGAATAAAGTTTAGCATGTGGAAGTATCTAAGGATCCTTGTGGTAGAGGACGTACTCATTCAGGAAGAACATGAGCTCAATTTTACCTAATAAGCGATTAAGAGTCAACAAACATAATTTCTTGTGTTTAAAAACAAAGTATCATAGAAAGAAAATGAAAAAATATCAAGTAACTTATCACTTTATTCTTAAAATGTTATAAAAACCCACGTTATCTGGCAAGAAGCAAACTGCGTATATCAACGACAATACGTTTTGTTTGTGAAGCATATATAGCGTGTTATAGTGATATGTTTCAAAACGATTTCCCACCACTAGACACAGTCAATAGGTTTCCATAGTCGATGTTATCAACATTGAAACGGCTTACGATTGGTTTATCTCCGTACTACCCCGCACATATAAATACCTATCCATTTTTTTTAGCACATACAGTATACACGAATTAAAATGCTAATTTTCAACGTTTCGTTTCTTACCAAATATTTATAAAGCTCAAACACAGCGATACAAAATAACAAACTATATAATAAAGCATCCCAATTTAAAGTTGCCAGGTAAAGTTTTTATCAAAAGGGTGTGGTCGATTTTTTACTCTATGCCCCATTTCCCGCCTTCGCACGCAACGAAAACAAGGGCTGATCACGAAAGGTTCCATGGAGTATAATTATTACAATGAAGTAAGTGTTTGTGAGACTTAAAAGTGCAGTCTGAACAACGAAGAACCAACTTACGTGTTACGTAATGTTAAAGTTTACCTTTACCTTTTGACTAACACCCTCATATGTCGATCTTTTATCCGTTCACTATAATAAACAGTGTTCAGTGTTCATTTTTAAATAAATCTGTTTGATTCTCAACCACCCTGACGCCCCCAAGGTGTTTTCTGATCTACAACATTGTTTATTCCCTACATCACACTTAAACACTGACTCCAAGATTACTAATTAAGTGACCAAACATATTAAAATAACATTGACTTGTTCCTTTAAACACTTATGTAGATAATGTACACAAATTAAAACACACGAGAATCTACTGAATACGTTACGACTATTTGTAAACCATACTAAATGCTATACAAATGGCAGATTTCCTTGGCAGATCATTTTCGAAAAGTCTACTACAGAACATTTGTACTATAAGCTTCGAAGAGGTATACATCTGGCATGATGTACTAAGTCACCAAGAAAACAAATAAAATATTGGTTATATAAAATTGTTTTAAAAAATAATTGAAGATGCCTCGTTGACTTTCAGTAGTGTAAACAATCGATGTGAAACGTTTAATATTTTTAATTTACGACTTTAGTTGTGTTTGCTATTTATCTTTTTGTTTTAAAATAATAATTTTTACTAAAAATTTACCTAAAATTAGAGCCATTTGACTTAAAATCGTCTCAATAGAAAATGCTGATTTGGGAATGCAAGCACAAATATCTGTGCATCAGCTGACAAAACACTGTCGGTTACAATAACGAAAAATCTTTGAAAGCTCGTTGGGGAAAGCTTAGAATAAATTTCTGAAAGACATTTCTCAGTAAACCATAATTTACTATGCAATGATTCTTGGTACAATAGTACACGATGCCAATCAGTAGATAGTTGAGTAGTTCAAATGGATTTAAAGTTGGTTGAAAACCACTTATACAAAACAAAAATATGCCTGGTTCTCCAAAAAGTGATTGTAGCTAATATTAAAATTGCCTTCAGCTGATCCACACTTATAATAAATCCAGAAGGGATTACTATTTTTTTTTTTTAATTTTAACATTTCAAAACAAACTTCAGATTTTACCATTGGACGAGGTTGGTAGTTTAATCTACATAATTTAGGCCTGCTGACATTGATATTTAAATGTGGAACAGCTGTTGAGGAACTGCCAATAAACCACCTCATTGGTTATCTCCATCGCTTTATCGGTAGTTAATGAGTTGCTTAACTGGTGTTTCCTAATTACACCCACACACATGCATATTGCATACCTACAAGCGCGCGTACGCTAACTGTACGAACCATCACTATGGGCGCAAATTATGAAGAATCATATTCGAACTTGCCTAAGTTTTTTAACCTCTAGACCTACACGTTTTTCTATTGTTATTTCTGATGGGAAAAACTGCATTAAACGATTGAAGTGTTATTGAGTAAATAAACAAATTTAAAATTAAAAGATGTATTTTGAATCCATATAAATTAAATAATCTATTATTATAACAATTTTTGAGTAGTAATACTAATACAATTTCAAAATACTGTATAAAATAACATGGGATCCCGACTGTGCATTGCAGGAAATCCTTTCTGGTCCTTTTTTGTTGTGTTGCTGATTTAAGTCCAGGATATTATTACTGAATAACATCTCAATAAAATGACGGAGACACAAGGAGTGGGAAATTTACAGGAGGTCTGTATTTGCAATTGAATAGACACAGTTCCTATAGCTGTGTTATACATAGACAGATAAGTGCAAATTGTAGGGTAATACCATTTTTTTTTTCAAAGATAAAAATTAATATCTAAGAAGCTCAATGAATATTATGTATGAAGGCATATTATTGAAGATATTTGGGAACATGCGGGGATTTTGGAAAATACACGTGGAAAGATATGTTTAGCCTTAAAATGAATAATGTTATCATAGTAAAACGTCAATTTAAGATGTAGGCTAATCTGTGCAAAACCAATAAATTAAAATGATAGTGAAGGGCGTAACAATAAATAAAATTTCACACCATTACTTTTGATATTTTGGCAATAATGAGTTTTATCAAAATCACTTCACGATATGGTTATCTTTTGTTTGGTACGTTTGCGCATGACAATTTTACACATTTCTGACAGTTTTAGTGTTTGCGAAGACATTGCTTGAAAATACAGTGCATAGTACATTCATTCAAAACGTTTTATGACTCTAAATAAAATTTCGGAAAAATTTCTCGAATAACTCCATGTCGTTATAATCGAATTTCCCTAGAAGGAAGTAGCTATTACCGTATGTGGTATAGTAAGACCTAGACCCGGGACCGATTTGCTTTTTCATTTTGATGTCCCCGGAGGCCAAAAAGACTATTCGTTCAGATTTGTATACATGTATATACTGTATACATAGATTTATGTGTATGTGTGTGTCCGTGAAAACGATAGCTCGAGTAATTTTGTTATGATTTTGATAAAATTTGGCTTGAAGGTGTAGGGCGGGATATACTTAAATGAGCTTGGACACCAGCTTATCGGGTCATGGGAAAGGCGTATTATGTGGTTTTGAATATTTAAAGAATAAGGATTTTCAAATTTTGACGATTCAAACATGGAAAAAGCCCAATTTTCATTACCACCATTGTATAGAGCTTAAAACAAAAGATTTTGTATATTGAAGCGATGTTGTAAAATTGAAAGTCACTGGGAAAATAAAAAAATTAAACTGTACATTTTAAATTTTTTAGTTATTCTTATGGAGAAAAGGGAACCGTTGTAGTTTGCTTGTTAATATATGTATATATGTTGATCAAATTTGGCAAAATTATTCACTTTATCCTATACTATTTATATTTCATAAGAAACACTTTTCCCATTCCCTAAAGCAGTAAACCTAGTAACCTAAGTACTCTTTAAATCTAATGTCATTTAAAAAGGGGATAAATATGTCGTTTTTACTGTGATTAGGCCTACCTAAAAACGTTTGCCATTAGAACTTCTTTATTCCAACCCTTCTAACAAACACAGTAAGACAATTGTGATTTATACAAAACATCATTTAGCAATTAAGGATCCAATTGAAAGTTGCACGTCTAATTGCGATCAATCCGAAGCGCTACAACCCGCGTCACTTGCGGCGTGTTTGCCGCTTGTTTGTTTGGATGTTTATCCCAACCTCCAACTCTTGGCAGGTTCTCACCAATATGTACAGCAGTGTGGCAAACTTGTAAAACCAAAACTGGTACAGCTTGAGGTACAGTGTAAAATGTGTCTAGTATTAATACATGTTATCTCTAAATACACTGAAATGTTAGGAGACTGCTTGACCCTTTAACACTTAGTTAAGTTACATGTAACTTACAAGTAATCATTAATTAAATCCATGTAAAAAAAATTATCAAACAATATGTTACAAAATGAAAACAAAACTAACTCTGTTAAAAGAAAACACATAAAAAAACCTCTGCTTGGTAAAGATCTTGGTTTTACTCTGTGCAGTGGTAGTTTATTATCCAAACATTATTTCGTATACAAAATTACAAGTATAATATTTAATCGTTTCTTGCCATGTAACTTAAACACTAAGTTGAGAGGTTTACATTTACCTAAATACTCTTAATACGTTTGTAAATAAATATCCTAGCAATATTATTAAATATCCAGACTTTACTTTCTAAAGTACTGCAGTAGCTTAGTACCCAAACTCCCTCAAATAATAGCTCTAGGCTAAGCCAAAAAAGCTCAAATCCCAAACACTGTTAAGTAACAAATAAATACCCAAACAGTCTCAATACTATACTAGCTCTAAATCCTAAACATCTTTAAGTAACAGTTGAAAATAGAATAGAGTCATGACCACGCAACTACCCGTGCCGCGTTGTAGTGTCCTGAACTGGCCATTAGCAATGTTATTCCGCATTTTCGTGTTTCGTGTTGTATGTGTGTGTTTTTGTGTTTACCGACAACCTCAATTTGAGTTACATGACATTTTTAACAGCCTGATGATGGGATTTTAATCCTGAAACTGGTCGCATAAGACGACAACAATAGGATCACTGACGGACAGGTAATATAAACCATTTTACAGTTGAAAAGTCAACTTTGAACCATTTTTAACTAACAGCTCAGAATCCAAATAGTCTAGTCAGAATCCAATAAACTACACCCTATACGAATGTATTTCAACGCCCAACAACTTTTAAATAATATCTCAATACCCAAACACTCGATATCAAATATA